TATCAAACCATGATTGATGGAAACTTGGGCAGGATTTCAGTGACTACTGATTTGTGGAATGCCACAAATCAGAAAATGGGGTATATGGTAGTAACTGGTCACTTTATTGACAACTCTTGGAAGCTTCGTAACATAATGTTGAGGTTTATGTATGTTCCAGCCCCTCACAATAGTCAAAGGCTAGCTGATAGGTTGTTTGATTCACTTCTTGATTGGAAAATTGATGGTAAGTTGTCTTCAATCACATTAGACAACTATACCACCAATGATTCAATGATATTTCATATGCGAAATAAGCTTGTGACCAGTGATCTATTGCTTGATGGTAAACTGATTCATATGAGGTGTTCTGCTCATATTTTGAACTTGATTGTGAGGGATGGTTTGGATGCAATCAAAGATGTTATTCATTTGATTAGGGAGAGTGTAGTTTACTGGAATTCTACACATAAGAGGGTTCAAACCTTCTTCGAAGTTGTTAAGCAACTAAAGTTTACATTTGAGAAAAAACTGGTACTTGATTGTCCAACTAGATGGAATTCCACATACCATATGCTCTTTGTTGCTCTTCAATATAAGGATGTTTTCTTTCGTTTGAGCTTGAGGGACAGTCAATACACATATGTTCCTCCTAGTTTGCATTGGGAATTTGCATCTGTTGTGATTGATAAGCTGGAAATATTCTCTGAGATAACTCAGTTATTCTCTGGTTCCAAGTATCCGACTGCCAATCTTTTCTTCCCAAAGATTTGTGACTTGAGATTGAAACTGAATGAGTGGGGTCTTGATCCTAACCTTGTGATTTTTTGGAATGGCCAGTCAAATGTCTGAGAAGTTTGATAAGTACTGGGATAATATCCATCTTGTACTTGTTGTCTCAGTTGCTTTAGATCCTAGATATAAGCTCCATGTGATTGAATACTATGCTGGGAAGTTTGGGAATACGGAAAATGACTTGGTTGGTGAGAATATCAAGAAGATTATTTGTGGTTTGATTCTTGATTATCAAACCAAAGCCGAGAAGAAGGTTGGTTCTGAAACTGGAACTTCTTCTGCTAGTTCTGGATCTGTCTCTGCTACTAAACTTGACTTTGAGCTCTTTGTGAGTAAAAGGAAAAAGAGCAAAAGTTCTTTGATTACTACTGAGTTGGATATGTATCTTGCTGAGGAAATTATTACTCGACCAGCAGACTTTGATCTACTCTTATGGTGGAAACTGAATGGTCTCAAGTATCCCACCTTGCAAGCAATTGCAAGGGACTTTCTGGCAATCCCAATTACATCTATTGCTTATGAAATTGCATTCACTTCTGGTGGGAGGTTGTTAGACCCTCACCGGAGCAGGCTTCATTATTCAATTGTTGAATCAATGATGTGCACACGAAGTTGGATTATGGAAGACATGCAACTAAACCTCCAAATTCTAGTACAACTAATTTTGTTTAAGTGTAAATAATATTATTATATTTTTATCTGCAGATTCGGAGGTTGCTGCTGTTGTGGAGGCATTGGAGGGGGTCTTCTCAGCCCTATCAGCCGAAGATACGACTGTGGAGGAGGCAGAACCTGGAGGTAAGAAAATCACTTCTCCTTTTCTAAATATTCTAACTTTGTTCATTGAGATTTGAGGCTAAACTAATGTGATTTGCTACCTGGTTTTCAGGTCCATAAATGGTGTTCTTGAGATCACCATTTGGCCAGGAAGACTGATCCATTTGAATTTGTCAAGCCATGTATAACTTCAAATCATCTTCTCTTGTGTTGCAAGAACCTCGAGGTTGTTGCTGATTGTGAGGATTAGGAACTTAAGAAATAAGAATGATTTCTTGAATGTTTGTGCAGACTTGCGATTGATGAACAACGGCGGATCCAGGACATAGTAGAGCACTGGGCCGCATTTGAATAGAAAATTAGAAACCGTTAAAAAAATGATAGCTATAATTTTCATTACAATGTCAATTGTACATGATGATCTTTTAATTTAGCGAATTCATAAAATAATTAATTCTTCATCCATAAAAATAACATACTCTTTCTCAAAGAAAATAGTTAAGCAATCCGCGGAAAATTCATCGCTCATTTTGTTGCTTAAATAAGTTTCACATGTTTCATTGATGAAAATATTCTCTCCGTAGTAGCCGTTGAAACGAGCTAGGTTAACACTAGACGAATCAACCGACAAATCAATGTGTAGTGTATATCCATTCTTGTTTCCACCAGCTTCTCTAGTAATTTTGCAAGAGAAGAAACTTCATATTCCTGGCTATGAACCACATGAGCGGTATAATATCGTAGATCATTCTTCAAAGAATGCATCTAATGGCCTTCAAAGTCTCGAGGATAAACTCTTGAGCAAGTTTGTAAATATTTTTTTCATAAAAAACCAGAAATAACTTTTAGGATCTAGTGAACCCCTCAACTAAAGTAATTTAAATGATGACTCAACAAGTTTTTTAATATTTTCTTCATAAAAAATTCGAAAGAAAATTAGCTCCTGACGAACTAGCGAAGGAATCCGTTTCGGGTTCGTTCGTCTCAACGTTCTTTTTTTTTTTGGATTGGAGGGATTTTTTGGGTATTGACAGAGAAGTTTGAGGTTTAGTTTAGAGGTTTTTATTTCAATGAAACTTTATACTTTTAGTCTTTTACGAGTAAGACTTTTAAGTTTCATTGTTCATTTTATTCTTTTCAAATGAAAATTATTTGGGCTAGAAATTTTAGTCTAAATTGAGAGTAGTGGTTTGGATATGTTCATCTATACTATTTTTCAAGTTACACAAAATCCTATTATCAAATAATATTGGACTGAATTTAAATAGCACTAGGCCGAACACCTAATATCGAAAAATTCATACGTACTATACTAACTCGGAACCGCAAGAGGGCTGGCCCGGGGTTGCCCAGCCCTAGATCCGCCACTGTTGATGAATGTTGACTGTTGCTACTTGCTTTGGAATAAGACTCGACCAAAGTTAGGATGGCTTGAAGCTGCATCTTGCTTGAAGGAAGGCTGTTGTTACATTTGCTCTCAACAGTTAGGATGGCTTGGAGTTTGTTTTACCTTAGTTAGCTAGTTGTTCTTGCTTTTGAATAAGACTCGGCAATCATGGTGCTGAGAATGGATGTTTTTTTGTTGATTTCAAGTTTGGATGAATTAAAGTTGTTGTTGATTGCAACTTTGTTGAGTTCATGAGTTCTTGTTGCTGACAGTTTCAGAATTCAGACTATCATTTATTCATAATAAAATTACATGTTCATGTTTTTTTCATTTATTAAGTTTTTTTTTATTTTATCGTAGCGGGTATCTTAGACCCGTGGGCACCCGAAAACCCAACGGTAACTGGACTGGTGCCACTACCAGACCCGTATCACCGTTTGGGTTGGGGACGGGGAAACCCGAAGCCTATGGTGGGCGGGGAACAAATACAGGGTACGCGGGCCCGATCCGCCCTGTTGCCAAGACTACTATGGGTGGAGCCGCATCGGATTGCATTCAGACAAGTAGGAATGGGAATGAGACAGGTCTGGGGCGGGTATCATGATACCCATACCGCCCCGTGGCAGGTCGGGTAATTTACCATGGGTCGGGACAGGTCGACCTAAATGAGGATGCAATTTATATGAAAAATATTAGAAATATTCGTTAATTTCATTATAAGACGAAGAAAACAAACCATATTATAATAAATGTAGTTAAATTATTGGAGAAATTGAGATTTCATTAATTTACAACTTTATTATAGCTAAAATATGATGTAATAAAAAGAAAATCGTGAGTGATTTGACTAAGATTACATGTAATTTACGCAAGAACGGGTCGATATTAGAGCGGGTCAGGGCAGATCGGGTCGATGAGAGTACTCATGTCTGCCCTACCCCGCCTACGGGACGGGTCAGACCCGCTGCAAAACAGGCCAAACAGGTCGGATAAAACGGGTCAGGTCAAAATTGTCATCCCTAACGATCTGTCTGAAATGCATGCTGGCGTGCTGTTGCTGTATATCAACTTGTAGACATATTAGTGGGCTTGATACTTCGGCCCATATTTCATTTCTAGGCCTCGTGGTAAATAAAATGATGACCCCCTTCGCTAGAAACCTAGAGAAATGGTTGGTGGGGTTATCTTCTCTTATACTGTATGGCGTTATTGTGTAATATCTGCACGTTATTGTGTAATATCTGCACGGGTATAGGGCAGGACAAGTCAACTCATTTTATATGTTACTTGAAAAAAGAAAGTTAATATTTAATTTTTTTTACAATAAGATATAGAGAAAAACACTTCAAAATGAATGAGAGATATGGAAGGAATAATTGGGCATAAATAGTGTAAAGATAGAGTCTTAAAATATTTTTAAGAAGAAAAATTATTTTAGAAAGGTCAAAAGAGAAAAAATACATGTAGATATTGATGCAAATCATGATAGAATGGGTCGAGAAAGCTTCTAATACGAAAAACCCACAGATGTTGCAAAGTCAATTATAAACTCATCATCTTGAGGCCTCTATAGAACATTAACACAACCTTGTAATACAAAACAATAAGAGTTGATTTCTTTTCCTCCACAACCCTCTATACAACTAGCTTGTTGTCTGACCCGTTAGTCGGAATGTCATTTGAACACAATGTATTTATGATGTGTATTTAAATTTTTTAAATTAATTGAAATGCTAAATTTTGTATGACATCAAAATTATTTTTCCATTTCCGAAATTCTTATAACTTTTCATCAATGGTGAACATTGTAATCTTAATGGTTATAACCAAAGTTATCAAACCGGTTTAAGTCGTTAAGTCGGTCAAGCAAGTGGTTTGAAGTTTAATGGTTTGATTGAGGTTCAACCCGTTTGAGCTGTTTTACACCTTTTCTAAATATATTTACACATTAGATAGAAATTTAGTGATTGAAATAGAATGTACTAACTTATATCTATTAAAAACTCAAATAGTCAAATTTCATAGAAAAAACATATCTATCTCAATATCCATCCACCATCCCCTTGCCTCTCTCTTCTTCTCCCTCTCTAATGATCAGACCCTTGATTTTGTAGAGCCTGTTTTGGAGCACGACTTTGGTCGTACCTAGTCCAACCAGTCGCCTGGTAGAGGTGTCACAACCTTGGTTATAACACTTGTGAATAACTATTCATAACTTGTATATTTAATGATGTAGTTACTTAGTTGCTTATGGTTGAAAAAAAAAATTTGACATAACAAAAAAAGAGTTTGTCTGAAAAATCGTAGCATAAATAGGAAACCCATGATGATAACCTTTACTGAATATTTATTTCTTTTGCTTGAACAATACATATATAGCAATATCTTTTTTTTATTTCTGAGTGATATCAATGGAAAATAATAGTTAAGCTTACAATTCTACCCAGGACCCCTAAGAGACTCTAAAGAAGCCACCAAAAAAAAATCAAAAGATTCTAGCTCTACACGAGACAAAAGCAGTGCTTTACGCGCCACTCTATGGGCAGCACTGTTGGCGGATCTAGGTACCGCCCTAAACTCTATACAAACAGACAAAGAGCTAAGGATCTGAAGACACTCTCGTAACACTCTCTATACAAACATATATAGCAATATCTAAACCTTAAAGTATTCTGTACAATACAATAACAAAATTAGCAAGAAAATAACATTTTCCATCCATACTCTATGCAATGAAAAAATTAATTATCAACCAAGATACTCTAAATTTAGTTGAAGGACAATCTCATTCACTCAACAAAAATGAAAACATATCTTGTGGTACCTACCTTACTAATGCACATGCCCCGTCAACTCGTCCGTGAAAACTCCAACAAGACTTTCATGATTTGTCTTGTACTGTGTTATTTCATACTACACTAAGTAACTATAAATGATACATCTAGTCAATTACTCTATTGAAATCATCTATACAAATTGGTATTCATAAATTGTGTTCTTTTAAACTCGCCCATTTTTCCAATCATGTTATATTATCAAGAAATTTAGGATTTAACGATTAACCAAACTAAAACTTTCAAAAAACTGGTCACTTACAGTTTGCATAACAATATCGTTGCATTAATAGTTTTAAAAAGTAATACCAATTGACTCGCACGAAACTACACCACAAATTAATCCCGACTAGAGCCCAAGTTTTTAAACTCTAGCCAGGTGCAGTATAGAGCAAGTATTTAAATTGTCAACCTGGGCCGGTCCATGTACCCCTACTTCGATCGCTTAAGTTGTTATCTAGCAAGCAACTTTAGGGTTTAGGTTTATTGGAACTACAAACTAACCAAGCAAAGAAAGGTAAATAAAGGAAAAATCTAACTAAGGGAGCTTCACCCAGGAGTTGCTTCCCCCTAACTAGCTACCGTGAATCATTGGATTGAATGGAGTCGTGTGACATAGGCGGTTGTGAACCGCTAAGCAACTAGTGATCAATCTGTCACTGCATCAATTCACTAGCGATCGATTTGTCATGGGATCGATCCACTCACCAAGTCTAGGGGAACCACTAGGAGGAGAAACTAGTGATCCATTTGTCACGGGATGGATTCACTGGAGGTCGATTTTTCACGGGATCGATCCTCTAACTCGGTCACTAGTGGTTGCCTAGGTCTCTCCCTCAAACCAGAGTTTGAGCGGCTTAATCACAACTAACCTAGTTGCAAACTGGTACACAAACCACGGTAACTTTGTTCACAAAAGCATAAACTAACATACTTCTAACACCAACAAATAGCTTGCAGTCTCATCTGGGTCTACAAACCGAGGCAGTGTTGTTACCTTGGACTTGGCAATTCATTTGTGGGGTAGTTGGCGAGCAATCACTAGCACTTGATGTTGTAACTTTTCCTGGGCAGCTTTCATTTGGTTCATCACCTCTTCTTGAGTCTCAAACCTCTCCTCCTGGCTCTGTAACTTTTCTTCCTGGAGTTGTATCTTCTCGGCCTGGCTTTTTAGCTACTCTTCTTGACTTTGTATCTTCTCCTCAAACTCCTTAGCCTTTCTCTCTATTTCAGCTCTTGCTGCCTCCAATTCCCCTTGGAGTTGTTGCTCCTTTGCTGATCTTGGGTTCTCCTTGGGTCCATACTTCAGCTTCTTCTTCAGGACCGTATGAACAATCTCGCGGCCTGATACAGGCTTCACCTCTGCCTTTGCTTCTATCCAAAGGGACTGCATCTCCAGCTACACATTGAACAAAAAGTGTTAATGAAACAGGTGACACGGTTGGCTATGAACTTCTGACAATGAAACAAGGCAAGTGAGATGGTCGACTCACATAGTTTTTCATAGGTTCCTCTGATACCCAACTACCGTTAGCCTTTCGATACCTCTTTGCATACAAAAGCAGATCTACTGGCTCCTCCTCTACGGTCTCACCGTCCTCCATTTCTGTTGGCTGCTCCTCATCAGTAGGCTGCTCTTGCTCCTGCTGCTTCTGCTTCTCCCACACAAAGCAATTACATTGAGGCAGATTTTAATCACATAACTATACCGTATAAATGTTCCATGGAATTGTAGACATCTTACCAATTCATATATTCTTTGATCAAGAGATTTTGCACCAGAAGTGTGCATGCACTTGCTTACTCTTGTTTGCTTTATTAATTTCACTTCGCTTCTGCATATGACAAATTTAATTAATAAGCAACCTTTGATTGTAAGACAAGGTAACAAAGGAAATTGATGATGAAACAGTTGGAGTTACTCACTCGAAACTTTTCACTCTCAAAGTGATCACACAGCAGATGCCAGTCCTCTATATTCATGTCAACATGAGGGTCTGTCCTGGATTTCTCAGGGTCTTTCAAGTAGTGAGCATGCATCGCATACTTGTAATTAATGAACCGCTTCTTCATTCTCTTCTCCGTAATCTTCCTTGCATCTTCACCTGCTGTGTCTATGTCAAATTCATCCTACATGAAAAAAACAATGATATAGTTCATATACAAACATATTATCACACATTTCTAACCAAATCCTTTCGCATCAATCCCGTTGTTTGTCAAGTTAATCTAAATAGATATACAACTTGCATTTTATACTTATCTAAAAGAATAACAACTAGCTTCACATCAAACTAGCAGTAGTGGGAAATTACCTCTAGCTTCTTGAATAACGGGTGCTTGTCTGCTTCAGTCAACTTGGACAAGTAGTACTTCCTTATCGAGGCATTAGGCGTGTTACGACGCCCAACTCTGTCTTCAGCAAGCTCTCATTTGGCCCTACGAATGACTGCCCATTTTCCATTACGTAATTCCATCTATCTTTCCTCCAGTTCCGATTCTCTTCATTATCTCATACCCTTTGGACATTCCCTTTTTTTAGTCGTAGGGGGTGGTTCTAATCCAGTTGGATTACTACCTTCTCCATTGTCATGATTGGATGCTTCTGCCTCCGAATCGTCGTTGCCATTGGGTTCGTCTGGATGTACAGTGACGGTGCGCTGATTGTCCTCGTTCACTGTGGTTCCAGTTCGACGTCCACTCCCCCCGCTTACAGATTCGGTGGACCAAGCAGGTTCCGGGTGCACCCTCCCTGATCTGGTCGCCCGATAAAAATCAGTGATAGGTACACCCTTGTCAGCAGCAGCCTTCTTCTTCTTCAGTGGCGGCATACCTACACCAGTAAGTTTGTCATAATGGTCAAAAACATACTCAAAGCAGCAGTGAACAGAGCTAAGCCCCTAAAAGGCCCCTGGACCCAAACAAGACGACAATGGCCGAACAAGAAAGACAAAAGACAACAATTAATTAACACCATAACTGAAAAAGATTCGGCTAACAATGATTGCTTGCAAAGACTAGCAAAGTAAGCTTTCATAGCATCTTAATTATCTCGATCAGAACAACAAAGTAAGCTTTCAAGGATTGCATGTGAAACAATTACAAAGCAGAGGTGGCAAAAAAACGAAGAAGGGGGCAACGAAGACTTCACACGAGGCAGAAATCGGAAGAGCATCTACGAAACCGTAGAATTAAACGGAGCAGAGCATCTAATTCAACATTGCATAGCAGATACATCAAATGAAAGGAATCGCGAATCGAGGGCATGAATCGTGCATCGAGGGCACAAATCGGCAGAGCATGTATGAAAGGAATCATGATTCAAAAAATAAAGCCTACTTCTGAAACGGGTCCCCAAACTTGAGCGATGAGCAGATTGGTGTCGTGAACTTGAGCGATGAGCAGATTACGGGGAAGAATCGTACGAGAGAAATCACGATTGGAGAGGTAGCGAGAGAGAAAAGTTCGAAGAAGAGGATTTTAGGGTTTGCCTTTGCCAGAGACGAAGGACTAAGGTCCTTGTCTTCGTTTTCCTGTTTTAAAACAGGCCCCTTGCGGGACTTAAATCAGGTGTGGGCTTCGATCCACGAAATTATGTGAGCTCATAACCACACACATTCATTTCAATCTTCTAACAAAACTCAGACAAAGTCCTACACAAAAGCTACCAAACTGCACTAGAAACCCAATCCATCATCAAAATAAATTTCGCAGACACAATCTGGGTTTATGCATCGCCTGGGTTCATATTAGTACCACAGAAACGAAAAAATAAACCCCATTGACAGACTCCATTCACCTCGAGTAAACATTCATATAAATTCAGTCTTCTTATTCTAATCTACCCAAAAATCACCAAAAATGAAACTAAGGCCCGCAAAAATCTGTACACATATATTTACCAAATAAATCTGCAAACCTACACAGCTCGCAACCAATAATCTACTACTGTGTGAAAACCACTATAGTTAGCTTCTACTGTTATCCTTCTTCTTCCTGGTCACTGATTGATGGATCAGACCCATCTTGGTTTTCAACATCATTAGTGTTCAAATGATGGTCATCCAATGTGTCGTCGTCGATGTCATCATTGCTTGCTTCCACTGATGCTGATCGTCTATCAAATGCTCGTATCACTGTCTCAATAACAATTGTTGGTGCCTCGTCATCACGACTTAGATCCGGTAACTCACTTTCACTAACATGAAAGTCCGAAAGATCCACATCTTGTTGGTATGGCTGATTTTCAGACAATGGATCCCCATGTATTGCTGCCTCCTTCTAGGGAACATCATACAAACTTCTTGGACATACCTTGTGGGCAATATGCCATGCACCACCATTCTTAATATCGACAATGTAAAACACCTGGTTAGCCTGGCTGGCCAATACATATGGGTCCTCCGCACCCCATTTTCGATCCATTTTTATGCTCGTCAAGTGTCCATCCGTCCTGATTCCATTCTTCTTGTCACCCACATTGAACCACTCGCACTTGAATATAAAGACCCAATGCCCTCCAGAATATTGCAGCTTAATTATCTCGATCAGAACCCCGTAATACCCTATAGTCTCACCAATGTGATCGCCCCTAACCATGACACCACTATTCAGAGTTCGATGACATTCATCAGACATATTTATTTGGTATCGAACCCCGTTAATGATTTGTCATATAAATAATTCGGGAAGACAGAATATGACAAAATATACATTGACGATATAATTTGTCACTTTATATCTCGTACAGCTCGTTATGGGATACCTATTTTGACAAAATATATTATGTCACAGCCACTTTGTCACATTACGCCCCTTAACTGACAAAACATTCTGACAACACACTGTTTTGTCACATTAGGAATACCAAATAGGAAAAAAACCATTTTCGTCATATTATACAACCTATTGTGACAAACGAAAAATAACAAAATAAAAAATTTGTCCTAATAGGCCGAATTTGTTGTAGTGTCAATTGCTAAACCGAGGTAAGCATGAAAGGCTGTGTCACTCGACCCTCTCGGTTTAGACAATCGGTAGTTGACTTACTCCCTCACTCAACTCTAAGGTCGGATGGCTTAATCGCGATTAACCGACTTGCTTAACTCAATATTGAGGGTTGCTCTAACTTAACCTAGTTTAGGTGGTTTAGAAAGCGGAAGGAAAACCAACTCGACTGAGTCTCCCTTGGAAGGGGGATTTTCCTCTCTAAGTTAGGCTAAGGTGGCTAATTAGATTGCTAGCACCAACATGCACAAACCTAAGGGTGCTAAGCACAATTATGCACAACCCTCAGATTTCAACGCACGAGCATGCACAATCACCATGAAAACACCTCTAATACTCAAATTGGTGCAAACCCACACTTAATCATTCAATCTAAACAAGTAATTACAAAGTATTAGTTAGGGACCTACAACACCCAAGAGAAAAGAGTGAGTTTCTAGAGAGGGAGAGAGGGGTTACAACTTTGAGCTCAAGATCTTCTTCTTCTTCTTCTAGGCTTGAATCTTCCACCCAAACCTCCAATGATGCTCCAAGATCACTCTAGCACTCTCTCTCTCTCACTAGAACTCCCCTTTGGTTTTTGCGCTTTTCGACCTCCAAATATCCCAAAACTCGTCATCGACCCTACCACACGTGCTAGGACCTGAAATGTATCAAAACAAGCACAAGCTAGCGTGAAATATGTCGAGGAACAATGAAATACTAAGCTAAACGAATAAGAAATGAGGGGTAAAATGTGTACATTTGAGCCCGAATCATGCTCCCACACTTAGACGTTTGCTTGTCCCTAAGCAAACCAAGTACAAAACAAGGTAAGCTTACAACTTTCTTTTTCAACACACTTTTTAGGGCATGTCATAGGGCACAAAAATGAATGAATCACAATGGTTATTTGACACCAACCTATGGACACAAACAAAATAATCTCGGCAACCACCACAAACGACATTCAATTGTATTAAGATTGTGCAAAAGAAGAGTTCTCACATTATTCATCAACCAACACACGACATGCCTCGACGACTCACCAATCACAGTTACTCATGCATGAAGATCACATCATAGGAACAAATGATCGAGCAACCTAGGTCCTCATCGGGGTAAAAGAAATGAACAAAACATGATGAAGAATCGCTCACTCTCGACCAGTGGGGTCAGGACCATTTGATGCAAAAGATGTGCATAATCACGCTCAATCCTAACGTCCCTTTATCATGACTGTAACCTCTAAGTGTTAGAGTTCACAAGATGGGTGCCGTTGCTAGCTTGTCCGGAGGTCTTAGACACAGGTTCAAATGATTGGCTAGGGTCTAGGACATGGGGAAAAGGCTTTTTGTGTGGTGGCAAACAAAACATGAGGTTCCACATCTTCAACCTAAGACACAAGGTTCCGTGGTTTCGACTAGAACCTTCCCTACAAACAACGACCACTAGCATCGGCCAAAAACCGCACTTCCCACTATTCCAAACCACACCAATCACCAAACCATATCACGCATACTTTCTTGCTACATTTGCTATTCAATTTTAAGCGCAAGAGTGTAGAGGTCAACAACATGTAAGTGTTCCTATAGCTTGCATGCTAAGCAACACTTCTAAGAGCATGTTCAACATTTATTATATTTTTTGTGGTCACTCTCTTTTCTTCTTTGCCCTCTTATATCTCTCTTTTTTTTTCTTATCTTTTCTTTGGGGGCTAAAGAGAGCTATAAACATGCCACATTTTTTAACATAAATAACAATGCTCACTTTGAAAAACTACATCCACACTCACTTCACTTCTTAGAAAAACATACATAATTCACTCATGTAGAACCTCGTTTAAGCTCAAATGGTATGAATGGGGCTTCCAAACACAAGGGTGACTCGATAACGGTGTAGACACAAAGAAAGTAGGGTCGTTCTATCTAAATCAATTGAGCTCAAGTAGCGAGAGCTACCTAAAACAAGAGCGACCCTTAGACACACGACTCAAAAGGGTTGACTAGGGGATAATGAGATCGGGACGGTCAATGATAGACCATTAATTGCACATGTTTTTACCCCTATTCTTGAGCCGTTTGAGATGTTGATTCTCGTGTTTTAAGCCGATTTCACGCTAGGTTGTGTGTTTATGTCATATTTCAGGGCTTGGTGTTGGCATAGAGGCGAAGAAACGAGTTTTGGGTCGAAAGGAGGACGTTTGAGTTGAAGTGTGCTAGAGAAGGATAGAGGAAGTCTAGTTCAGAACGCCTTGATCGGTTGTTCTAGAGAAGGATACGTCCCTCTAGGCAATCGACTCAAGAGGGCCTTGATCCTTTAGTCGAGATTCAAGGTCTAGTCAAGGATTCTCCGCATTGTGAATGAAAGTGAAACAAGTTAGGGATCATCAATCATTAATCTGGTTAGTGGCTAGGGGGAATCATACCTAAGTGAGTTCCCAACCTGTAATTAGATTAATGACTCGACTCTACTGTCACTCCAGGAATTGGCCAAGTGAAACCACTTCCTAAAGCGTAGTATAGCGGGTTTGGGTTTAATTATCAACCCGGGTCCTAGATGTGATGAATACTCAGTGAATTCTTGTTATCTAGCAATGAAACTGAAGTGCAAGTCTAAACTACCAAACAAACAAAGCAAGTAAACTGGTTGTATTCAGGTTAAAGAGGTCACCCGGATATGGTTCCCCCTAGACTGCAGTTAAGCCGGATTGTAATTACCAAGTTCAGTTTCTATGAAAGTTATACTGCGGAAGGTTCTTAAACAGCCTGAAGTCTCGACTAAAGGTCTTCAGACCCTCTCAATCTGACTCTCTAGCGGGCGACTAACCTCCACCAGAGTCGACAGATTGAGGCCCTAAGAACAAAACCTCCACTACCGGAGTAAATCCGGTACAGAATAGTGAGTTGGCTCCTCGACTAAAGTCACCAACTCCCTACCTTCAATCAAAGATACTCTATTAACCTAGGCAGATATTCTCATTCTAGGTTAAAGCAGAAACAACAGGAATTTGATCAGGATTCAAGTCATTCAATCATTAAAACCTCAATCGAATATAATCAATCATAGAATCAGTACTTGGGTTCATACAATCAAAGCCTAACATACAAATCTAGGGTTCTCCATACCCAGATGAATGGGAGAACTACTCCATAGAGAAGAAAGCAAAAGCAGAATCAGACACGGAATTCATACTGCGAAGGATGGATTCCTGCTTCTTGACGTTGATTGGCACTTCTCCAAGCTCAAGCTGGCCTCCAATGGTGTTGAAGATCAATCTAGGCACTTGGGAACTCTTGCTCGTCACTTTCTCTCTCTAGAAGTCGTTCTTTCTCTCAAAAACTCGAATCCCCCTGAATTGTGGCTGAAAATCTGCTTAAAAGCATCAGTGGCCAAAGCACGGTCGAGGGCACCGCCGTGCTTTGCCTGACTCCGCCCGTGCCTCGGCCAGGGCTTAATTACACGGCCAGCAGCTGGTGGAAACACGGCCGTGCTTCGCGTTGGACACGGCCGTGCTTTGGTGGAACACGGCCGTGCTTCGGTGCCCGTGTTTGCAGCTGAATTGGCCAAACTGAATTTGCTCTCGGCATAAAAAGCACGGCCAGCAGTACACGGCCGTGTAATGCCTTAGGCTGCCCGTGTTTTGGCTCCAGCTTACCGAAATGACTTCCGAATGCCCCGAAACTTGCGCTTAGCCTTCCCTTTGACGCCTGGGACCTGAAACATGACAAAATAGCACAACCCGGCGTAAAATAGGCCACAACACATGACTATGCCCCTCAAACGGATGAGAACTAGAGGCGCAAACATGTGCAATTACATCGTTATCAAACTCCCCCACACTTAACCGTTTGCTTGTCCCCAAGCAAACCTAACTCAAACCAATGCAACTCTCCAGACCTCTATAGCAACAAACAACCCAGATCGTAGGTAGAGGACTTCCTAGATCATTTAGCAACTTACGAGGTCAACCGACGCACAAGTCATCTCATAGCTTCTTCGACAAGTCGGCATCATGGCAAACAGTGAACAGAGGACAAATGAATCGTGGATGAAGAGATTCTCTAAAACAAAAGATCATGGACTCACATTTTTTCAAGGTGCTCTATTTTCTGCTTAAAGATGGTTGGAACCCCTTTTTTCTGTTTTGCTTATTTTCTGTTATTTTTCTTTTCTTTTCTTTTCAAGGGTCCCAACCTGCTCTTACCGGCCATGCCAGGAGCGTATGTCTCGAGCCTCGTGCGGGGGAAAGACATGTAAGGGGGCTGGAGGTAGTAGGTGGAAATTGGGAACGGATTCCCGTCTCCCCTTACACACTTTCGCCCTATTCGCACGGGAGACGTTATTTTGAAGCACATTTTCGAGCACCTGTTAAACTCAAAACATGATACAAGAGTCCATGACAGGCAGAGAATCCACAACACCGCACAATTCAAGGGTCCTAAGATCACTAATTCACTCAATCAACCAACTCAATATGAAGAAGAAATGAGACTTCTTAAATGCATCAACATCCTCCATAGTGCTAGACTACCTCCCTAGGTTGCATCTTACTATAAAGACTGTCAATTCAAAGCATACTGAGCAGGCAATTGCAAGGAAACACGTACTTGGAGCCCTCAAATTTAAAAATTTGGACAGTGGACTAGGCCCCAAGCACACAAACAGATCTAATGCAGTTAAAGATAAACATCCCCCCACACTTAAGCTCGACATTGCCCTCAATGGAGAAGAGGGAAGGATAAGGGAACGATGTTACCGGTATGCACGGACTGCAGGGGACTGGAAACGGGCCAGTCAGGGCAAGCACAGCCAAAGGGGAACAGAAGAGCTCAAACACAATATGTTAGGTGCAATGGTCAGCCCAATAAAATACCATCCAAACCAAAAGAAAACAAACCAAACCCAAACCGGGTTACAATCCGACTCAAAACACAAGAAAGAAAATCAAACCGTGGTGGGGTTGCCTCCCCACAAGCGCTTCTTTACCGTCGTATTAGCTGGACGCCCATGGTGGATTCTCAGGGCGGTGCAGGAACAGATGCCTCCAAGAGCGGATCCACGTCGCTCTTGAGGTACATCTTCAGGTTGTGGCCTTGCACCCGCCGGATGCGACCACCATCATCAGTCAGCTCGACCTGCCCATCTGGCAAGATGCAGGCGAGCGAGTACCCAGACGGCCAGGGTGGTCGTGGTGCAGGAGGTGGGACCAGCTCATAGTGGTCTCCACTCTTCTTCCGTGCAGGCTTAGCAACCTGCTGCTTCGGCCGCCACTCCTCCTTGAGCTTTTTGTTCGGAGGCGAGGCTGGATGGAGTAGCGGCGAAGGAATGATAGGAAGGTCCTGCAAAATAGGAGGTGCAGAAGGGTACACGACAGGCTCGTGTACCTGATCAGACATAGCATGCACAGGCGTGACATCAATCATAGCACAGTGATCAAACTCAGTCACAGAAAAAGTAGCCTGTTCATCCCCAGCACGCAGTATCAGTTTACCATCATGCACATCAATAAGTGCCTTGGCGGTGGCAAGAAATGGCCTACCTAGAATCAAGGGTACATCCACATCCTCATGCACATCAAGAATAACAAAATCAACAGGATATGTGAATGTACCTACTTTAACAAGCAGATCCTCAATGATACCCTTAGGATGCACGATAGAACGATCAGCTAACTGAATGCTCATCCTAGTAGGGCTAAGTTCACCTAGGTCTAGCATTTTATACAACTTATATGGCATGACGTTAATGCTAGCGCCTAGGTCCGCCAAGGACTTTCCTACATGCATGCTGCCAATAGTAAGAGGGATAGTAAAACTCCCTGGATCCTTGCGCTTCTCGGGCAGCTTGTTCTGCAGGATAGCAGAACACTCCTCGCTCAGCAACACTGTCGAGAGATATCCAAGTTTCTTCTTGTTGGTGCAGATATCTTTCATGAACTTGGCATACTTGGGCATCTTCGACAGTGCCTCCATGAACGGTATGCTGATGTTGAGCTGCTTCAACATTGCCATGAACTTGGCAAACTCAGTCTCCAGCTTGTCCTTGTGTAGGCGAGTGGGGAAGGGAAGCTGGGGTACATGCTCCTTAACCACTGGTTGTGGCTTGGGAGCAGGGGCTTCCTTCTCCACCCGCACTTCTGCATCGTCGGCTGGAAGTGCGGAAGCAGTCAGTGGTTCCTCCTGTCTGGCCGGGACAGGATCAGCAGATATGACCTTACCGCTCCTGGTAAAAATGGCATCCAGCTGCTGATGCTGGTGAGGATCTCGAGGATTAGGAACAGTGGTGGCAGGCAGAGTCCCTGGTGCCCTGGTAGTGTTTTGGCGGGCCAAGATGACCACCTGGGTCTGCAGATCCTGCAAAATAGCACCCTGGTTCCGCTGACCTGCCTCCAGTGATGTGATAGCAGCCTGGGTGCTGGTCATGAATGAAGCTAGAATGTTTTCCAGCTTCGTCATCCTGTCATCTGGGGCCGGAGCTACTACTGGCTCGGCAAACTGGCGCTGGGGCTGCTGGAATGGCTGGCCCTGCCTAGGCTGGTAGGGCTGCTGCTGTGGGTCTGGCCCCTGGCGAGCCTGGAAGGGCTGCCTCTGCTGAAAACCACATGCTGGTGCTGGGAAACCAGGTGGTTTAGTGGTGTTGCTGCTCCAGGCGAAGTTCGGATGCTGGCGCCACCCCTCATTATATGTGCTACTGTATGGATCGAGGCGCCGCGCATTAGCGACGAAAGCCAACTGCTCCTGGGGTGTGGTAGACTCCCTCATAGCCTGGCAGTCCTCCACTAGGTGATTGGAGCTCTCACACCACTGACATTGAGCTACTGGAGGTGTAGCCAAACCTCTGCCCGGAATCAGACTGTTGGGCTGCTTCAATGTCTGCACTAGCTCAGCTACCTGCTGCTCGAGCCCGGATCTGGTTTCCATGGCGTGCACACCACGGTCCCTGGAATGTCTGCCTCTGCTGCTCTGCCCCCAGGAATGATCTCTGGCAGCCAATGTATTAATCATCTGGTTCAGCTCGGGTGGAGTCTTAGTGAGAACATCCCCTCCTGGGCATAAAGACTCAATCACCCTCTGGCTATCTGGGGAGAGAGCGCTGTAGAAGTTCCCCACAGTGAAAGCATCACTAAAGCCATGTTGGGGACACTGCCAGAAGTATCCCATGTACCGCTCCCAAGCATCACGAAGTGACTCATCTGGCTCTTGGCGGAAATGAGTGATCTCCCGCTGAATCTCTGTAGTCTTCGATGCCGGATAGTACCTGTGCACGAACTTGTCAGCCAGATCGTCCCAAGAGGTGATGGACAATGGGGGCTGGGTCTCCAACCACCTCTTAGCATTCCCCGCCAGAGAATGGGGGAAGAGATGAAGGCGGATCGCATCATCGGGGACTCCATTCAGCTTGAACCCGTTCGTCAGCTGCAGAAAACGGGAAAGATGCACCCTGGCCTCCTCATTCTTCAAGCCATGGAACTGGATAGAGGATGTGATGAGCTGAATCCAGCATGGCTTGATCTCAAAGTTGTTTGCTGGAATAGGCGGGTAGAGGATGACCGGGCGGATGTCAGCAATACGCGGAGTGTAGTAGTACTCCAAGGTGGGACCCGGCTGTGGTGGATGATGAACTCCATGATCCTGGGGTATGGGGTTGTTCCCCAGGACCTGATTCACCGGGGGAACCTGCTGTGGATTCCCCTGGTGTTGGTTGTAGTCTCCGTCCATCCTGTGCTCTTCTTCAGAATCGCTGCTCAGGTGGCCGTTTATGCGCTCTTCCATAGCCAGTCTAGCTCGCTGTTGTCTCCTGAGCTGGCGACAGGTGCGGTCAATCTCTGGATTCAACGGCTATAAACCTCCCGACTGGTTACGGGTCATGCACTACCTGCACACACTCAAGCAACAAACCCGTGAAGCCACAAGTGGGACAAAGAAAACAAAGCAAAAAGAAAAAGGCTAAATTAACAGAAATCACTTTTCTTCAACAACCTAGCCGTCCCCGGCAACGGCGCCAAAAACTTGACTCGACTCTACTGTCACTCCAGGAATTGGCCAAGTGAAACCACTTCCTAAAGCGTAGTATAGCGGGTTTGGGTTTAATTATCAACCCGGGTCCTAGATGTGATGACTACTCAGTGAATTCTTGTTATCTAGCAATGAAACTGGAGTGCAAGTCTAAACTACCAAACAAACAAAGCAAGTAAACTGGTTGTATTCAGGTTAAAGAGGTCACCCGGATATGGTTCCCCCTAGACTGCAGTTAAGCCGGATTGTAATTACCAAGTTCAGTTTCTATGAAAGTTATACTGCGGAAGGTTCTTAAACAGCCTGAAGTCTCGACTAAAGGTCTTCAGACCCTCTCAATCTGACTCTCTAGCGGGCGACTAACCTCCACCAGAGTCGACAGATTGAGGCCCTAAGAACAAAACCTCCACTACCGGAGTAAATCCGGTACAGAATAGTGAGTTGGCTCCTCGACTAAAGTCACCAACTCCCTACCTTCAATCAAAGATACTCTATTAACCTAGGCAGATATTCTCATTCTAGGTTAAAGCAGAAACAACAGGAATTTGATCAGGATTCAAGTCATTCAATCATTAAAACCTCAATCGAATATAATCAATCATAGAATCAGTACTTGGGTTCATACAATCAAAGCCTAACATACAAATCTAGGGTTCTCCATACCCAGATGAATGGGAGAACTACTCCATAGAGAAGAAAGCAAAAGCAGAATCAGACACGGAATTCATACTGCGAAGGATGGATTCCTGCTTCTTGACGTTGATTGGCACTTCTCCAAGCTCAAGCTGGCCTCCAATGGTGTTGAAGATCAATCTAGGGCACTTGGGAACTCTTGCTCGTCACTTTCTCTCTCTAGAAGTCGTTCTTTCTCTCAAAAACTCGAATCCCCCTGAATTGTGGCTGAAAATATGCTTAAAAGCATCAGTGGACAAAGCACGGTCGAGGGCACGGCCGTGCTTTGCCTGACTCCGCCCGTGCCTCGGCCAGGGCTTAATTACACGGCCAGCAGCTGGTGGAAACACGGCCGTGCTTCGCGTTGGACACGGCCGTGCTTTGGTGGAACACGGCCGTGCTTCGGTGCTCGTGTTTGCAGCTGAATTGGCCAAACTGAATTTGCTCTCGGCATAAAAAGCACGGCCAGCAGTACACGGCCGTGTAATGCCTTAGGCTGCCCGTGTTTTGGCTCCAGCTTACCGAAATGACTTCCGAATGCCCCGAAACTCGCGCTTAGCCTTCCCTTTGACGCCTGGGACCTGAAACATGACAAAATAGCACAACCCGGCGTAAAATAGGCCACAACACACGACTATGCCCCTCAAACGGATAAGAACTAGGGGCGCAAACATGTGCAATTACATCGTTATCAATTAACTTTAACTGTAGTTTGTTAGAGTAGTTTTAGTTCTTCCGTCTTAATCTGGTTTGCTAGATAATGAACTGAAGCTGAGTAATAGTAGCTCTAGAGACCCGTGGATTCGATATTTATTACTTGAGCCACTATACTGCAGTCCCTTTCATTGGTTACACTTGGCCATTGTTAGGAGTTGTGTCATAGCGGGTCAGTCAACATTTGGGTCGTGGACTACACCTATGCCTCCATCTTCCATGATAGCAACAATGTGAATGTTATACATCATGTAAAGGGGGAACTATCGCACAAGAACGAAAGGAACGGCACAAGTCTCACATGGCTACCTAGGTGCTCAATCATTCATTCTAATTCCCTAAACTCGATGCATATGCAACTGTGAAAAGCAAGTAATCGATTCAAAATATCTATCGGTTCACAAACACATGAGAAATGAACCTGTTTGAGCCCGGGCGACTGGGCGTCACTCGGGTCCAAGGGGTTTGGGGCGTCAGCCATGACTTTGAGGGGGTAGGCGCCCTGCCTCGTCAGAAGCAAGAAAAGAGAAGAAGTGTATAGAGAGAGAAAGTAGAGAGAAGTAATAGTAAGAGTAGATAGATTGCCATTTATGAGGAGAGAAATCCTATGTATACAAATTTGGGGGTTAGGTAGTGGTCTGGGCGCCTGCCAAGCCATAAATGCTATGGTCGGGCGCCTCAGACCTTCTGACACTGTACATAGTCCTTTTTGATAGAGGGTGTCCCCCTGCCCCTTGTCCTTGCTGATGTCATGTGTCTGGCCTTGTCTCTTGTCTCCCAGCCTTGTCTTTTTCCTCTTGTCTTCTTTCCTTCTCCATGTCATTAGCTATGGTATTAATTCTTTAGTTACTAGGATACTCTATCAATTGCCCCTTTTGGCGATGGCGCGAGTAAGGTGGCATCGTCAAACAAGTGTTCTTCTAAAAAGGTCTAGAAAAAATAACGTTTCCAAACTAGCAAGGGTTTTTAAAAAATTTCGCTGGGGGGGGGGGGGATGTGAAGACGCTACCTTAGTTGTGGGCCAAACCCACCCCTAGGCTTAGGATAGGCGAATTTGGGGAGGGGTGTGGATGGATTGGGCTTTTAAAACAGCCTACCTTGGAAACCGCGCGCCTACTCCTCCACCCCCCTATTTAAACCTCTCCTTTTCACTATTCACTCATTTTTTTCCTCCCTTCCACTCAGCCGCTCGCTCCCCTCGGCGCCTCTCTCCCCAATTCTTCAGTCGGCGCTTCTCCTTCGAGCTTGTAGGCGCCTTTGGTTGGTGTGTCACTCTCCCTTGGTAAGCACCTCTCCCCTTCTTCTTCCGCTGCGGATCCTTTTCTTTTTCCTAGGCGCCGATCCCATACTCATTTTTTTTCTCCCTTCCACTCAGCCGCTCGCTCCCCTCGGCGCTTCTCTCTTCAATTCTTTGATCGGCGCTTCTCCTTCGAGCTTGTAGGCGCCTTTGGTCGGTGTGACGCTCTCCCTTGGTAAGCGCCTCTCCCCTTCTTCCACTACGGATCCTTTTATTTTTCCTAGGCGCCTCTCCCTTTCTTTTTTTCAACATTTTTTACCAACCGGGTAAGTGCCTCTCCTTTTTAACGATTCATCGGCGCCTTTGAAGCGCCTCTCCTTTTTAACGATTCATCGGCACCTTTGAAAACTCGGTTTGTCGTCGGGGACGCCGCCTGCCCCTCTATTTTACTAAACGCCACCCCTCCTTCTACTAGGCGCTACCTTTATTGCGAGATATGTTTGCGTCTTTGCTTCCTCATCTTGATTCTATTGAGGGAGGCGCCTCCGGGTTGTTGGCTTTGCTTGTTAGGCGACGCCCCCCCCCCCCCCCCCCCCCCCCCCTTTTAGAGGTGCCGATGAATCGCCTCATGGTTTGGTTTGATGCACTTGTGGTGAATTTTGTTAGGGTGGCGCCTTTGCTTCTCTTTGTTGAGGACCGACTCTTGCTCGGGGCGCCTCCTCTTAATTGGTAGTTTTGGCTTTTAAGAGGCGCCACTACCTATTGGTTTTCTAACATTATTTCCTGATGTGTTAGGGCTCTTTGCTTCCAAGGCGTCGAAGGCGCCTTTTGACGCGAGATCACGGGGGGTGACAGCGGTTTCTTGCCCGTGCGGTATCGACTTCGTCGTTGCGCTCGTTTTTCTTCGCAGATTCATTTTTCTGCCCACCTTTTGCTCCTCGCCATGGCGTCTACTAATTCGCAGCCATCTGCTTCTATGGGTGGCGCTTCAGCTCCTTCCAAAGCGAAAAACAATGCTTCGTCGAGCAAAGTCCGGAAGTTGGGTAAGCTACGCTATCCCTATTTCGTTTCAACTTTAATATCACGTATTTTGTTTTTTGGGAGTCTTAGTGGATCGAACAGTGTATAGAAGGGCTAAGTGGAGACTCGCAGAGATTGCTAGTGACATCGAGGATGAACAATCATACACCCGATTGGAGGCGCTTACAGAGGGAGATATGTCAAGTGTGGAGCTCGACCCTGGCACGTCTAATTCTCGGGCGACTAACTACTCTGGCTACTCTATTTTACCGTAGCGGAGGATGTGGGGTGATGAGGCGCCTCCTTCCTCGCAAATGGTATTGCTCCTACTTCTTCATTAAACCATCTCCTGGTACCTGGCATGCACTGACTGAGGCGCCTCTCTCGACTCTATGGGGTGAGGGTTCGGAGGAAAAATGGGCCAAGGATTTTTCCCTTGGGAAGACTGAGCGAGAACAGAAGAACCACATTCTCCGCGCGCCTCCCGTGGATTTTGGGAGAAAGGGGGAGAGAGCGCGTGCCTTGGGAGAGCTTTATGACCATGGTATATTTCTTTCGAGTGATTTTTATTCTATCTCCCAACTTATGGTATTTGCATAACTCCTTTTTTTGCAGATTTTGATTACTCGAGATTGGCGAAGATGACAAAGAAGACTCCTGGCGCCTCTGCAGCTAGGTCACAGAAGGCGCCTAGCGCCCCTACCGAGCAAACTCCCCGTTCGTCTAGCCAGGCGCCTGCCGACACCGAGGAGGCGTCTCCTCGATTGTTTCCTTCATTGGGGCCACGTGACCCCCTCCTAGAGAAGACCTTGGGAAAGCGTCATGCTCCGGCCGGCTCCCCTGCTGAGGCTCAGAAGAAGAAGAATAAAATCGATCTTGGGAGCATTGATGAGATACTGGCGCCTCCTCGCTCGCGACGCGCCGTAAAACCGAAGGAGCTTGTTCCCATCTCTCCTTCTGCTACCCTCAACGCTCCAAGCGCTTTCACTTCTGCCGTGGAGTTGAAGAATTTTTTGAAGCTCCCCCTTCACGAGGGTACCTCTCCGGCAGGCTCCGCCTGCCAGCACTTGTTCCATGTATGCTCTCACGCACCTACTGCTAGTTGACCATGCCTTGCTACTAATCGATGTTGTTTTTTGTTTAGGCTGTGCTTGATGTGGTAGCGCTTTCTGATAAGAGTGCGGAGAATCGGGAGCGCGCCCACAAGAACTTCTTGTTAGCTTCTCAGTTGAAGACTGATAAGACAACTCTTCAGGGTGTTAACTCTCGCCTGGAGGACGAGTTGGCGTCGGTGAAGCAACAGCTTTCCGACGCCTTGGCTGCTGAGAGTGTTTCCGCTCGTGAAGAGAAAGAGAAGGAGTTAGCGCTCCGGGCGAAGCGAATTGAGGACTTGGAGAAGGAGCTGCTGGCCATGTCCGCAGCTAGGGGGCGCCAGCAGGTAAGCTCTCTTATTGACTTTTCTTGTTGTCACCCTTCATATGAGCTAAGCGCGTAAACCCTTTCTTTCAGGAGGAATTCAAGAAAAGGTTGGTCAAGGAGCGCGATGATGCTGTGGACGCCCATCTGTCGTCAGCAGAGTTCCGCGATTGGCAGCAGAACCTTCTGCTTGGAGTGAAGAAGAGAAATTTCATCGGCATTCGTAAGAAAGTCCGTTCTGATAATCCCGGCATGAAGTGGGATACTCCGGAGGTTTGGCAGGCTATGGATGACTACTTCCTCTCTCTTGGTACGGATAACGAGCCTTCCGACTCAGACCCGTACCCCCTGGATGAGGGTGATTCTTCTGCTGACGACGTCGAGGTCGACGTCGAGGGGGCTGGGGATGAGAAAGTGGGTGACAATGGTGAAGCTTCCGTCGATGCCAATGCTGGTGCCAGGAAAGTTGGTGAGAAGGACGTCGTCGCTGCCGATGGTCAGGGTGGCGCCTCGGATGGTGGCACCGATGGTGATTCCAGCTCATCCGACGATGCTTCGAGCAAGTCGGGCTAGTAGAGTTAGGATGTTTTTTTCTTGCTCGTTTGTTTGGACTCTGTTGATTTCATGCATCTTTTGCTCATTTTGCCCTTGTATGTCTGTGGATGTTTCGCTTTCGGACTATGCTATGCCTTCAAAAATGTTTGTTATTGGAAGGGTTTCCGTTTTCTTGGACCCGTTATGAATATTGTTTTAATTCCGACACGTACTCTTGAAGAAGAAGTAACGCGCTTAGGCTTCTCCTTGACGGAGGGAGCAAGTTTTAGGTCTCCCATACGTATTCTTGAAAAAGAAGTAACGTGTCTAGGCTTCCCCTTGACGGAGGAAGCAAGTTTTAGGTCTCCCACACGTATTCTTGAAAAAGAAGTAACCTGTCTAGGCTTCTCCTCGACGGAGGAAGCGGGTTCGGGTGACCCCTTCTGCCAAGGCAGGAACTTTTGCGAGGGATATCAATTTTATCGCCTCTCATGGGGACTCGTACAACGAGCGCCCGATACTTGGATGAAAATCCAAGTGTAAGCGCTAGGGCTCTTCCGACGGTTTGCGGGAAAAAGGTTTTGCTAAGATGACTATCTTAAGCCAAACCCGATTTTTCTTACGTGTACCCCTGAAAAGAAGGTGACACGTTTGGGCTTCTCCTCGACGGAGGAAGCGAGTCGGAGGAGACTCCATCTGTTAAAACAGGAACAACTTTGCTTTGCTGAGTAGTGAATCTCCATTCCTTTAGCAAGATATGGGATTACATGGGGTACTGCCAGGACGCGTCCCCTTTCCCGAAAATTCCGAATATTACCAATCTAAACTGAATAAAAGGACTCTATTAGGGTGTCTTTGGGTTACGCCCCTTTAAAAGCGCCCCTCCTCCCTACAAAAATGTCTACCTTTGGAGTAAAGCAAGAAAAAACAACACTTGAGTCTTCCTTAGGGTGTCTTCGGGCTACGCCTCCTTGAGAGCGCTCCTCCTCCCTACAAAATGTTCACCTTCCGATTACTCCTCCTGTGCCTCTTGTTCGCACATGTACTTCCTCAGATGCCTTGCGTTCCAGGTTTTGCTGACACGTTCTGCCTAAATGGTGGAGAGCTTGAAAGTGATTGGTCCTATCACTTCCCTTACGACGAAGGGTCCCTCCCACTTAGCAGCCAACTTTCCATGATTCGGGTTAGGGTGGAATACCTTTCTCAGGACAAGGTCTCCCTCTTCGATGTGGTGAGGCTTCAGCTTTGAATTATAGTATTTTGCCAACTAGTCCTTGTCTTCTACCAGCCTCCGAAGCGCCTCGACCCTTCTCTCATCTAGCATGTCCAGTTTGTGAGCCATGTTGTCATTGTTCCCTTCATTGAAATATTGAACACGCAAGGTGGGCAACGCAACTTCCGTGGGAGTCACCGCTTCTGCACCAAAATTTAGGGCGAATGGGGTTTCACCCGTAGAGCTTTTTGGGGTGGTGCGTAGCGCCCATAGTACATGGGGGAGTTCCTCTACCCAATTTCCTTTCTGCTCTTGGAGACGCTTCTTCAGTCCTTGAAGTATGGTTTTGTTTGCTGCTTCCGCCTGTCCATTCGCTTCTGGGTATGCTACTGATGAGAGCTTGAGCTGGATATTGAATTCTTGACAAAAGTCTGCGAAGGATGCGCAGTCAAACTGCTTGCCATGATCAGTGATGATGGAATTGGGAATGCCAAATCGTGCAAGTATGTTGTTGAAGACAAATCTCGACTTGTTTTGCCGTGATAGTGGCCAACGGCTCAGCCTCAATCCACTTTGTGAAGTAGTCTACTGCCACGATAAGGTATTTCCTTTTTCCCGAAACTTTGAGGAAAGGTCGTACTAGGTCCATTCCCCATTGGGCAAAGGGCCAGGGACTGGCGTTTCCTTGCATTGCAGTAGCTGGGAGGTGGTGCTCTTTGGCATGGGTTTGGCATGCATGACATGCCATAGTGAATTGCTTTGCATCATTTCTCATGGTTGGCCAGTAGTACCCTTGCAACTTTAGCGTTCTTTCCAAGCTTCTTGGCCCCCCATGTCCACCACATACGCCCTCATGAATCTCGCGGAGTGCCCACTTCGCTTCAGCCTTTCCCAGACATCTAAGGTACACTCCTTCGAACGATCGTCGGTGCAGCTCTGAGCCGATGATGGTGCAACGCGCCGCTCGCCTTCTTACTCCCATGGCCTCTTTCGGATCTGTTGGAAGGGTATCATTCATGAGGTATTCAACAATCGGCACCCTCCAATCCTGCTCTTCGTGACCGACATTAACACTATTCACCCCTATTCCTGGGGCGTTTGGGCTCTCTTTTTCGACAATTACATGTCGTTCCTCCTCAAAGTCAACAGCGGTGGCTAGCTTAGAAAGCGCATCTGCATGCGCGTTATCCCCTCGTGCTATATGGGAGAGCTTCCAATCCTCGAAAACCTGCGCTCTCTTCTTTGCCTCTTCCACATAGCGCAGCAAACAATCTTCCTTGACTTCGAACTCTCCCAATACCTGTCGAACCACCAATGCAGAGTCAGAGAAAACGTCTAGGCGCCTTGCCCCTAGCTCCTCCGCAATGCGCATGCCGTTGATTAGTGCCTCGTATTCTGCCGCGTTGTTGGTCTTAAGTGTCGAGAATCGCAAAGCCACTTCATGTGTGACACCTCCCGGCGTTTCCAAGACTATGCCGACGCCTGCACCTGTCTTACTTGCCGCTCCATCAACGAATAGCTTCCATCTCCCTTCATCGTTCCTGTAGGCTCGATCGTTCCTTCTGCTACAAAGTCTGCCAGGATTTGGGCTTTGATGGAAGGGCGAGGAGCGTACTGGATATCAAACTCACTTAGCTCAACTGCCCATTTAGTTAGGCGCCCCGAAGCACTCGTGCTATGCAGAATTCTTTTCATTGGTAGGTTGGTCAATACAGTGACCGTGTGTCCTTGAAAACAGGGTCTCAGCTTTTGGGCGGCAGTCACCAATGCCAGGGCTGTCTTCTCGATGATTGGGTACCTCCTTTCGGTTGGAAGGAGCGTTTTGCTGATGTAGTATACTGGCTGGTCTGCAAGAGTTTCAAAGTGACGCCTAACGAGCACCGCACTGATAGCCACGTCTGATATGGCTATGTAAAGGAACAAACGCTCTCCCTCCTGTGGAGCTACAAGGATAGGGGGTTCACCAGCAAAGTTTTCATCTCCTCGACTGCTTTCTCACATGCTTCCGTCCATTTGAACTTGGATTTTTTCTTTAGAGAATTGAAGAGCGGGGCGCACCTATCCGCTGACCTGGGAATGAATCTGTTGAGCGCGGCGAGTTTACCTGCCAATCCCTGAACTTCCTTTACTGTCCTTGGCGACTTGAGTTCGGCAATTGCCTTTATCTGTTTCGGATTAGCCTCAATACCGCGGCAAGTGATCATGAAGCCTAAGAATTGACCCGCACCTGCCCCGAACACGCACTTGAGGGGGTTAAGCTTCAGATTGTGACGCCTCAGGTTCTCGAACGTCTCCCTTAAGTCACTCAGGTGGTCACCCTCTTTCTTACTTTTGATTAACACATCGTCCACGTATGCCTCCACATTTCGTCCTATCTGTCCTCCAAAGACTTTGTCCACCATCCTCTGATAGGTGGCACCTGCGTTCTTCAAGCCGAATGGCATTACTACATAGCAATAATTCCCGTACGGGGTCATGAAAGCCGTTTTCTCTTGATCCTCTTCGCTGAGAGGGATCTGGTGGTACCCCGAAAACATGTCAAGAAAGCTTAACATCTCATGATTTGAGGTGGCATCGACCAGCTGGTCAATTCTTGGCAGTGGATATGGGTCCTTCGGGCATGCTTTGTTCAGTGAGGTGAAGTCGATGCACATTGGCCATGTCCCGTTGTGTTTCTTGACCAATACTGTGTTTGCCAACCACTTCGGGTACTGCACTTCTCTAATAAAACCTGCCTTAAGCAGCTTCTGTACCTCTTCCATCATGGCTACCCTCCTTGCCAACGATGCTCCCCTCCTTTTTTGTTGTACTGGCACGCTCTTTGGTTGACGGAGAGCTTATGTTCCATAAGATCCCTAGGGACACCCGACATGTCTTCAGGGCTCCAAGCAAATAGATCAGCGTATTCCCTTAACAGGTTGATCATTGGGAGGCGCATGTGCTCTGGCAGATGGGCGGAGAGTCGGACAACTCGGCTTGGGTCGTCAGGGTCTAATGGTAGCTCTATCTCTGAATCAACTGCTCCAGGGCGCGGCACCTCCGTTGGTCTAGCATTGATCGTGTGTATTTTTGGCTTGTGAATGGTCGCCGCATAGCACGCCTTTGCTACCTTCGCATCCCCCCTGGATATCCCCATACCCTGGGGTGTTTGGAATTTCATCGCCTGATGGCAGGTTGAGGCTACAACTCCGAACCGAGCTAGGAAGGGCCTCCCTAGAATGGCATTATATGCGGATGGGCAGTCGGCAATGTGGAAGTCCACCGGGTGCGTGGCACTTGGCTCCTCGTCTCCTACCTTGACTCCTAAGCGCGCAGTTCCTAGTACCTTCACTTTTGCTCCAGAAAAGCCGACAAGTTGGGCTTCTGAGGCTTGCATGACCTCAGGGGGTGTTTTCATTTGGCGCCAGCAGGAATAGAATAGTATGTCAGCGGAGCTCCCACTATCTACCAGCACTCGGAATACCTTGTACCCTTCCACTTGTATGTTGATGACAAGAGGGCTTTCAGATGGGCCCTCCGGGGGATAGTCTTGCGATGTAAATGACAAGTCGGGACCCTCTTGCTTTGCGATCTTCATACACCATGTGTCACTCGCTTGCCCCTTGCGCTTCTTCTTTCGGCTGGGCTCCCCTCCCGCGATGGTTCTTATCTCCTTGACATTTGGGTTAGGACCCAGGCGCTCCTGCACTGGTGGCCTTGTGGCTGGAGAGCGACTGCGCTCTCGCGGAGACTGATTCCCCTGTTCTACTTTCTGGAACATTTCTCTTACTCCTCCTCGATCAGAGATTATCTTAAGTGCTTTTTTGAAGTAGTGGCAATCAACGGTGTTATGGGTGCAAGAGTTGTGGTACTCACAGTACATGTTTGCTTGCCCCCGAGACTGATTCGCATTCTCGCGGTTGGTTCGTTCTCGGCGAGGCTCTTGTGAATTTGCAAGGACGTCTCTTCTTACCCAGACATTGGGACGTCGGGCATCGTCTCGTCGATATGGATTCCGCCTTCTGGTTCTAGGCGCCTCGCCCCTTCCATTTTGAGCTGGGCGCCTGGAGCCACTTCCTTGTTCCTCCTCCTTTGCCCCTAGTGCCTCCTCCATGAGGATTGCCTTCTGAACCTTTTCTTCCAGTTCAGCTACCTGTCGTATCTCTCTTTTGGCTAGGGAGCGCCTTAGCTCTTCGTTGGTGCTTGCATCCATTAGATTGGTGCGCATAAGTGGAGGGGTTAGGTCTTTGACATCGGACGCGACTTCCCACCATCGCCCCATGAAGTGCCTGAGGCTCTCTCCCTTTCTTTGCTTAAGATTGACAAGCGCATGAACCGTCAGCGTTTGCTTCTTCTGGCTCGCGTACTTTGTTGTAAATAACAAAGCGAATTGAGCAAAGCTCTGAATGATGCCCTCTGGGAGTGAGGAGTACCAGCTACTACATCCTCCGGTGAAGGTTGAGGGGAATGCCTTGCACAAGGCAGCGTCAGACGCATTGAGGAGTTGCATTTTTCGGCAGAACGTACTCAAGTGATCTTCTGGGTCAGATTTTCCGTCATATGAGGGTAGGCCGATGCTTGCGAAATTCGGTGGGATTGGTGTTTCGAGCACCCCCTTTGACAACGGCTGCCTAATGATTTAGGCACTTCTGTCTTCCGAGGCGTTGTAGTTAAGTCGGGCGTACTTCTCTAGGTAGATGTCGGTGTCAGCTTCCATTGCGTCCTCATTTGGTGAGGCGCCCACACCCTCCCGTGGGGAGTTCATGGGTACCGCCTCAACCTCCTGCATCTTCCCTCAGAGGCGCCTCCTCTCCTCTGTGGCTTCTTGGGGATTTGGAGGCGCCTGGTCGTTGACCTTTGTTAGTGCTGTCAACGCGGTCATGACTTGGTCTAGTTGGCCTTGCATGCTTGCCATTTGAAGTGCTTGTTTTTTTCGAAGCTCCGCTAGTTGGCTCTCCAGGCGCTCCGCGCCTTCTCCGTCTCCTGATGGGTCGTCGTCGTCGGACGCTTCTAAGGCTTGGATGGTGAGCGGTTGGGGGTTGATCGCTTCACGACCAACCACTTGCTTGAGAGGGGTCTTCGTTGGTGCCGGACTTCTTTCTTCCCCCTTCTTTGAGTTGGAAGAGTCTTTCAAAGTCATGCTTGGCCCCATGGTGGTCGCCAATTGTTTGAGCCCGGGCGACTGGGCGTCACTCGGGTCCAAGGGGTTTGGGGCGTCAGCCATGACTTTGAGGGGGTAGGCGCCCCGCCTCGTCAGAAGCAAGAAAAGAGAAGAAGTGTATAGAGAGAGAAAGTAGAGAGAAGTAATAGTAAGAGTAGATAGATTGCCATTTATGAGGAGAGAACTCCTATTTATACACATTTGGGGGTTAGGTAGTGGTCTGGGCGCCTGCCAAGCCATAAATGCTATGGTCGGGCGCCTCAGACCTTCTGACACTGTACATAGTCCTTTTTGACAGAGGGTGTCCCCCTGCCCCTTGTCCTTGCTGATGTCAGGTGCCTGGCCTTGTCTCTTGTCTCCCAGCCTTGTCTTTTTCCTCTTGTCTTCTTTCCTTCTCCATGTCATTAGTTATGGTATTAATTCTTTAGTTACTAGGATACCCTATCAGAACCTATGCACAAACCTAATACAAGTATCAGTCGTCATCATATGTTGCACATAATCTCAGGCAAATCATCCATAGACAATGCTAATAACCACGAGATTCAAAACAAATCACCACAATATGCCACTATGATCATGCAAATGTAGAAGTTGTTATGCTTGGAGCCCTTAAATTTTGAAAATTTCGGCATACAACTAGGCTCCAATCATTCAGAATTACACCAAACATTCACACACACATGCATAATAGACTACCCCCCACACTTAAGCTCGACATTGCCCTCAATAGCGTAAAATAAGGGGTAAAACGATGTTACTGGTCAAGGTGTGAATGATGGTGATCGGGAGTGGAGGGCGGGTGAGATCCGGAAGATCAAGGAGATGGCAAAACACCACCAAAATATCTTCATTGGTCGTCTTATTGAAAGGACAGGAGATGCAAACCGTTGATGGTTGGGTTGCCTCCCACCAAGCGCTTCTTTAACGTCTTGAGCTAGACGGTTGCTCTTCAAGTTTTGGTCCACCCAAGAACCTCCTTGAAGTTGAGGTTCTCTTCGGTGAGGTGATGTCTCTAGTCCCGAGCATTGAACGAATCCATGATTGAGGGCTCGTGAACTTGATCGACTTTGAGGCTCCACCCACGAGGCCTCTTCTTTTTTCCTTCTTATTTCTTCTCTTTGCCCCATACCATGTAGTGCAAACTCGATTGGTTTCCAACGCATACACCAAGAGGGATCGCCGATGGTTTGGCCTTGACTTGGCAAAGAGCCACAAACGGATCCTTCTCCAAAAGCGCATCAAGGTCGGGTGGAAAGCTTTCATAGCCCTCGTAACTTGTGGATGCTTCATCCATCTCGACCTTGTCCTCATCTTGGACTCCACTTGCACCTTCTTCTTTATCTTAAACCTCCCTTCCTTCTTAAAAATTTGATTCCTCCCATTGGGAACACCCAAGATCTTCCTCCTCGTCAATGCTCACTTCCTCCTCTTCAACCACTTCTTCCTCCTTCCCGTTCATCTCTTCAAGCACGAATTTGAGGGCAAAATGCAATACAAAGTCATAGAAGTGATTCTCTTGCTCCTCCTCACTCGTGTCTTGGTCTTCAAATTGCTTTAGCGAAGGGGAAAGTGATGGGAGTCATCAATGCAACCTTCTTGTTCATCCTCACCACGGGAGCTCTCTGAGGTGAGTTCCTCTTGCTTGAAACTGTTGTCATTGAGCGCCCCTTCAACCTCCTCTTTCTCCTCCAATAATGAGAGGCGAATGCTTTCACAGGCTCGTGTCGCTTTCTCTTCTAGTGTCAAACCGGGAGGAGGGAGGGGTTGGAAATCCATGTCGGAGCTCATTCTTCCAAAATCATCATGGCTTGCCTCTTTGACTTCCTCTCTTTCTTCCAATGGTGGTAGGCGATTGTGAGAAAGTTGTGCACATGCTTCCCCCTTCTTGTTCACTCCATGAAGCTCCGGGGTACCCCCATTCGGGTGGTTGTGGATACCCCCACCTATTGTAGAAGCCATTGGGATCCATGATTCATAACCTACACAAACAAAAACACAAAAACAAAATCAAACAAACACAAACCACCCTTCAAGATGAAGAGTGGGTAAACAAAACACAACACAAAACACAAACAAAAAGGCAAGATAGAAAATGCTAGATTAACACTAAGCGACCTTTTCAAAATAATGGACCGCTTCCCCGACAACGGCGTAAAAAACTTGACTCGCACGAAACTACACCACAAATTAATCCCGACTAGAGCCCAAGTTTTTAAACTCTAGCCGGGTGCAGTATAGAGCAAGTATTTAAATTGTCAACCCGGGTCGGGCCATGTACCCCTACTTCGATCGATTAAGTTGTTATCTAGCAAGCAACTTTAGGGGTTAGGTTTATTGGAACTACAAACTAACCAAGCAAAGAAAGGTAAATAAAGGAAAATTCTAACTAAGGGAGCTTCACCCAAGATTTGCTTCCCCCTAACTAGCTATCGTGAATCGTTGGATTGAAGGGAGTCGTGTGGCATGGGTGGTTGTGAACCGCGGGTGGTGAGCAACTAGTGATCAATCTGTCACGACATCAATTCACTAGCGATCGATTTGTCACGGGATCGATCCACTCACCAAGTCTAGGGGAACCACTAGGAGGAGCAACTAGTGATCCATTTGTCACGGGATGGATTCACTGGAGGTCGATTTGTCACGGGATCGATCCTCTCGCTCGCTCACTAGTGGTTGCCTAGGTCTCTCCCTCAAAACGGAGTTTGAGCTGCTTAATCACAACTAACCTAGATGCAAACTGGTAAACGCGAACCTCAGAGGGATGCATATGTGGTCGAAGACCACAATCTCAATTGCTAAACTGAGGTAAGCATGAAAGGTTGTGTCACTTGACCCTCTCGGTTTAGACAATCGGTAGTTGACTTACTCCCTCACTCAACTCTAAGGTCGGATGACTTAATCGCGATTAATCGACTTGCTTAACTCAATATTGAGGGTTGCCCTAACCTAACCAAGTTTAGGTGGCTTAGAAAGCGGAAGGAAAACCAACTTGATTGAGTCTCCCTTGGAAGGTGGATTTTACTCTCTAAGCTAGGCTAAGGTGGCTAATTAGATTGCTAGCACCAACATGCACAAACCTAAGGGTGCTAAGCACAATTATCCACAACCCTTAGATTGCTACGCACGAGCATGCACAATCACCATGAAAACACCTCTAATACTCAAATTGATGCAAACCCACACTTAATCATTCAATCTAAACAAGTAATTACAAAGTATTAGTTAGGGATCTACAACACCCAAGAGAAAAGAGTGAGGTTCTAGAGAGGGAGAGAGGGGTTACAACTTTGAGCTCAAGATCTTCTTCTTCTTCTAGGCTTGAATCTTCCACCCAAGCCTCCAATTATGCTCCAAGATCACTCTAGCACTCTCTCTCTCTCTCTCTCTCACTCTCACTAGAACTCCCCTTTGGTGTTTTAGGTTGAAACCTTAGAGAAAGAAAGTGTGTCTTCTCCAAAAACCAGCTCTCCTTTCTCTCTCCTCGCTGTTGTCTTCATATTTGCCCGAAAGCAATCAGTTCACGGACGCGTTGTCCAATTCATGGCCGTGAACACCTAAAAGCGTTCGTGAAATCAGCGTCGTCCAAAACGCGCCGCTTCACTCGCTTGGGTTCACGGTCAATGTCCCCAGTTCACGGTCTTAGAGACCGTGAACTGCCTTGTCGTCAGTAACTTCACGAACCTCGCTGGACTGCTCGATGTTCATGGTTTGTGGTGCATGTTCACGGTCTTAGGAGGCCGTGAACTGCCTTGTCCGGCCATGAACTGCGGCTGTTTACTGAGACGCCTGCACTTCACTACTACGGACTTCGGAGTTTTCTTCGGTTTTTGCTCTTTTCGACCTCCAAATATCCCAAAACCCGTCATCGACCCTTCCACACATGCTAGGACCTGAAATGTATCGAAACAAGCACAACCTTGCGTGAAATATGTCAAGGAATGATGAAATACTAAGCTAAACGAATAAGAAATGAGGGGTAAAATGTGTACATTTGAGCTCGAATCACCAATGTAAGAATTCTACATCACATCTACACATTCAATATGCAATATTCGAATCAATGATATTTGGGTTGCAATGTTAAAATTATTCTCCACTCCACTAACTCGATACAGGCTTTCCCTCTGTATAAGACTTCTTCCGAATGGCATAGTAGAGCTGCTCGATAAGCCACTATCTATGCCTGCCAACTTTGGTGTGTCAGCTTAGTTATCCTCATCAAGCCACTTACTTGATGTCTAGCTTCCCAACTGGTAGACGGTTCCTTTTCCCCCGAGGACAGCTGTCAAAGCCTTCACCTCCTCATACTTGAAATTTCATTCAAAATACGGGGAAAATGCAAAAAGTCAGATTTTATAAGAGGACACAATTACTCTTCCTACTTTCGCTCTCGCTTCAGAGGATGCACAAAAATTCTAGTATCCCTCAAAGTCCATCATTGTTCAATTTCCTCCCTACGCAAAAAAATAATAGTGAATAGAGGGAATTCTACATCTTTAAAGACATTTGTATTCTTAACCTTCCAAATCTCACAATATCATTTGCAAACCAAATGTGGGAAATGATTGAGTATATAGATATAGGTTGATCGATTCTAGACAAATCTTCCATATGATTTATCTTCAACATCGAATGACAAAGGGAATTTGACACTAATAAAAGAAGAGAGGGTGAAAGGGTATCCCTTGATGTAATCCTTTAGAAGGTGAGAAGAAATGAGAAGGTATGTCATTCAGCATCACCGACAATCTTGTCAAAGTCACACACTCCGTCTTCCATCCAATCTATATTTCATCGGAACCCATTACCTCTAAAACAACCCTCATGAAGTTCAAAAAGACCTTGTTATAAGTTTTATTCATGTCAAGCTTTAGTAAGAAAGACGCTATGTCCCTCTCACTTGTGCTTTAGGTATTGCATCACTTCATGCACAATCACAATGTTACCTTAAATGCTTCGATTTCTGATAAAGGCATATTGAAGTTCTGAAATCAAATCTTTGAGATGATTTGCACTATGCTATCGATTAAAATTGGTGAACTCTCTAGGTGTTGTACCTTGGAAAGGAGAGCAACATGAGCATTATTCCAACCTAGCTTTTGTGGTCTTAAACGTTATTAATATCATAAGGTGTAAGGATTGTTACATTTAGTCGGCCGGTAAAAATTGCCTATCGCCATCAATACTGTTATGACACCAAGACGTTAGGGAAAACTCATGCCAACTAATTCCATGTAGTTTATATTCGCAATGTACCAAAATACTGGCAAGTTTTGACAGTATACATCAGTAGCGCCGATTAAACAATTATTTTGACAATGGTTGATTGCATATATTTTTTGTACCTATTTCATTTCATTTTAACAATGATACTCAACTAGTATTCTATCGATTGAATCATGATTGTATCACTAAATTATCCTACATAACTTCTGCTACAATTTTACAAATCATGAAATAGTGATTCCTAATCTATTTTCTTAATCATGAAATTAAATGTTGAATTCCAACCCATTCGACTAAAGCTCATAGTCACAACATTCCGCCGTAAAGCCACCCAAAAAAAGCAAAATATATATGGAATTGCAATGAAGGGATTCATTGATATTTTGGGTGGATTTGTGTAGGAGTTCATGCTGCAACTTACGAAAGCACCAATGGTGACTGAGTGATATTGGTGGTGGGGTGAGGTGGCGGGCAGGTGCTATGATTAATTGGTTTTAGTGGGGGGATTTTTCAGTGGAGGGTTTGGCATTAAGGCTAAGAATGGATAAGATTAGATAAGATGACATATGCCATTTGGTGGTGTGGGATATCTACCAAGACTGCAGTATTATTGGTATTTTTATGAATTGAACTTTTGACATTTTAGTATGGGTAGTATTATGGCGGTAAATAAGTCGTGTCTAGTCAAGTATTAATGTAATTTGAGCTAGGCTCGTTAATAAATAAGTCGAGTTTGAATTCAGCTTGTTTATAGAAAAATCTTGGCTTGTGTTCGACTTTAGCTCTACTCGAGTTAGCCTCGTTAGTGAGTTTACGAGCGAGCTCCACTCGAGTTCGGCTCATCTATTAGCTCACGAGATAGGTTCGAGCTCGGTATCATGCCATTTAGTTCATAATTTTCATTGTCCATATCATGTTATATTGTTATTTCATTGTAATTATTAATTGAGCAATTTATGATACATAATTTCTCCTTTTTAAATTATAAATGAGACATATTTGATTACGTGTTTAAACTATTAAACATCATATGTCGTGCGATATATGATTTAACAAACATATGAATTATCAACAAGTAAATGATAAGCTAGTAACACTACAAGAAAACCTAGTTTTAGAGACAAAGGTTATTTGCTTATGTACATCTATCGAAACAAATACTTTATTTGCATCGAACGCCTCTGTCTCTAATTTCTTTTAGAGGCAGACGTAGAAGCAATTAATATTTGCTACTAATTAAAGAATTGGAGGCAAATATATTTGATGCTAATTCTATTTTTAAAAGTATACTTTCATAATCTTATTTATTTATAGAGGGATGTACATTTGCTTGTAATTTAAGTTTACGAGGCATATACATTTGCTTCTAAACGATTTTTTGGAGACATATATATCTGTCTCTAATAAGTATATTTGGAGGCAATTAATTTTATGGACTAGTTTATATTTGTACACGTTATTTGTACTTGAGATCTCAATGGACCACTACCAAGATTTTAATTGTTGATTGAATTTATTAGTGTATTATATAAATAAGAATGATCGAAAAATAACTATAAATTGTACAAAACCCGATATAGGCCTAGGTTCTGGTCCTTAAGGCCCAAACCTTAAGAAGTTTCTTAAGTGAACAACAGCCATTAAATTAATCTGGGTTAGTTGTAAAATAGTTTACGGTTATTTAGTAGTTAGTAATTATTAAGGGTAAAATAGGGTATTTTATTTAGGTTTTCAATATTTCCTTTTCAGTTACTTTATACTATCGGCGGGATCAATATATCTTTACGTTAGTTTAAAATTTTCATTTCTCAAGCTTCCCGTTGGTGTTGCAGGCTGTCGTCGTCAGGAGCGAAGAAGTTTCCCGTCGTTGAGCTCGAGCTCCAAGGGTCAACGTTGCAGCCTGTCGTCGTCATGAACGGAGATGCTACTTGTTGTTGAGCTAGAGCTTCCAAGGATCATAGTTGCAGACTTTCATAAAAAAAAAGGGGTCAGAGTTGCAGACTTGCAGCCCGCCGTCGTCCTGAGCGGAGAAATTTCCCGTCGTCGACTTCGAGCTCCGAAGGGTCAGCCTTGCACCCTGCCGTCGTCTTGAGCGGAGATGTTTCACGTTGCGAGTTCCAAATCTTCCCGAGGCTTTGAAGACTCAATGTTGGTGGGTTCCAAATATTATCATTTGAAGGTCCTTATATAATAAGGTTCACGAGCATTGTTTGAATACTGTCCTTGTTGTCATATTGGTTCAGTTGTTGCTTGCTTGGCGAGTTGTCGATAATAAAAGAGATATTATGCACTATCATTATTAAGGTTTGCATTCTAATTATTAATGTTTTAATGTTCATTCCTATTTAGCGATTACAAGACATTATCAATACTTATGCTTTAAACTCTCCACAATATACCACATTATTATCAACGTTTCCAAAATAATTATTTGGCTGTTAACAATAACCATTTTTCTAATTATTAATTATTTGGCTGTTAACAATAACCATTTTTCTAATTATTAATTATTTTTAAAAAAATTGTAAAGTTTCAAACATAATGTTATCAAAGCTAATAATATTAACGTTTTGTAGACAATTGTTAACAATGTAATGTAAGGTTATCAACGTTTATGTGGGATATCATTAATGATATACAGTCATATTATCAACGTTTCCAAAATAATTATTTTTACTGTGAACAATCAACATTTTCTAGATAGTCAAAGATTTTAAATTTTTTTTCTTAATATTGAAACATAACGTTTATCAAAGCTCAAACTATTAACATTTTTAGACAGTTGTTAACAAGGTAATGTAACATTATCACCTTTTATGTGAGGCAGTATTAACAATATATAGTCATATTATCAACGTTTACTAAATAATTTCTTAGTCACTATTTTCTTAATTGTTAACATTTTTAAAATTTTTGTTAGACATACGTTAACTATGTAATGTAACATTATCAACGTTTACACCAGGTATCATTAGCAATATACAGTTATATTATCAACATTTCATCTATATTATTAACATTTTTAAATAATTGGTAAGATTGAAACATAATGTTATCAAAACTTATAAGGCTTTTTAGACAACCGATGAGAGCAATTTAATATAACCTTATCAATGTTTATGTCATATATTATTAACAATATACTGCAATTATTATTAATGTTTTCTACAATAGTTTAGAATATTTGAAAGATCATTATTGACAGACCTATCACAAACTCTCGAGGACCATCCAACAGAATGTCTTATGAAAACGTGATTGCTGAAAGAACATAATTTTCTCCTTAATTTGCGTGGGTAGTTGTGTTGCGGGGAAGGGAAGGGGAATGCATGCGGAAATGTTCAATTTCTTTCCTTAATTTTTGTTAATTATTACATTAATTATTTTATAAAAATACCTTATTTATCCTTTTAGGTAGTTAGACGCAAATTTTCTCTCTCCTCTTTTTATTGGCTAACGAAAATTTAAAAAACTCATAGGCTTAAGGACTAGATCCAACCCGATAGATATAAATATTATTCATATGTTTCCTTTGGCAGAATACATTATAAGCACAAAGTAAAATACACTTTGTAATACATACATACTCAGCAAACAAAACAGTAGGTAATAACTAAAAAAATTTGGTTGACTATTCTGGACAAAAGATGCATTGTCGTTGAGTTGTACAGTGTATCAAGATCGATCTCTATATCCATCCATTTATTCACTGCTTCACGGTTGGCATCAACATCAACTCTTTCAATCATCAACAAACAGATCTAATTATAAGTTTATAAGTACTCTAAGAGGATGAGAACACAGAAGCGGCAACAGTGCAGTTCTTCAGGCAAGAAGAAGACAAGCGGCGGCGCTTTGTGTGGAAGAGAAGCCGATGTACGATTGTGATTATGGAAAAGAGGTTGCTACTCATGTCGAAGAAAGAAAACAGGAGGTGGCGTTGCATCGACGATAGAACTAAAGATATCAACAAAATATGCATCTAATTTGACAATAGCAATGGTAAAACAATACAAAAAAAAAATTCAGAAAGAAAGCTCCAACGATGCAGTGTGCGTAGTAGAATAGAAGGAAGAGAAAGAATAATTTAGGGGTCGTTTGGAGAATATGAGTTTAAATCTATAGATTGTCAATAATCTAAAGATTATAACTCTTCGGATTGTTGAAAATAGATTTTAAAATGTTTATTGTTTGGTAACTATGATTGTTAACATTCAATGAAAATAAGAAAATTATTTTTATATTAAATAACGTGTTTATCCTTAATAAAAAAATAGAGTGTTTGAGAAATATTAAAAACTTTGTTGATAAATATATTTAATATGATAAATAAATAAAACAAAGAGAAAAAGTAGGAGGAAAAAATTCTCACGAATCAAGATATAGAATCTCTTTGATTATGAGAGATTTGATATCCGTAGATTTTAGAGATTTGAAATCTCTAAAGTTCAAATCCACAATACAAAAAACAACAAAAAAACATAACTATCTACAAAATCTACGAATTCAATGAATCCACGCCCTAAATCTCATTCTCCAAACGACCCCTTAGAAGATGACTATAGGAAACGAGAAGGAAGATTAAAAGTCCCAAGTCGGCCGACAGAGAAATAAGAGATAGTCTCTAGGGTTTTCATTTATTTGTAGATGAATGGACAGTAGGGATTAGAGTACTGGACGATTGAAATTTGCCTTAAATTAATTAATGCCACTAATAGAGGGAGGAAAAGTTTTTGTTTTACGTCGTGGTGTTGTTGATAATAAGAAAAGTTCTTCATGACCCTTAAAAATCTAACCCACGCCACTTTTTTCCTTTTTTATTATTGCCATTGAAGATAATCCTTAGTTATCCTCCTTTCCTTTTACTTCCTTTTTCAAATAAACTAACATATATTCTTGTGCCAAACTTTATCTACGAGAGAGATTTATATTTGTCTCTGAAAGGGGATTGAAATAGTATTCACATTTTATCTTTCCATAATTATAAAGCATTTATATTTTTCTCTAAAAGCATTTCATTTGTCTCTGTATGACAACATTTGTATTTGTCTCTAAAAGTTGTTAGATTTGTTTCTATATAACTTAAGTTTAGGATACACTTATATTTGCTTCTAAAACTATTATTTTATGTAAATAAAAAAATTCCTATTATGAAATAGAGACAAATCATATGAGATAGAGAGACAAATAATACATTTGCGGCCATAAATCGGATATAGAGACTAATGCACTATTTGTTTCTAATTATTTGTCTCCAAAGCCAAGTTTTCTTGTAGTGTAATTGATTCACTCATAAGCTAGTTGAGGTGGCTCGCTAGCCACACTGCCGAGCGCCCGAGCCAACTCATAGCTCAAAATGAGCTAGCTCATGTGTTGGGCTCAAGAAGTTACCGAGCTGAGCTGGCTCACGAGCCTTACGAGCCAAACAAGACTTAACTCAAACTCGACTCGTTTACTATTGATTGTCGAGCCACTCGTGAGCAGTTTGACTCATTTGTAGTCCTAGGCAGTACTATATAGTCATCTGAGAACATTAATTTGGAGGCTTTGTTCTATTACATTACATATATTTCACTACTATTTTAATCGCAACTTGTTTGTTTGACACTTACCCGTTTTCCCTCCACGAGTGGTAATGCCATAATGGACAGGACGGATACCTCAATACCAATACTCACTTTGCACAAAATGCAAGTAGGTTCGCGAAACAGGTCAAAGCTACGAAAGAAGTTGTACCCATTCTCATCCCAAGTGTTACTTGCCCCAAACAAAATGGGATAAATTATATCAATATAATCAAGTCAAAATTGTCACCCCTATTCCAAGTACTCAAAGAATCCTCAACAGTCTTACCAACCAAGGTATACCTTGTGAAGCAATATATATATTATCATGTCTATCCAATACCCTTTGAATTTTCAGTTTGAAATAGTCTTCTATGTTGGGTTTTATCAAGTCATTCAATCCTTGCATAATAACAATCACAAAGTCATTATCTCTACCATTGTTTCAAATCATCGTACAAGCTCGAGAATGAGTTATGAAATAAGTCATGAAGTTACTCCATCATATTCTATGTATTTGTCTCCGAATGAAAGAGACCACAGGCAAAAGGTTGATCATTCTTGTATTCACCCCTACAAGGTCTCGCAATCTAAGACCCTTTCATTATCTATGTTTTGTATGGCACTAACACTTCAAGTACTTCTGTCACTAGTGGGAATGGTAAATGGCTAAATGCAATAACCAGCCATGGTAGTACATTCAAACCACGAAATATAAAACCAACATGAAGATGAACCGCTAGAACTACGATAATACGGAAATGATAAGTAAGGCCAACAAAACCCAACAGTTGACCGAAGCGTTGAGGAAGAAAAGATGCTTTCAAAGAAGGCATTCAATGCATCCAGTGGCGTAGTTAGAAATGATTTGGCTCTTATTTTCCAATGAATTCAACCCATTTTCTCTTCTCTGTAACTGAGGAATTTGTTGCCAGCACTTGTTTCCAAATTATATAATACGACATAACTTGATCTTCGGCATCGTTACATACGATTGAACTAAATCAGCTACTTGCTGAAAATGTTGTTATCCCCAATGCTGCGTTGACGCCCTTTCACTGTTGCTTCTTGTTGAAGAGCATCCATCCAACAACTGTGACAAATTCATTAGTTTAATTTACTTCATATTCGAGGAAAACCGTGGCATTAGTATTAATTAAGATTAACAAGCTTATCGTACTACATTATCATTATCAAACTAAACGTACTAGTTTACAATATTTAACGAGTACCACAACCATCTTTCTTCGTACACAAGAAAACAGAATTAAATCTAAATACATATGTTCATTATAAGAGTTCGTCTCATATGTAGAAATCGTCTAGTACTACGTGCGGTTAGGAAGCTACCTAATTTCACCTTCTTTGTATGTGTCAAATTAGTCGTGTTGTAGTTACTATATAATCCAAAATATCCAATTCTGTTTTATTTAATAGACCTAACAAGTTCTCTTCACCCCTACTAAAGAAAGAAAATTCTGTTTTATTTAATAGAACTAATTTTTATGAACCCTATCATTGAAAACTACATTTTAGTTACTAAATTTTATATAATGACAATTTAGCACCTAAACTTTTTAAAATTTGCATAATGATCCAAAGTTTGACTAGTCACTCGAATCCACGAATCTAATCCATTTTAATTCACCAATCCATGAAATGCTATCGATTTGCCACCTCTTATTCTAAACATATTGGATCAAATTAAAGCGAGCAACTACTATCAGAAATTATCCTCTCTATACTCATACCACAAATGGTTGAATAAATATCGAGCTCTAATAAGCTCTTGCTTCAGTCACAAATGCCTAACTAAGCTAGTAGCTACTAGTACTACTGCCCAAATCGCACCTTGCCTTATTTTGTAACGCATATCTCAATTTTTTGCTAGATACTGATGCTAAAATTAGACAAATATGTGATTGTTGATTCATTCTCGCCTATTCCCGCTGCTAATATGCGCATGCATACCAACAAATTGAGCAAAGGCACCTCTAACTGTGCACACGGTTCCACAATGTATTTAATTAAATTGTTCATGGAATTAACAAATGAAAGGGTGAAGAAGGCAGCATGAAAAGAATCTGCCGCCTTTGAAACAATCAATAGCGTCGTGCATTCAGTCATTAACAACACACACAAAAAAAAAAAATCATTAAAAAACTATAGTGTACTTTTCCAGCAATTGGCAATTAATTAACTACTTAATTACTCAATATAATCAGCCCCAACCTAGGATTAAGATCAAGATAAAACAATAATGCAGCAGGTTAATATATATATATACACACTAATATAAACCCTCCCACACGTAAGCTGGATATTAATTACCCGACAAAAACCCATATATACCATTACCACGTAGACAGCTCTCCTTCCAAATTTTGTCCAAGAAACAAGGGCCCCTTAATTACCTTCCAAAACACGATGCCCATTGGTTCGATCAGTTGCTAATTTTGTTCGTTTCTGTGCAGCTGTTAGTGTTAATTACTGTGTAGGTGGGCGAGGTGCACGATCTCTTACGTACAGCAAAAACAACGTACTTTTAATTAGCGCCTCTGTTCTCTCCCTCGAGGCCGCCGGCCCAGTTTGATTATCTGTCCAAGGGAAGAGGATAAGATAATTAACTAACATAGCTACCAACCAATAATTACTTATTTTAATGGTTATATTTTGTTGGCTTATCCCAGTTTAGTGTCTGTTTGTCGTTTTCTCTTGATGACGGTCTCTCCCACATATACACCAGTGAGAGAAAAAGGACATGAATCTGGATTTGGTAAGCTACGTACGTATGAACGATACTGTACAATTTCCCTGGGCTTCAACGGCATGTGCAGTACGTACGTAGGAGTCATGCCGATTTTTTCCTCCCTAAATTATACGTCGTCCGTGAGCTAATTCCAGGTTTAGCTAAAGATGTCACACCACATGTTATTAGGGGATTAATGAGTAAACCAGCTAGAGAAGAGAAAAAAAACTCAATCTAAATTAGAGGGTAATCTAGATAGAGACTAGAGCGAGCTCCTTGTATGAAAAAAATATAGGTTTGTAAGTTACTGTTCGATCTTATATAGTAAAGAAATTTAATCGAGAGGGAAAATTAATATTAGTGGTGTCGCAACCGGAGAGCTCAATTAGTACGATATTGTCCGCTTTGGGCCAAGCCCGAACGGTTTTACTCTTGGGTGTCCTTCCCAAAAGACCTCGTACTAATTGGGCTAGGTGGACTCTAATATACAAAGGTCTCTTCCTTGTATTTCCGATGTGGTACTTGAATTGTCCCATAACAATCCCCCCTCAAGCCAAAGACAACGAACATTGTGTCCTCACCTCAGCGATTATCTTGATCTGCCAGACACCTTGTATCGATGGGCTTCTCGGTACAAGGATTTTCTCAGACGGGGAACTCTCTTTGATCCGCCAAACAAACGTGGATCTCTCTTGGATCCACCAAACGCGGATCTCCCTCGATCCGCCAAACCAGATGTAGCCCAGACACGGAACGATCGTGGATCCGCCAAACCAGACTTAGATCTCAAATCCCGAGGCCACCGAACGAGGGTCCACCATACCGACGTCCACCGCCCTGGATCCGAGTCGGGCTCTGATACCACTTGTCAGAACATAAGCGTGCAAACGACAATTCATATCAACACAAACGAACACAAATTTAACGTGGTTCACTAACACAATGTGTGCTAGCTAATCCACGGCAGGAGGGACAAATTTCACTAATTTGAGGAGAGTACAGGTTACAAACCAAATTCCGGACGGACAAACCAAACAAACTAACATGACTGACCTTACTACAGATAAGGGCGGTGAAGAGTATTTATAGAACTCTTCTCCTAATCTCAAACAGAAAACCAAACACATTTTCCAAACATACAAGAAAAAGGCCAAGGCTCCAGTGGAATTCTGGTCGAGGGAGAGCTTCTCCGTGACAAATATGTTGTCGGTGGTGGCGAAGTCGAGGATCTATGTTTGTTGCAAGAGACGACTAGCCCCAGCAAAGACAAGTAGAGGAGGATGGCAATGTTGTTGTCGGCGACGGAGTAGAGAAGAATGGTGGTGCTGTTGTCAGCATCGGGCTCAAGCTCCAACGAACATGATGATCGGCGTGAGGGATGAGATGATTCTGGGAAAGGCTGTGGAGTTGAGGGCCGTGACAATTTTGGGGAGGGATTGAAAGGGGGAGGGATCAGCAAACAGACAGTACGATTGGTGTGAGCTCTGGGGCTTGAGGGCGAACATGCAAAGGAAGAAGAAATGGTTACATTTGGAAAATGAAAAGTTAAAAGAGAGATTCAGAAATAGCTGGTGCCCATAAGCTATTTTGAAAACCCACGATTAAAGGTTTTTAAAATCTCTAATCTCAAATTCTGGAGGCTATCCAAACAAGTTATTCTTTTAAAATCCGGGATGGTGAGGGATTGTATCACAATCTTGCCCCAATCCCTTATCCAAACGAAGCCATATAATTTTGCAGGAGTAGTAGGTGATTGTTTTTTTATTACGCAGGAACCTTAGCTCCATGTGCCACTTTGTGAAAGCGGGTCCTACTAAATCTGGGGGCCACCTGCAATCAAATTCGACGCCAACGAGGTTTGGATTCGAACCTGGGATCTGCAACTCTCAAACCTTCACTGTTGCGACAGCTTTACCATTAGGCTATCTTACCTGAAATCTTGTCGTATAATCCAGATCGAGACTGGAGCGAGACCGGATAGCAAACAATCCAATCTCATCTTCGGGTTTAGATTTGAGGTAAAAAATTGTTTGGGACCTAACCTAAAACCGGATAAAGACCGGATAAGAGAGTCCAACACCCAAAACTTAACCAACTACTCACCCTTCCAGGCCTCATGCCACTCAAATTCCCACACAGCTCAATCTAAAATCAAGACCGAATCGGTACTGGACCGGATCAAGACCAGATTGTATCCAATCCCGTCTTTGGTCCTCATATTCCCGAAAAATTCGGACTGGGATCGGATCAATTTGGACCAGTTTAACCGGACCAGACATTATAACCACCCGTACTCAAAGCTCATAATATATGGTTATAAAATCCCAATTATAAATCATAATAGGATGTATGTATTGGATGTGAGGATTTCAATTTGGTATTTGACAAAAATACATGAGGTGAATCTCAAATACACATTTAATGTACTATTTTCGAATTACAAAAATAGTATATGATGCACTAAAAAGAACTATATGTAAAATTTTAAAGTTATGATATTATAACGCAAGCAAAAAGTTCGAGACCCTGAAAAGCAGCTAATGAATCAAAAGCTTTGGACATATTTATAAACAAAATCAAACATCGGATATGAAATTGTAATAAAAAAAAGTTTAGCTACTAAGATGCAATTATCAGAAGAAACATAATGTTTGGCCAAGAAATAACCTAATCCCAAATTGAAAATCATAAACTCTGAAAATTTATAAAGTTGCAAACAAATAATCATTAAAATTCACACATCTATGCGCCCCTCATAAATTGTAAGGACATCACAGAGAGTTAAGTATCATATAGTACCTTAATAATTTAAACTCCACATTTCCATATCGAACCCTATCAAAATTTTCTCTCTCTCCAACATAACCAAAAAAAATCTCTACCTCCATGGTAAAAGATTTGAGGACGTCAAATTTTTTTCTACACATTCTAGACCATATTATTTTTAACAAGTTCTGCCAAAATTGAATTACCCGTCTATAATCTTTCAACAAAAGGAAATCATTTAGTTTGTAAACAAGATGTCAAAGATCCTTCGCTAAACTCCAAAACCCCTCCTCCCCCCCCACAAAACGAAAATGGATAGAAATTAGAAAGATGAAAGCAGAGCATCCAAAGACCAATCCGAATCCGAAACCCGTCCGTTTGTGTTGTGCTGGCGAATTCCCATCTAGCAATCCGCCAAAAAAATCAGGTATTTGCCAGCCAAAAGTTGCAGTATTGTTCATTCTTCTCCCATCTTCCCCCTTTACTTCCCTCGGCTAGGGTTATGGCTGCAGTGCATGATGCACAAGGAGTGAAGACATTACCATAAGTTATGAGAAGTTTGTTGATATCAATAAAATTAATATCCGTGTTAAACTAATCGTAGTTGAAGTTATATCGATTATGTAAAAGTTGGTGTTGAGATTTTGAATGGTGTGAATGAACATGAAAGGGAAAAGAGCCAAGAGAAACTCTTGAAGTACCACGTTGGTAAGATGTGTGAAGGCGTGGCGATTGCATATGTTTGCATAATTCCATGAACTTATACATGTTTTTGTGTTGATTTTCATGATCTTGTATTCTTGTTTGTTACTTGTGTTGGAAAAATTAGTATGCGTGAACAATTTCCATAACAGTTGGTATCGCGACAGTTTTCCTTCTCAACCCTCACCACGAACTGCTGGTTTAGTTCTGTTGTAGGTGAGATTCATCGTGACGGATCGTGTGTTAAGGGTGTCCCCGGTTGACATTCTTTGGAATAGCTACTACCAACAAATTGAGAGATGCATATGTATATGACGTCAGTGCATGAATTCTTTTGTATTTCTGCTCCAATATTGAGGTCGCGGTCGTGAGAAAATTTCTCAAAGAGCTTAAAGAAACCATCAACAAGTCTTCTTCACTCACAGTACTCCGTGGTTTAATTGCTATTCATTGAGCATGTCACTTTTTGTTTATATTCTTCTCTATTTTTATGCTTGCATGTCTCGTTGCCTTTTGTTTTTCAGTTTCCCATTTATAGAGGAACACATCCGTTGGAACTAGAACAATGTTTGGGTGCCAAATGTGACAAATGTTTGTTTTGATATGCGATGAAATTTTACTATTGATGGAAAATATTGCCATGTCAATATGTCGTCATCATCATCATCATGTCAGAGGAGTAGATGGACGTGTAACAACTATGCCGTGAAAGTGTAAGATAACACATAGAAATACTCGTGTTGTTCATATGGTTGGATGATTAGGAAAATCACCATGTCATCTCATCATGATTCGTGATAGAGAAGTAGATGGGTGTGCAACAACCATGCCACGAACGTGTAGTACCTGGACACATATAAATCGTCATGTTTTCAATATGATGTGATGATTTGCAAGAGTGGAAATCATGCTTGAGTGAGTGAATAACAAAACCATCACACCCTCACAATCAACGGTCAATTGGTCATGTTGGTTATCAGAACTGCACCACCATAGGGGATGACACATTCGATAGTTGAAATTTGTAAAGACCTCACTCTGATCGTTAACTATTTTTAGTTGACATATACTAGCATATCTTCGATAATTGTCATTTCAACAATTTTACTAATGGTCATATCGGTGTTTTTACGTGTGTTCGAAAACATGTGTTTTTCGGTTTCACACAAACTCTGTGCCATTATATATTTTTGAAAGCTTTTATCGTAATTAGTTCAAGTATGTAAAAAGTTGTGATAAAAAGGTAGAAAAATTCTCATGAAGCCCACGCCATTCATATCCACGTGTCAAGTATCTTCTAGGTGTATTTATCGGGAAGAACACTACTACGATGCATTTGATATTTGTTATGGGTGCGTTTGGTTCTCTTTATTTGAAGTTATCCCTATAACTTATTCCTAATTCCATATCCCATTTTTATTATAGCATGTTTTTCAACATTATTCATTCAATATTTTTATTCAATCGAGCAACATATTTTTTTGATAAATAGCAACACAAATCCTCCCTTTAATTGGATAAATAACAGTAAATTATGAAAAATAACTTATTTATCATTGTATTTGTTACTTAATGATCATCATCATTGTAATTACAGTCCAAGTGCACTAAAATATTCTCTAATATTTAATAAATTGTATAATTATTAAACAACACTTCCATATCCATCCATCTAATTAATTTGTCTTGCCTGGGGAAACGATTAATCAAACCACCTTCTAATTTTCAGGAGAGAGAATTCGAGAACGAGCAGAGGGACAGAGTCGTCATTTTCCAGCACCTACCCTTCATCTTCGCTCACTCACACACACACTCTTGTTGGTATTTGCGGTTTGCCCTCACCTTCGTTTATAAGTTAAGTGACCTTTTATTTTCAATTTTCCTTGAAATTCTCTCACATATAACTAGATCAGTGGGAGAAGGCAGCCGAGGCTTTTCGGTTTTCTCATTCCCTCAACCTCTTCTTCTTCCCCCATTCCTCTCTCTCTCTCTCTCTCTCTCTCGTTGTTCGTCTTCCGGGAAAGGCTCGGTGAGTGTGTGTGTCGATTTCTCTCTGAAATTCACTGTTCGTCGGCGGGGACTGTGACTGGGTTTTTCTTCGTTGAGGTTAGTTTCGAGTGTCAAGACCGATAGGCTCTTCGTTTCTGCTGTGTGTCTGCTTTTGTTTCCTGCTTCGTTGCTGGTAGTCGATGAGTTCCTGGTGTGCTCTGTTGGATGGATCTGCGTTTTTTTTCTTCTTCTTCTTCGTTTTGATGTTGTGGTGGTACTTACACTGTGTCGATTTTGCTTGTTTAGCGCCATTTTGGGTTTGGAATTCCGGGGGAGAGTTGAGAGCCGTTTCGGTGGTTCTGGCCGGTTTGTTTTCGGCCTTCGAGGTTTGTAGTGGTAGGTGTAGTGTTCAGTGTTTGTTGATTGTTCTCGGAGTTTCTAAGGGGATCTTGTGTAGTGCCTGTGGTTTGAAGCTTCTAGGGTTTTGAGCGATAACCGTCTCGTTGCAGTGAGTGGTTGGCTGACGCTGAAATGGGAGCTTGATACTGTTTGCTTCCTCGTGGGTTTGGTGGTCACTGCTTACCCATTTTGGTTTGCCTGTGAGTTGGCTGTGTCTTTGGGAGAACGATTTTCATTTTCTGCTGTGTGCTTCTGTGATTGTTTCCTTCAGTCCGTGTCAATATTTCTGTTTCTATTATTTAGATTGCTGACGTTTGATGGGTTCGGAGGCCAAGAATGGCCATGAAAGTGTTGTTGTTTCTTGGGTTTGGTCACTGATTTCCCGGTTTGTTCGCCTGAGTGTTGGGTCCGACAGTATGTGCTTCTGTGCGCCATTTCTTTCATTCGGTGTAAATCTCTGTGTTCTACTCTGTGGATGTTACTTTTGATGGGTTCCGAAGCTGAGAATGGCCTCATTTTAGGAGGGTGTTGTAACCAAGACGAAGGATTTTGTTCTTAAAGTTGTTTCTGCTTCTGGTGTTTTCCTTTTACCATGTGAGGTTGGGGATGGGTGTCTTGAGAAGTGAGAGGTCAGTTGGGGGTTTCTATTATCTGCTGTCTGAATGCTGAAAACCTGTGGTTGACATTCAGTTTTTGGAAGGCGTTGTGATGAGAACGAAGATTTTGTTCTTGAAACTGTTCCTACTACTGTTATTTTCTTTCTCCACCGTGATGCTTTGGATAGGTTCTTAAGTGAGAGTTCTGGTGGGTGTTATTAGTTTCATGATCTGCTGCGTTTGAATGGTGAGCGTTTGTAGTCTTAACAAGTGTGAGTTTGAGTGTGCATTATTAGCTTAGTTTATGATCCGTCTGAATGGTGTAAACTTCTGGTAGTAGATAAGTTTTTCTGGTCTGCCTGATTGGTGATCTCTTGTAGTCCATTTTTGTGGGTATAATTGCATTACTGACTTTGAAAGGTTTTTGTACAGGTTTTGAAAATTGAAATGGTGAGGAAGAGGAGAACTGATCATCCAGGTGGCGGTGAGGGCTCAGAGTCCTCACCTGGATCTGATCATGGCCCAGAGCAGCAGTCATCTGAGAGGAGTGGTCCACCTCAGCAAGGTGGTCGAGGTGGAGGTTCCCAAGGTGGTCGTGGCGCTGGTTCCCAAGGTGGTCGTGGTGGAGGGCCTCCGTATCAGCAGCAAGGTGGACGGGGAGGTGGTTATGGCGGTCGAGGCCGTGGTGCTCCCCAGAACAATCCATATTATGGAGGGTCTGGAGAGTATCAAGGTAGGGGAAGAGGAGGGCCACCCCAGCAAGGTGGTCGAGGTTATGGTGGTGGTCGGAATGGTGGCCGTGAAGGAGGACCTCCTTACAGTGGACCATCTAGATCACAAGTTCCCGATCTGCCCCAAGCAACCCCACCACCTTTTCAAGTTGGGTTGAGCCCTCAGCCCAGACATACAGAGGCTAGCTCATCTCAGCCTCCTGACCCTTCAACAGCAGCAATATCACAGCAGGTTCAGCAACTAACAATTCAAGAAGAATCATCTGGCCAGGCTATTCAGGCTGCACCTCCTGCCTCAAGCAAGTCTGTCAGATTTCCCATTCGCCCTGGCAAGGGTACTGTCGGCTCAAGATGTGTTGTGAAAGCTAATCATTTCTTTGCGGAGCTTCCTGACAAGGATTTGCACCAATACGATGTGAGTTTCTGATGTTGTATTTTATTTTGTGGTGTTCTTTACCGCTCTTTACTGCCCCTGGTAAACTAGATGTCATGTGAATAGGTCACCATTACTCCTGAGGTTACTTCGAGAGGTGTCAATCGTGCTGTCATGAACCAATTGGTCACATTGTACCGATATTCACATCTAGGAGAGCGTCTTCCTGCTTATGATGGACGGAAGAGTTTGTACACTGCTGGGCCCCTTCCTTTCACATCAAAAGAATTCCGTATCACCCTTATTGATGAAGATGATGGAACAGGCGGTCAAAGGTGTAATTTAGTTACTGTGTGATCTTTGTCTATTTCCTCCACTCCCCTCAATTACTAATGTCTCATATTTTCATGCAGGAGAGAGAGGGAGTTCAAAGTGGTAATAAAGTTGGCAGCACGGGCGGACCTGCACCATTTGGGTCTCTTTCTACAGGGAAAGCAAGCTGATGCACCGCAGGAAGCGCTCCAAGTTCTTGACATTGTCCTGCGCGAGTTGCCCAATGTGAAGTAAGATTAGTTCATCTTACTGTTCTCTGTTAATATCTTTCCATTACTAATTTTTCTCTTTATGGTATAGTATGCTGAGTGACATTCTCTTGTAGTTACACCCCAGTTGGGCGATCGTTTTATCATCCTGATATTGGAAGAAGGCAGCCTCTTGGTGAAGGTTTGGAGAGCTGGCGTGGTTTTTATCAAAGTATTCGGCCCACTCAAATGGGACTGTCACTGAATATTGGTATGTAACTCTTTGCATGCTGGGTTTAACCCTTTGTGCCCATGCTTGCCAATTATGTGCTCTAACATCCACTTTGACTTCCTCTTACCTTAGATATGTCTTCCACTGCATTCATTGAGCCACTGCCGGTTATTGAATTTGTGACTCAACTGTTGAATCGTGACGTCTCCTCTAGGCCATTATCAGATGCTGACCGTGTGAAGGTTGGTGTTTTTAATTGTTGTAGTCCATTTATGTTCTTCTCTTTAACCTTTTATCCTTAATTTGTGGAGGCTGTGTATGCTTGAAATTGTGGCAGCATTGTACATGAGGGCTGTTATAGTTGCTGAGTGAGATCCCCAACTGTTCCTATTATTTTTTGCAGATTAAAAAGGCTTTGAGAGGTGTGAAGGTTGAAGTGACTCACCGTGGAAATATGCGAAGGAAGTACCGTATATCTGGTTTAACATCACAGGCAACTAGAGAGTTGACGTTAGTACCTGTGCCTGCTTGCATGTTTATTATGGTCTATGATTGCAAATTCTTAATGTTAATACATTCTTCAATTGTAAAGTGTGTTGTGTCATGATATTCTACTTGGTTTGTCTGTCTTTAGTTTTCCTGTGGACGAAAGAGGAACCATGAAATCTGTTGTGGAGTACTTCTATGAAACTTATGGCTTCGTCATTCAGCATACTCAATGGCCCTGTCTGCAAGTTGGAAATCAACAAAGGCCCAACTATTTACCCATGGAGGTAAGAAACATGTCTGTAATAATGGAGTTCAATGTTGAGTTCTGCTAGACTTGCTTATACTGTTCTTGACACAGGTTTGTAAGATTGTGGAGGGTCAGCGGTACTCAAAGAGGTTGAATGAGAAACAGATCACTGCTTTGTTAAAGGTGACCTGTCAGCGTCCCAAGGAAAGAGAGAATGATATTATAGAGGTAACTTGCACTGTAATTTTGCTAGCAGTTGCTTTTAAGATTCTGTTGACTAGCCAATTTGTCTTGTAAATTTTAATACAATATTTTCTTGCAATTTCTAGTAGCAGTGACTTTTTGAAGCACCTGTTTCTTGTACAACCAGGACTTTTTGTTATTTCCATTATTGTTATTGTTATTCATTCTATTTCCAAGCTTACTCTTGATTTGGGTGGGAAGTATAATGTGATTTTCTTTTACTCTACAGACGGGAAGCTCTTTTCATGGCCCCTCTTGATTTTATTGATCTCAATATTGGTAATTTTTATTATGTAATTAGGTTCGGTACAAAATTAAGCTTTTTGGACGGTGATCTAGTGCATAGAGTGTCGGGTGGGAATTTGAAAATACTTGCATGTGGTGGCTGTAACTAACTATGCTTTGTTGCATAGACTTGTTCGGAGAACTAGGTTCACTTTGTGCGATTTTAACAAATTAAACTTGGTTTTTGTAGACTGTCCGTCATAATGCTTATCACAAGGACAAATATGCGAAGGAGTTTGGTATCAAGATCAGTGATAGGCTTGCTAATGTCGAAGCTCGTATACTGCCTGCTCCATTGGTATTCTTCCTGTTTGAGCTCCGGCCTTCTTTTTTTTTTTTTTTTGTGTTTCTCTCTCAAGTTGTTTAATATCGGTGTTGTTTCCAGCTGAAATATCATGACACTGGTAGAGAGAAGGATTGTCTACCCCAAGTTGGACAGTGGAACATGATGAACAAGGTATGGTGTGACTTTGGTTTCTCTGATGAAACCTTTTCTATTGAAGCTTTTATACAACATTTCTCTCTGCTTGGCATCTATGAGGTCGATGAAGGTATTTTTTCTCCTTGGGAGTACCTCAATAGTTAGATGCAATCTATTTCTCTTTATGTATTATATTGAGGGAAACTTTAGTATGGCCTTTCAAGGTCTTATATAGATGCTCTACCCAAATGGCAATACGGGGTTGGTAAATGGTTGGATGAGTTTGCATCACTGCATTTTGGATGCGGTACAAGATATATCTTTTGATAATTGGTAGGCCAAAATGTTCCTGGAGGCTGATGGTGAACTATAATGTGGTCCAATTTAACGCTTCTCTTCAGTTTTGTTGGTTTCTGCTACTGGAATATATTGAATGGTGTAATGGTCATAGCTTTAGGGAATCGTGAGGTAGAATCTGTGTCAGGGACATAGATGATGCATGGATAAAATGCAAGGACTTCTAAAGGATACACATGACTTCTGGTAGAATAGAATGCACTATCTTTTATGTAAATAAATAATCCTGAGAGCATGGGTTGTGGGAGTCATCTTCAATTTGAATTTTAGTAATCTCTTTGTTTGAGATTCTTTTCGTACATTTCATTGGGTTGTGATAAGAGTTCTATGCTCTAAATTCCTGTGTTGCAGAAAATGGTCAATGGTGGAACAGTGAACAATTGGATTTGCATTAACTTCTCTCGACACATCCAAGACAGTATGGCCCGTGGATTTTGTTATGAACTTTCTCAGATGTGTCAAACTTCTGGAATGGTAAGTAGTTTGTATACAATGTTCATTCATCTCCTGTGCTGGGCTTTCAAGATGTCATTGACTTATACAAAGTCTTCCTTTTCCTGGCATGGGTGGGTGTCCTGGTTGTAATTCTGTTTCTATCTGCAGCAATTTAACAGTGAGCCGGTGCTTCCTCCCATCAGTGGTAGACCAGAGCAAGTTGAGAGGGTGCTCAAAACGAGGTACCATGATGCTATGATGAAGCTGCAGCCAGTGGGGAAGGAGCTTGATCTGCTTATTGTTATCCTCCCTGATAACAATGGATCTCTTTATGGTATGAAATTTTGCATCCAATGAGAACAGTTGAACTCTTTGCCTTTTTTTTTGTCCAACTTAGTTTGTCTCTCCTATTACACAGGGGACTTGAAGCGGATATGTGAGACAGATCTAGGGCTTGTGAGTCAGTGCTGCTTGACAAAACATGTTTACAAAATGAGCAAGCAGTACTTGGCTAATGTAGCCTTGAAGATAAATGTCAAGGTTGGAGGAAGAAATACTGTTTTGGTTGATGCAATTTCTCGACGTATTCCTTTAGTTAGTGATCGACCAACAATCATTTTTGGCGCTGATGTTACTCACCCTCACCCTGGAGAGGATTCGAGCCCCTCAATTGCAGCTGTATGTACATGTTGTTTATTTCTTCCCGATACATTGTTTTGAATGCAGTTAAGCTTAACATTTGCTTCAATGGCTCTAATAAATTGTAGGTTGTTGCTTCTCAAGACTGGCCAGAGATAACTAAATACGCAGGTCTTGTTTGTGCTCAAGCACATCGCCAGGAACTCATTCAGGATTTGTACAAGTCCTGGAATGATCCTGTCAGAGGCCCAGTATCTGGTGGCATGATCAAGTATGCCTATCCGTCTCTCCCTTCCTCTAAAAATCAATAGTTCAAGAAAGCTTGGATTCAAGTTCCTTATTACTAGTCGCATTGTCTGTTTATCATGCATTTTATTGGGATGATTATATGAATTGCGTGGTTGTGCAATTGTTTACATAACGTTTCATGTCCATTTTACTGCAGGGAGTTACTAATATCTTTCCGCCGCGCAACTGGTCAAAAGCCACAGCGTATTATATTTTACAGGTGGGTCTTTTGTTCTCTTGGTTATCTTGTGGTTCGATTTTTGTAAATTGCTAATTCATCTGTTTGCTTACAGGGATGGAGTTAGCGAGGGGCAGTTTTATCAGGTTTTGCTGTATGAACTTGATGCTATCCGGAAGGTAAATTCCAAGAACTCTGGAAGTACTCTTATTATATAATACACCTGATCTTGTATGTGCATTGTGCAACTCTGTTGGGGTTCCTCATGATTAGTTGGTCTGACTCTAGTTTCTGTTTTTTCATATATGAAGGCTTGTGCTTCATTAGAACCCAACTATCAGCCTCCAGTAACTTTTGTTGTGGTGCAAAAGCGTCATCACACAAGACTGTTTGCCAGCAATCATAATGATCGTAATTCCGTTGACAGAAGTGGGAATATACTACCTGGTAAATATGATGCTTTTTCCTCTGTTCATCTTCCTGGAAGGTTTACAGTAAAACCCTGAGGTTCGATGTCATGGTTCTTAAAAATCTTGTCTGGCAGGTACTGTTGTGGACTCCAAAATCTGCCATCCAACAGAGTTTGATTTTTACCTCTGCAGCCATGCTGGTATTCAGGTGATGTTAATGTGCTCATAACTGCGGTTGAGCTGTATACAAATTGTTACACAGGAATTTATTAGTTTCATTTTCCATACATCTAATGTTAGTTTTTTAAACAGGGGACTAGTCGTCCGGCACATTATCATGTTCTGTGGGATGAGAACAAGTTCTCTGCTGATGCGCTGCAGTCACTGACAAATAACCTGTGCTACACGTAAGTTGTGAATTCCTTTTGGTCTGGAATATTTTGATGTGGTGAATTGTGGACCCTAATGTGAATTATTTTTGCGCAGATATGCCAGGTGCACCCGTTCGGTTTCTATTGGTCAGTTGCTACCTCTGCTATTTCCTTTGATGCTGTAATTGGTTTTAATGTTCATGACAAGTCTTTTTTGCATGAAGTTTATTGTTGTAACAAAAATGTCTTCCTGCCTGTCCGACTCTTGCAGTGCCACCAGCGTACTATGCTCATCTTGCTGCCTTCAGAGCTCGTTTCTACATGGAGCCAGAGTCATCAGACAGTGGCTCTATGACCAGTGGGACTCAAGATTTTGGTCGTGGAGGTCCAGGAGGCGGGAGGGCTACTCGTGGCCCTGGTGCCAATGCGTCTGTCAGACCATTGCCTGCACTGAAGGAAAATGTGAAGAAGGTTATGTTCTACTGTTGAGTGGCTTTTCAAATGGTAATTAAGGAGAGGGGAGTGAGTGAGTGCGCTGAGGGGTGGAAGAACAGATGTTTTGAAGTCAGTCGGTTGCATTTTACTTTTTAGCAGAGTATTGTCGATAATTTGTGCCTGCTCATGCTCTTGCTACTGGTTTGATCTGATGAGCAGTGTGCTCTTTTGGTTTTTGTTGGGCATTGTACGCTCTGATGCATTGCTATGTTTATACTTTATACTACTGAATTGGATATTGTTGTTGGTATCTTATCTGCTATGTTTATTGAAGTGCTATGTTCATAGAGAATTTACATGGTGCAGTTGTTTATTATGTCGAATGTTACCTGCTTTGCTTGAGTCATGTTTCGTTAACTATCTTTATTTACCCATTAGACCTCAAAAGTTCAGAAGTGTATACGTGAAGAACGAAAATAGGATTGAATTTACGTGATGCAATGTGTAGCAGCCTTGTAGGAAAAAGGCATATAATATGTACGAAAAGTATAACAATCAACACTCAATAAAAGCCTTTGCAAATAACATGGGGAGACACCTTTTCCCTTCACAAAATTCCTTAGCCTCCACTTTGGATATGGGTCCATGGCAATCTCTGATGAAATGGCGACAAAGATTTCTTTTTTGCTTCTGTCAGTCATATTTCTGCGTTTGGTTTTTATTCCTTGCCTTAACCATTCTTCCTTCTCTGTCTTTCTTTATTTCCACTCTTTCCAAAACCTCTCAACACACCATTCTCTCTTTTGATCAGATGGTTTTCTCTGCCATATGTATATATACACAACCCCCTCTTTGCATGAACCTCAACAAAACAACACATTCAAATATCAGACACCTTTACCTTCTGCTACTGAAACCAGAAGAGGGAAACAAAGCCAACCCACAACAATGGCAAAGCAACCATCTTTGAAGAGATCAGATTCCATTGCTGAAACCATGCCCGACGCGCTAAAACAGAGCCGCTACCATACCAAGAGATGTTTCTCCAGGTAACTAAGAAGTGGAAAAATCGCTTTTTTGTCACCACTTTCTCCCTGGTCACAAATAAGATATATGTTCCGACTTTTCTTAAACCCCTTTCTTATCATCATTTGATAACCATGACGTGATAAACAGGTTTCTGGCAAGCGGGAAGAGGCTGATGAAGCACCAGAACATAATGGAGGAACTGGAAGCGACGATCCAAGACAAGGGTGAAAGAGACAAGGTGTTGGAAGGGCTTCTCGGCTACATCCTGAGTTGCACTCAGGAGGCAGCCGTGGTACCACCTTTCGTTGCATTCGCGGTAAGGCCTAACCCTGGCGTGTGGGAGTATGTCAAGGTCGGGGCTGATGATTTGAGTGTAGATGGCATCTCCAGCTCTGAGTACCTGCAGTTCAAAGAAACGATCTACGACGAAAATTGGTACACCTCTCTGTTCTCTATGGTCTATGATCTCAAGGCTCGAACTCAAGGTGTGGTTTATCGTTCTCGTATTATCAGCGAGCCCACCATGGTTGAAGAATGATTTGTTGTTCACAAGCATTCTCAAAATACACACATCGTAAATATTGTTTCGAGTTCTACTCTAAGAAAAGTTGTCAATGCTCTACTTTTGTGTGCAGGGCAAAAGATGAGAATGCACTGGAAGTGGAGTTTGGAGCATTTGATTTCTCTTCGCCTCACCTTACTCTTTCATCCTCCATTGGAGATGGAGTCAAGTACATCTCAAAATTCTTGTCACCAAAGCTTGTTGCTAGCTCCCACTCTTCAAAGAAGTTGGTAGACTATCTAATAGGCCTCAACTACCATGGAGATGTAAGCAGCACATTATCAGCACTAGCATATCATTTGGGAAAACAGAACAGAAGGTTGATTATTTGAACATCAATATATATGTGCAGAACCTTATGATAAATGAGACATTGGACACACCATCAAAGCTCCAAGGAGCATTGATAGTAGCTGAATGCTTTCTTGCAACACTTCCTCAAGACACACCATGCCAGGATTTCCACCAAAGCCTTAGAGCGTGGGGATTCGAGAAGGGATGGGGGGACAAGGCTGGAAGGGTTAAGGAGACGATGGTAATGCTCTCCGAGTCGCTTCAAGCACCCGATGGAGAGAAATTGGAGCAGCTGTTCAGTAGGATTCCAAACATGTTCAACATTGTCATCTTCTCCCCACATGGATTCTTTGGTCAAGCTGATGTTCTTGGGTTGCCCGACACTGGGGGCCAGGTCTAAGATTCTTCTCTTTTCAGAAACCATGCTAAGTTTTCTTTCTACAATATTCCATGAGAAGCTATGATCTGATATACATCAGTATGGTGTGTTTCTTTAAAAGGTGGTTTACATTCTTGATCAAATGAGGGGACTGGAGGAGGAATTGCTTCAGAGGATCAAACTGCAGGGACTTAACTTGAAGCCGAAGATCATTGTGGTGAGCTTCATTGCGACTTCTGTTGATGGGTTACTCATGAACAAGCTCATTCCTTCATTTCCTTAGCTGATTGTATAATTTCTGATGTGGTTTCAGATAACAAGGCTGATACCAGAAGCTCGAGGCACGAAATGCAACCAAGAAGTAGAGCCAATTGAGAACACGAAGCACTCTTACATTCTCAGGCTTCCTTTCAAGACAAGTAAAGGGACTATCCTTCCACATTGGCTTTCTCGTTTCGATGTGTATCCTTACCTCGAGAGATTCGCTAAGGCAAGTGACTTGTATTGCTCTCCTTAATACCATTTCTTCATGCCTGGTCTTTCCATTTTGCTGACCATCAACCTATATATCGATTAGCAGGATGCTGGTCGGGCGATTGTTGAGCACACAGACGGCAGACCAGACCTCATCATGGGGAACTATAGTGATGGGAACTTGGTGGCCACTCTTGTGGCCAGGAAACTTGGAATACCTTTGGTCTGATCATACTCTTTTCTTTAACATGAATCAAGTTAGTCAGTTTTGAGCTAAACCCTTGTTGATTCTTGATTTTTATGATGCTGGTTGTTGTTGCAGGGGACAATTGCTCATGCTTTGGAGAAAACGAAATATGAAGACTCAGATGCCAAGTGGAAGGAACTCGATCCGAAGTACCATTTCTCATGCCAATTCACAGCTGACATGATTGCAATGAATGCAGCTGATTTCATCATCACCAGCACTTACCAAGAAATTTCTGGAAGGTTTGTTGGTTCTTTCCTTTTACAACAAGTTATCTATATGTAGATACCAAGAAATCCAAGTGAACAAATTTGCTCATTTTTTACGCTTGTTCAGCAAGGAAAAGTCAGGACAGTATGAGAGCCACAGCGCTTTTACCATGCCAGGGCTATGCCGAGTCGTGTCAGGAATCAACGTTTTCGATCCGAAGTTCAACATTGCTGCACCTGGAGCTGATCAATCTGTCTACTTCCCAAACACCGAGAAGTCGAGAAGGCTGACCACTTTCCATCCTGTCATTGAAGAGCTGCTCTACAGCAAGGATGAGAACAATGATCACATGTAAGTTAATTTTACCAAACTCTTATAGCTCAAATGTTCCTATATTGAAACAAAACTAATCAATGTTTATGAGATTGAATGATCAGTGGGTATCTGAATGATCCGAAGAAACCGATAATATTCTCCATGGCGAGGCTGGACACAGTGAAGAACATGACAGGGCTCACAGAGTGGTATGGAAAGAACAAGAGGCTAAGGAACTTGGTCAACCTCGTCATAGTTGGAGGATTTTTCGATCCATCGAAATCAAACGACAGAGAAGAGATGGCTGAGATTAAAAAGATGCATACTTTGATGGAGAAGTACCAACTGAAGGGACAAATGAGGTGGATTGCAGCTCAAACCGATAGGTATCGAAATGGAGAGCTCTATCGTTGCATTGCAGACACCCAAGGAGCATTCGTGCAACCTGCATTCTACGAGGCGTTTGGTCTTACAGTGATCGAGGCCATGAACTGTGGACTGCCAACTTTTGCAACCATTCATGGAGGGCCTGCAGAGATAATTGTCGATGGGGTCTCGGGCTTCCACATTGATCCTTACAACGGAGATAACATGGGGAACAAGATTGCCGAGTTTTTCGAGCAATGCAAGGCGGATCCTGCTTATTGGAATCAAATGTCAGCTTCTGGTCTTCAGAGAATCAACGAATGGTAATGTAAAACTAGCAATTTTCCAGTAAAGCTGCATAAATGTTTCCAAAAGATGTTTAAATTGCATTAAAAAAATCACTTTGCATTGCATTGGATTTGCAGCTATACTTGGAACATATATGCAAAGAAGATGATAAACATGGGGTCAATCTATGGATTCTGGAGGCAGTTCAACAAAGAAGAGAAGCTTGCTAAGCAAAGATACATTCAGACGTTTTACAACCTCCATTTCAGGACACTGGTGAGGTTACTTTAACCTCAAGTAATTATAGCTCCTTGCACAGTTCAAGTTTATTATGACAAATAGGGTTTCTAAGTTACCCCACCATGCCTTGCAGGTGAAGAAAAGTTTTGGGTTGAGTGATGAGCCATATATAGAAGCAGAAGAGGCAAATGGAGCCATACACAAATTTGTGCCATCTCCAGTCCCATCCCTACCTCCTCCAGCAATCACAACCCATTCACAACAGAAAGAACCAAAACGCAAAGAGGGTGTCACTCCACCTAAACCAATCATTGCAAGGCATGTCCAAACTTAATTCCTATATATTCAGGATTACAGCTTAATGATGTCTAGAGCAGTTCTGGATGATTCGCATTATGAATGTCTTTGTAGGACCGGAGGTTCCATACTCGAAATGCTGAAAGTGGGCAATCCATCGGTAGCTGATAGGGTTGACGGTGTGAATGGGGCAATGAGTAGATCTCGAAGCCGAAAGTTCTTCCGGATGTTATCTATGTTTATAGTGGCTTATGCGCTAGTCAGAGTGTATTATTTATTCAAGTGAAGGTGATAACTTGGCAAGCAAGAAAGCAAGCAAGAAAGCATGGTTGTAAATGAATAATGTACTTGTACGCTATTTCTCCACTGACATCAATAAAGATGATGACTTAACTCAATATATCGATTCTGAAAACAAGCTTTGCAATTGTAAATTTGTAACTGCATTTCTAATGGTCCAAAAATCTACTGAAACAAAAGTGAAGGAGGCATAGCAACACTGAACAAAGACATAGCCATCAAGCTTAACCTTTAGTGAATCCATTGCGAGAATATATTAGTTAACCTAAACTCTAATTCACATTGCTTGAAATACAAAAACCCGCCTTACGTTTGGTAATGGAATATTTATCCATGTATAACTTTTGGGGACCAAATTGCACTTAGCCATCTTGTTTTTGGTTATTTCAGTTCGTGCCAAATCAATTAAGAGAGCACTTCCAAATAATTGACTTGGATTTTCTGACGAATGCAGATAGAGAGAGGAATTGAGAGGGGATTGAAACCGCAGCAGGGATGGTCATGTCTTTTCCGATAATCCCAATTTGCATTCGTATTGATTGTCACATGTTGTCACTTGTGCTGAAATAAGATTGTTCCACGTGGCCTTGAAATGTTGGGCTACCATTGTACAAATCTCCTACATTTTACAATATGCACCATGGACCTGGGGTCGAGTTTGTTCCTCAATGCTTGAATAAGCTTGAAGATTGGATGGCTCGCAAAGCTAGGGTTGTTTCATTACCGGTGGATTGAATTTAGTTATCAATATTATTGCTCCACTATTGTAATGAAGCATTTGTTTCTCGATCCAGATGGAATAAAAAGCACTTTTTTGGAAAAAAAGTTTTTGCTGATAGAATCTCCTGTAGTAGTCTTTGTGATAAGCAGGGATCCCAACGACGCACTTATGGGCATTTCGGGGAAAATTTACGACTCTTGAGTAGTAGTTTTTCACCCAAAAATTGAGACATTCAAACACACACACATATATATATATATATATATATATATATATATATTATCTACTGCATGATAATTGATTTTTGTTAAATTCAAAACTACTGAATACATTTATACGTTAAAATAATATTCCATTACACCACAATTTCTCAACTCTTTCAATCAAACCTTGAAAGCAAAACCGAATTACTTTTCTTCTCTTCTCTCCTGACTTCTTTTTTCACAAATAAGCATCAGTCTGTGAATGATTTGTTATTGAAATACATTTATTGAACATTGTATATAACAAATATATTTTTATAAATTTTCATAAAAGATAAAAAGACTCATCAAGATATTTTGAAAGAAGTGTATTATTGTTTCCTTTTGTTAAATAGGTGCATATAGGATGATAACACACTATAGTGTTAGTACCCTACTAACATTTTTAATAAGATTATTTTGGTAACTGCCCTTCCCTTTTCCGTCCCTCCCCCTTCTTTGTCCCGTCTGCATGATCTTGGTCTCTTCACCCTCTCCACCATCGAGCCCCCTGACTCTGCCGATCCTGTCTTGGTCCCCGTCGATTCCTTTCCCTAAAACTGAGCAATTATTACCACCATTGTGTTGCCCTAGGGAGGATTGTATTACTAGCTCGATGCTGCTGCCGGCTCAAATCTCGAGCGGAGGCGAGTTTGTCTGGAGGAGGAAGAAAGACGCATAGGGTTACATGGTGGAGAACTAGATCCATGGCCTGACCTCCTCGTCAACCACATGGCGGAGGATACTACAGACAACATAGAAAGCGGACGAGTACATCGCTATCTTCTTGCTCATAGGAGGTAGATTTTGCGCAGCGGAGTTGATCAAAGGATCAAAAGCTGTGACTAATCAACTGCCGAGCTTTGATAAGCTGCCTAGCTTTCGGTCTCCCTCCTCAATTTTCCTCAACAGCAACAAAACGGGTATGCGCATTTGACACTGGTGTGACTGCTTCACGAAGACATTGAGGTTTAGTAAACACATAGAGCCGCGAGCATCGATGTAGGCAGGTGGAGGTGATGACCGAGTTATGATGCAGGATTTTGTAGAATCTGGGGCTAACACACATCACATTGTCGATGTTGTCCTTCCAAAATGAGAGGATGTGATGGATGATTTCGTCTGGAAGATCACTGAAATGCTCCATAGTAACCTGACGGAGAAAATAAATGAGATCAAACCACATGAAAAATGGAAGGACTACGAGTTGAGAACGCAAGGAAGGTAGAACGACTAAGGCAAGGACCATGGTTGTGCGATGGTCGGTGGTAAGGAAAAATCCAGCGTTGAATCGAGGGTTGTGACCAAGGTTAGTGGTACTACAGGGCGCAGTGTGAAGTTTCAACGCTTTCAGAAAAATTCCCCCTCTCTTGTGCAGAGACGAATGTCCTTCTATTGGATAAAGTGATGAGCCCACAACTCCTTAAGCACGTGGAAGTATTATAGGAAAGGCGATCTCCACAACACGCTTTGGGTGAATGCATCCACATCGGGCCATTCTCCCTTAACGCCTTTGTTACTCACATGGCTAGATCACACAATCCACTTGACTTGATACTCGCTTGTCACAACATTAATTACCGCCAAAGGAAGCCAGAGGAAGGAAAGACGTCTACAGGGCGCTTGACACTACATTAAATGCTCCCACCATTGGTTTATGAGTATAAATACAATCCTCACAACATTTATTAAACTCAACTACTCCAAGAAAATTACACTCTCTACCCCCGGGACTTCACTATCAGACATTTGTTGCAGGTAAAAGAGAGGAAGGGAGAGAGAGAGAGAGAGAGGGGTTAAAGGAGGGAGCCAATCAGATCTATCTAACTTCTTGGATTGAGTTGGAGTTTGAAAATATATATATATATATATATATATATATATATATATATATATATATATATATATGGATACGACTCGTATGTTCGTGACACATAGCATGCTCCAGGATTTTGCACCGTTGATCTAATCTAACGTCTGTTATTAAATATGATTTAATTTATTATTTATCAATAATTATTAGTACCCTTAGATAAATATACATACATTATAGTCCTCCAACAATTTTAACCATTGATTTTACTGTTGAACTATCTTATTTCGTACCTATGTAGGTTTAAGTACCCATTGTTAAAGATTTGTCCAATTAAACTATTTTCATGTTCCCAAACCAAAACACATCACCACCTCCAAACCCACGATTTGTTAAAAATAATTGGCTCTCCTATTCTGTTTTCCAGAGTTTCTTTTAACCCCTCTGCTGTGCAATTGTTTCGATCTCAAGCTTGAAACCACTTCTAGATTGGAATTCAGTTTATGGGTGTCTGGGTCTCGGCAGTGATACCATACCAGTGAAGGGAATGTAGCGATTCCAGACAAATCTGCTCCCAAATTGCAGGCTAGTTTTGCGTTGACGAAGCGAGCTGGTAGGTATCACAAAATTGGAACGAGATGAATTCGATACTCTGGTTTTCTCCTCCAGAAGCCTCTTCTCATAAGATTCATCGGTTCACGCATAGGGATGGCAATTACCCACCCATGGGTAATTTTACCCAAATCCAAATAGATCCATTTAGTATGGGTAGGGTTTGGATGAAGTGTATATGGGTTTGGGGGGTTTGTAGATGGGTTTGGGTTAGGTATGGATATTGCTTTCATTATGTAAATGGGTATGGGTTGGATATGGATATCCATTTACTTGAGGGTGTTTTAACTACACACAGAAAAATTGGACCTATTTGTAAAACTCAAAAAGTTTAGGTACCAAAATATAAGACCAAAAAATTTTAGGTACTAAAATGTAATTTTCCATCAATATTTTGAGGACTTAGATGCAAAAAAATACTAAATATGCATATCTATTAAGTTTAGGTACCAAACTGTAATTTGCCTTTGGGCATGGGTACAAACCCAAATTCATGTGTTAAAAACCCAACCCAACCCAAGTAAATGGGTATGGGTACAAATCCATCTAACTCTACCCATCTACCATTTATTTGGAATCCATACCCAACCCAATTGGGTTGGATAATACCCATGGGTATGGGCAAAATTGCCATCCCTATTCACGCAGCTCGCCGCCGCCACAAACCACGTCTCCGTGAAAACATGATTCCGGACGGAAACCACGCGGAGGAGAATGGATAGCCTATCGTCAATGAAGCGCGTTGCTAAAGCTATCGTTAAACGATTGTGTTTTGACTTTTGATTAGATGGTTGTATACTTGTATTTCGATTTTGGGTTCTTTGGCTTAAGAAGGAAGTTATTGTTTCATCGATTATTCAGATCAGAGTTCAGACGTCGGGACAGAGCCATTGCAGCTGCCGTACACCCTCGGAATTTTGTAAAACGTAGATATGAACTCATATTTTCACAATCGAAGCAAGAAATTTATTGTGGGGAGGAGAGGGTTCGACGATGGGTCATGGCTGGGAAGGGGTTTTGAAGTTGAAATGACCACTGTTTGTGGGGAGAAACTAAAATAGATACGAAAAATGTTGTTTTAGATTTTGCACCCAATTACGAAATTAGGTGTCTTTAAGTTATGATTAAAATGAATTAGGTACTGTATTATGAAAATAAATGAAAAAATTTGTGGGGGTTAAAGACAACGTATGAAAATGTAAAAGTATCAATTAATTCTTTAATTTGTAAATTATAGAGAATATTATCATATTTATTAAAGGACATCAGATTAAATCAACGGTGTGAAAAATCTGGCATGCTACGTGGCAGGAGCATACGAGCGTGACCCATATATATATATATATATAGTGTGTGTGTGTGTGACACCTTTGAAATGATATAATGCGGTTGTGTCAGTAAGCACACAAGCAACATGGGCTAACAGAAGTTTGGACAATATGAGATATACTTTGATCTTTTCATGTCAAAAATAGCGAGGGTTTCATGGGATGAGAGGTAGGCTCTTCTCAAGAAGATTGGGCTTGGGTGTGTATTGGAACTCAAAAAGTAATGGTTGACATGACTTTGCTGAATTGGATTGTTACCCACTTTGATGTGGAGTTAATGTCTATAGCAATGGAACATTATGGACAACTGACATTCACCGTGGATGATGTCTAACAGACTGCTAATTCCTTCCCTTTTCAAACCCGAGAGATGGACAGAATAGGTACACACCAATAATGCATTTTGCTTTTCTTTTTTTGGGCAAATTCATCAATAACTAACAATTTGACAAATAGATAAATACATGAGAAACAATTGTTCGGATGAGTTAAGGAGAAATGCAACATAGACGAACAATCCATCCGAGAGCTTTCTGGACAATAGTACACAATTTAAAAAAGGAAAGATGATACATGTATAGCACACCGGAGAAATATTTCAAAACATATGTATCATTCATTCATATTCGTGGACAGTCCCACTTGATTATGCACAAATTATAGACAGACAGTCTCCTATAATTCTTTAGATTGATATAAATAAATCTCTCTCCTTTAGATTATAGCTCCAACCAACTATGATGGTTCTTGGAAACTCATTATCCCTTAATAACGGAAGCCATCTTTAGATTGAGTGAACGGAGGCCAACTTTTCAAAAGGGGGAAACGAGAAAACAAGCTTAGTTAGATCTTTTATTACAAAAGGGAAAAAGAAGAAACACCACCGAATACAAAGAAAGGGAATCTAAGGAGAAGACGATTGCAAGAACGAAGGGAAGATGAATGGTTTTCAAAGAAGAATTAATGGCATGGTGGGAAACAAGATGAAGTGAAGGGGGAAATTTACCTGAGTTAATGTTTAGGTTTGCGGGTTCACCACACCACCAGGTTTTAGCTCTCAACACCGACACTAGGGGAGATGGGAGAACGAAACAAAAACAAACGTCAAAGAAAGCTTATCAGAGTCGATGGAAGGAGGGGTTGTGGGAGAAGGAAATGGTTTTGGAAGACAAAACAGTTCTGGGAGACGAAAAGAGAGGAAGCCGACTAATTTCTCTCTCCCACCCAATTCCTTCCCTTTTCAAACTCAAGTCACGTCAGCAACAAAATATGATGGTTTGATCCAGTGTGGTGGTTCTGTCTTTGCCCCTTCTTATTACACACCGTAGGATTGCCTGCCGGGGGATGGATGGCAAGGATGTGGGAAGTGACATTGACAACCCTAAGACACAATTTAATATCTTTGAATAAAAACATAATTTAATATGTGAACGGCTTGGCCTAGTGGTAGTACCACTTGACTTGAATCTTAAGGTCCCAAATTCAAATCTTTTCAAATTGTCATCCTTATTGTTTTTAAAATACTAGACATGTTTTGCCTGATTTATGAGTTGATGAGCAACTAATTTAACTATTAGTGACACATCATAAATTGATTATGTGTATGCCATACCATCAAAATTTATAAAAAATTAGAAAAAATTAATAAAAGTTGGCTATCATGTTGGATGCCAGTCATGTCAACAACTCATGTTGAGTCGTCAGTGATTAAGCGAGTCAACTATTAGTATTGACAATTGGTTATAATTTCTAGCCAAATCTCTCCTTGTTTTGGTAAACAAACACATACATTATGTAAAGTGTGAACAAAATTTTCAATTTATACAAAGTTGGATTATATTTATTTTCTCTTTTTTTATCAAAATTACTTTTTATTCAGTACCAGAATAATTGGATTTACTCTTTCTTCCATATGAAACCTTTTAATTAGTTATAGGGTTAGAGGCATAAAGGTTGGGAATAATGTATTTGTCTATGAAGTGGTTTAGAAGTTGTGATTGTCAGAATTGTATTTATTGAATATATGTATTGCACACAATGCAATATTTGAAAGTGTTAAAATGTAAAACTATTATTTTTTCTATGTCCCACCATTAATGACCAAAAAAAAATTATTATATGAGCTCAACTAAAATCTAAGATTGTTGTGACTATTTGTTTTAGATTTTTGTCTACTTTTTCTTTCCATTTACATCTCTAGTAGTTTTTATTTTGTATTAAAAGTAGAGGGTAAAATTTACATTTACCCATACAACAACTTTATGCAAATCAATCCATGAACTAGAATCTCTACAATCAAACAATGTATTGTTAAAATGCATCTATTTACTAATGATATACTTAAATTATAGTGAAAAAATTAGAATATAAAGATTTACATACACAACTTCCAAATGACCCTTTAGTATATTTATTGTGACTCCCTCCATGGCTAGCCCAAAATAGGAAATTTTTTTAATATGGAACTATCTAACAAAGGGAAGAGGTAGGGGCTAACACATTTTTTGTTAGCATCATGCTAACACTAGTTCTAACCAGTAGAAATATTTTATTTAGATGACTTTTTAATTTAAATTAGTTTACCATAATTAATGAGGAGAGGGGCATGTTGATCATTAATGAAAAATTGAAATGGAGATACGCATGTATGTATAGTAATTGTGGGGATCGCCAAATACAAATCACAAATACAAAAAACCACAAAGTAGAAAACATATCACAATGTCACCACACCACAATAGTCATAAACTGTGCTAGATGTGCCCTTAAGATAGATATTATGATGGACTTTGATAGGGTTTATTGGGATTTCCTGAACCGTTCTCTACTTGCAATGGGTTTCCCTAAAAATTTTATGAAATGGACTAGGGGTTGTCTTGAGTAGGCTAACTTTACTGTATGCATGAATGGTAGTCTTGTAGGAAATTGTTCAGGCGTAGAAAGGATTGATGCAAGGTTGCCCTCCCATACTTGTTTGTTGTAAGTATGGAAGTCCTAAGTTGTATGCTTAATAGGGCAGCATCTAGGTCTGTATTACCTTACCATTCCCAATGTGGTAGAATAGGACTAACTCACTTGTGCTTCGCCAAAGATATACGGGGTTTAGTAGAGGGTGTGTTTTTGGTGGCAGAGATACTATAGAAGTTTTATCTTATCTCATGGTTGAAATTCAACTCCGGCAAAAGTGAGATCTATAGTGTGTGTGTGTGTTTCAGATGGGTGGAAGGAAGATTTAATTAGAAGCTCAAGGTTCAGGAAGGGAGTTTTGCCTGTTATATATCCTCGTCGGAAGATTGTAAATCATTGGTAGAAAGAATTGCAAGCAGGATACAGGGTTGGAAACCTAAGCTCTTATCGTATGCAGGAAATCTTGAACTTGTGACAGCAGTACTTACCAACAACACATAGTTTTGGATGAATGGCATCTTTCTCCCAAAGAAGGTAATAAAGAAAATTGAAAAGCTCTGCTCCCAATTCCTATGGAGTGACTTAGAGAAGAAAAAGACGGCTAAGGTCACCTGGAAGACTATTGCTCTTCCTTGCGAGGAAGGAGGCCTAGGTTTAAAAGATCAATGCTCTTGGAACGTAGACTTTCTAGCTAGGCACATCTGGGGGTGCTTTCAGACCTAGAGATGTTGTGGATATCTTGGTTGAAGGAGTACAGACTCCAGAATCTTAGTATATGGGAAGTTTGAACTCGAGGTTCGTAGGCGTGGAATAAAATTCTCAAGCTAAGAGGATTATCTGAAGGGAAGCTACAACTAACAAACCAGGGGGTGGAATGGGAAGGAGAACGGATGGGAAGATTCAATATAAGCAAAGTGTGGCACTGCATTAGTCCTAGGCAGGATGTTGTAGCATGGTTAAAGCTAGTCTGGAAAATGGCATCCCAAAGAACTCTTTACTCACTTGGCGTATACTAATTGGTTTTGGTTGGGTTACCACCTTAGCCATTGTGAAAAAATAGTGTCCTGAAGTAAATACTATGTGCGCTCTGTGTGGTATAGCAGAGGAAACCAGAGAACATATGTTCTTCTTATGTGACTTTGTGTAGGGTATCTGGCAAACAGTCTTCCTAGTGAGCTGGAAATTCCATATGCAAAGTAACCTGCAACTGGCAGAAGAGGCAGCAACACGTAGACTGGAAAATGCCATTGGGGAGAGTGTTGTGGTGCTTGTTGATGAGTGACGTTTGGCGCGAGCGTTGCAGAAGACTTTATGGAAAGAAGACACTGACAGTGGAGGCCTTAGCTGTGAAGATGCAAGGTGTAATGGAGGATAAAGAATAGGGTGATTAGACATTTGCATATGCAACATCCAAAAAAAAAAAAAAAACTTGTGGTATAATGGACTAGGAAGTTAGTATGTTTGTTAATGGCCTTCTTAGTTAGGAAGGGGGTTGTACATTGCTTGTATTGGCCTTTCTCATTGTTGAAAAACCTTATTTTGTACCTGTTAGGTATTGTACAGGTTTTGTAGATATCGTTGTATTGATCGTATAAGATGAATAAGAGCTCATCCATTCATTGGAAAAATAGTCACAAACTACACCACAAATGCAAAAAAAAAAAAAAAATGTAAAGTATACAACAAATTTCTTAAAGCATACCACAAATTCTCTGAAGTATACCAGAAATATAAAAAAACATACCACAAATTCAGTAAAGCATGCCACAAGTTCATTAAAGCAAACCAAAAGTTTATAAAAGCACACCACAAGTTTATTAAATTAGATCACAAGTTCACCGAGGCATACCAGAAATTTCATAAAGTAGACCACAATTTTATAAAAGCACACCACAATATCACTGGTCTCTTATCGCAAGCTGCCGAGCTTCTCCATCCTTTTCGGCGTTCACTCTACAAAGTCAACCAAGCCCTCCGCCCTATCAGCGAGATTCTTGAAGCGAATCGTCTCCTATACTTTGACCTAGCGGTGACTGAAATTTCATATAGATTCGGGGTTGACAGGCAAAGAAACTTTTACAAGGCATTGAGGATGCTCTCGTTTCAAGCTGGTGGCCGTGTGGTCCGGCCGGAGTTGGAGGTGCTCGTGGTGGGGCCTGGTGCTCGACATATCATTCCTACCAATGTAGCCTTTGTGGTACACCACATCCCCAAGCCCGTGGGGATCTCCGTTGACGGTGGGCTGTATTGAATATGTTACATAGATAATGATTAGTCAGGGTACCATATGATGAAATGGTTACTAATTTCTTACCATGCCCATACCCACGGATGTCGGGCGGGTACCTGTACACCCACAAATATGTTATTTATATATTTGGTCATTTAAATACTAATGCATATTTTAAAGATGAAATAAACAAGCACCACTCCTCCGAAAAAAAAACTCTAACACCATTTGAAATTTCTAGGTTGGACAATTTTGATGATCACTTGTTCGTCGCCTTTCAACGATAAAAGGCTGGACAATGAAAACTCAATTGATTTCTTTTTCATCGAGATTATAAAGAATAATGCTTTAGTTTCACGAAGAAGAAATGTAACTTGCACGAGGAAGAAATTTGATTTTGGTTAGGGTTAATACTTTACTCTGACCCGAAGTATGACCATATAATTAACTGTGGCCTGTGGTTTCAGAAATTACCATCTTGGCCTTAACTATGCAGCATATAGACTCAATTGGCCGGATGCGTGGTTTGACAGTCAATTTGGACAGTGAAGTCCAGCTCACTGCCATATCATATCAGCTCCAAATAAATAAAAAATTCTAATTTTAATTCATTTTTCATATTTTTCATCTAATAATAAAATAATTATTTTAAATTGTAAACAAATGAAAATTCTAATCCCCTTCCCTAATAACTCTTCCGCTGGAAATCCCTTCCCCTTGATTTTTCTCACTCGAATCAAACAGAAGCACACCTCACCATTGTCCCTCCCACCTTGAACAACAATACACCACCACCACCACCACCACCTCCTCCTCCATTCTTCTGGGAAACCTCAAGAACCAAACCCATCATCTCTAGTGCAAAAGTGTGTGGGAGGAACATCTTCCGTGTGGCGGAGCAACCAATCAGAGTTGTTCTCTGCTTCTTCAAGGGAGGAAAACGACAAAGAAGCCCTGAAATGGGCTGCACTCGAGAAGCCTGCCACTTACAATCGCCAATGGAAGGATCTCTGGGTTAGGGACGAGTAAAACCTGCCATGGGCTCAGATCCGACGATTTCCTTAAGATAGAAGAGAGGGAATCTTTTTTAGTATTATTCGATTTTGCTCTGAAAATCAGGGGAAGCAATCTCCGATTGTTGGGTTTGTGCAGAAGGCGGCGGGCGGCGGAGAGTTGTGGAGGGGGGAAAGGAAGATGGAGAAAGCCAAAAGACGGCGAGCGGCAAAGAGTTGTGGAGCCTGTTGAAAATCAGGGGGAAGGGATTTCAACGGAAGAGTTTTGGAGAAGGGACTAGAATATTTCATTTGTTTGAAAATTTACAAGAATCATTTTATTATTAGATAAAAAAATATGGAAAATAAATTAAAATTAGAATTTATTTATTTGGAGCTGACATGGCAGTGAGTTGGATCGTTGACCGTTAGTCAACAGTGTTTGCCATCCAAATTGATGGTCAACCACACGTCCTGCCAATTGAGTCTATATGCTGCATAGTCAGGCTAGGATGTTAATTTCTGAAACCACGGGTCAAAGTTGATTATATGGTCATACTTCGGGCCAGAATAAGGTATTAACCCTTTTTCTTAAAGGAAAACAAGAGTGACTGGAAGAAGAGAGGATCGAGGGACAGCTGGTGGAAGCAATTAAAAGCCATAACCATAAACTTCGAGTTGTTGCACCACTAGAGGGTGTTCCAGCTGCAAAAGCCCTCACCTTAGGTACTTTGCCCTCGGGTTTTGCCTTGTGTTTGTGTCGTAGGGAGTTCAGGAGGATTGACATGTGGAGTCTTTCTGTGGAAGGAGCGTCGATCCCATGCTGATCCATCGTTTCCAACATCCTAGCCCTAAGTTCCACCATAATCCAAATGGGGATGCCATTGTCGGCAGATGGCGAGGGAGGAGACAAAATTTTATTCTCAATCAGTGGAAGTTTTATGGCGTGGTCGACTGCCCGCCTCACGATGGCCAGTTTGGGGGGGTCTGGAGCGAGGTCTGGTGTAAGAGTTACGAATCTAGGAGTGTAGTTTAGTGATCGGAATATAGGGAGTCGTTAGGTAACTGGGAATTGGAACATAATCAGGGATTTGATGGGAGAAAGAAGAAATAATTTTGGGATAGGAAAATAAAGAAATTGGGTCTCATATGAGAGGAGAGGGCCGACGGCTAAGGTAGAGGAAGATGAATATTTTTGGGTTGAGAGAGAAGATAGATTAGGTTTAGTGAATAGTTGATCTGTTATTACTTAATGAGAAAACCCCACTAATACTAAATCTACATAAGCCGATGAATTTCCTATAACAACCCCCTAATAATATCTCCTAGCTAAAATCATGCAAATAGTTCCAAAAATCTCCAAATAACATCCAAAATCCATAAAACATAAATAAATAATAATTAAGTCCAAAATGAAAAAAGAGTTAGAAACTTTTTTTTTTCTAACAATCCATCCCCCTTGAGACCAAACTTGCCCTCAAGGTTGACCGTCTTCCTTCTTACCAGGGTCCTTCGCATCCTAGACTACGACCTCCTCGCCTTCATCTATCAGATTCCCACCAACAACATCTGATGGCCCTTGGCACACTGGTGCGCAACGGTGTACCTCTCAACGCAATTGAAGCAACGACCATCCTTACCCTAATGCTCCATTTTTGTTGCGCCAACTTCACAAACCCCTTTGTCGGTTGACGAGTTGGAATCCTCTCGACGAGTTTATGCTACTACATATTCAAAATATTAGTAAATGACCAGCAAAAAATTTATTGTTCTTTTTAAGTTTGTACCATGTTATTTGCTGTTATTATAATGGGACATTAAATGTATATCCATATTAGCACTTGTAAAAAAATGTTGGTTATTTATTCAAGTTTATTCTTAACAATGTGAATTTATAAGCAATTAGCTTATCTAGTTTGAACTTTGAAGTTAGAGTATCTAAAAGATGAAGTATGAAAGTTAAGTAATTAGGTTAAATTTTAAGAAAAAATATTCTTAAAATGTGAATTTATAAATATGAAAGTTAAGTGATTAGATTGAATGCTAAAATATAATTAAACGAAAGAGAGAAAATAAATAAGTACAAAATTGCTCTTATGGGGGATCGATCCCACAACATCAACACCACACACCATCTGCTAGGCTAAATCGCACAAAAATGAAACCTTACTGTTTGGTTATTATATCATTTTTATTTTCTTTCCAGAAAAATCCGATCAATTTACACATGATCGTCAAATTCCCAGGAGGCCGGTCCCCCCTCGAGCCTCAAGCTAGCTTAACCCCTGATCCCGCATCACCATGACCATCAAATTTATGGAACTCTATGATCGGAGCATTGACCCTAAACACCAATTCATCTTCACCATCATATAAGGGGTTATAGTGTCCATACCTACTTGCGCTCAAGGGGTTATAGTGTCCATACCTACTTGCACTCAAGGGGTGGCTCCTGCTTGCGCTACCGCTGCGCTCGCGGTCCAGCCATAGATGCTGAGGAAATGACCAGTTGCCCTCCTCTTCCTGATTCACATCATAGCCCCCGTTCCTGACCCCTAACGCTTGTCTTGCTTCCCTGTCTCGTCCCACTTGTTCTCTATCACTGTGCAGAGTTACCCACGGAGGATATGCAGATTCGGGAGCCCTTTAAAATTTCGTAGAGCTCCCAAGAGGTCATCCCTCACTACTACTGATTCAGCCCAATTCAACCTGAGTCGGTCCGACCAATTCTGGTCCTCCTTGTCAGCTTTGGTTCACCGCGGCCAGTTGGGTCCGGGTAGGAGATCCAACCCTTCCCAGCTTCTGATGGGCCTGGGGCGGCTCAGACGCCTCTTTGGCCTGCCAGTCTCATCTCTTCGTCTTACCATATTGGGCCCGACGCGGTATAGCTCGATCCACCCGCCAATATTGGCCATCCTACAAGCGGTCTAGTTGGCTACGGGTTGTCCTCATTCCCGACCTTTTTCTTCTTTCCACAGACCTCGATGACGTCTTGGACCATCAGATTGGACAAGAGACCCGAGCCGCTGAACACCAGACCCATCGGGTCCCCATTGTCGACCCGGACTCAGCCGCTTGAGTCGTCGCAGACTTCATCCAGCCGCCAGACCCCAAGCCAGGCTCCTCCTCCTTCACCATTCGTTGCCACCACTTTTGCCTCCACTGTCGGCGTCGACTCGTTCCCACCACTCAAAGCCACCTGCTCCGCTATATGCCCCATCGCCACTAGTCCTCGCTCATTTTGCGATTGGTCTCTTGCCGCGAAGGCCTCAACGAGCACCATCCCCAGAGTATCGGTTATGATTTTCCCTAACCCTTTAATCATGTCCTACCTCAGTTGCGCGATCGAAGCCTCGACTCGACCACACATCATATTCATATCCATGCCCTGATCGAGCCCCCTTCGTGATTTCAGCCCTGGACGCGATAGCCATTATGTTTTCCAAAACCCTGAGTAGCGATTCGTGTTTGGTCATGTATTTGACCACGCCTTCCTTCATGGCTTTCTCCGGCTGCTTATCCGTCGGATTCGTCATCTTCAGGAACCTTACGCCAACCAGACTTTGATACCATTATAAGAGTTATAGATCTAGCCGCGTAGTATAGGGTTCGTGATAGAGGGAGTCGTTAGGTAATTGAGAATTGGAACAGAATTAGGGACTTGATGAGAGAAAGAAGAGAGAATTTTGGGATGAAAAAAAAATCGAGTCTCCTGGGAGAGGAGAGGGCCGACGACTAAGGGAGGTGAAGAGGGATGAATTTTGGGTTGAGAGAGTAGAGATATTATATTTAGAGAATAGTTGATCTATTATTGCTTAATGAGAAAACCCCACTAATGCAAAATATATATAAGCCTATGAATTACCTATAACTACCCCTAATAATATCTCCCACCTAAAATCATCCAAATAGTTTCAAAAATCCTTAAGTAACATTCGAAATCCATAACATAGAAATAAACGACAATTAAGTCCAAAATGACAAAAGAGTTAGAAACTTTTGATGACCATGGTGGATTTTTGCACACAGATGTTGATGACAAAGGCAGGGGATAATGACTCTTCTAGATTTTTTTATGTTTTGACTTGGCAACTTGTAAGGTTGGAGGGGATGTTGATTTTGTTAGCACTGATGAACTCGTAGCCCACGAATTCAAGAGTTTTGCTTGTAACTAACAAGCGAAAGAACGACGTTTGTGTTGATAAATTTTAACTTTATTATTCGATGATTCAGATTAATGGTGTGATTACATCGACTAAACCTAATACATAGCCCTAACTAAAGCCTTACCCTACTAACCTAGCCGACTCGGCATACAATATTACTTGGCCCAATCTTCTTACTAGCCTACGTACTACTAGACATGCACTAATGACCCAACTACGTGAATTACCAACACTAAACCCATAACAATTAAACTACACACCTAAGCTTGCTAACCCCAAAAATCCCAACGCACTAGCATCGACAGAGCTCTTCTCCAATCGAGTAAGCTCTCATCAAGCACCTTGAACAATTTACATATGTAGTTGAACGGGAACCCTTCTCTGTTTCGAGGGTGCAAGGAACATTGTAGGATGTATTCCATGACTAGCATATTTACCAAGTACTATTTCTTTGTCACAAGCACCTCTAAGGATGAAGAAGACAAAATTGTAAGCAGATAGCTAGTTCAACCATTTCTCATGGCATGATTTTTCATCTATCCTTGTCTAGTGTCTATCTTTCCAAACGTTGTGAGCTATATATGAAGCCGGATACTTGCTTTAACAAACACTGAGAGAAAGTCAGGGTTGGCTTTTATGCTCCTACTCAAGCCATTTTTAAATACCAACCCAGTATGTAGATTGTCCTACAAGACTACTGGTCCCCAAGCAAGTATCCGAATCCGATATGGAAGCAGTAATATTGGTTCGATTATTCAGGTTACCCTGTCTGCATAAGATGCACAAGATTGATTATACGTGCAGATAAAAATAAGAACTAGTCCACCATTAAAGGAGTATCATCATCATATGAATGTGTACGTATATGTATGATCAGATAATGCGACTAAGCCATTCCCAGACAACTGAATATCAACTAGCTAGATGCTACTCTACAATGATAAGCAAGCAAATCATAGCCAGAATTCCAGCATGGGTGCAAGTCAAAATTCACAAAGTTTGGAGATGGCCAGAACTATGGTCATTATACATTAACATGGAGTCTAAGTTTGGATTTTGGCCATGTGTATGTGTGAGAACCCCGCTTCTAGGGATTCTCGGGACTGATCTTGGGCACCCGTGAGATTGAGATTTAGGGTTGAGATTAGGGATTTAGATGAGAAGAACAGAATAGAATTGGGAATCGGCCGAGGCCTTGGATTAAGAGAGAATAGAAATTAGGAGTTGAGAGGATAAACTAGGGTTTAGGAGATTCTTCTGAATATTGTTCTTGATTGATTATGACGTAAACCCAAAGTACATATTTATAGGGAAATACTGGAAAACCCTAATGATAATCCTAATCCGACTAAATCTCTACTAACCATAATTATAATAATCCTACCTAATATAATAATAGAAACCCTAAATAAATGTGTTTTTGCCAATCCATCCCCCTTGAAAACAACCTTGACCTCAAGGTTGTAGTTGACTTCTACCTCCTTGACCTTCCGCTTTCTTCGTTTCCAATTGCGCTCAATTCTATAAATTAATCTTTCTCCAGCAACTTCAAATTTCTCCGACTCTTCTCCTGCCACGTGGCACCTACGCCCCAGCCCATAGCCGAACAATTCTTCCTCTTCCTTTTCGAATTCCACAAAATAAGAATCTAAGAATTGTTCTTCTTCTTGCTTCTCGTCACTCACCAACTTGAAATATTTAAGGAGTAGCTCCATAATTTCCTCCATAGGCTTGGTGGTGAAAACAACCCATAGCTTTACCCAACCTTCCTTTCCTCCTCCCTTGGGTCAAGCCTTTCCTGACTGCTAATTTCGTGTGGGCTTGTCTCCTCCAAAAGCCCACCTTTAATGTCCATCAAGCCTTCTTCTTTCTTTAAAAGACTTTTCTGCAAAATAACCCCAATAAAACAGACATTGGGCTCAATCTCTTCAAGACTTGGCCCATCAACTAACATAAACTCTTCCCTCTGATGCGGCCCAATCTTTTCAAACAAGCTCACCATATCCCTTCTTGTTGCCCCCAGATCTTCAAGCCCACAACCAAACTCTTTCCCGGCCCACTCCTCTCTCAACTGTGACCCAACTTTGGAGATGCAACCCACTACCTATCCTGCCACTCGGTTGGGCTAATCGAATTCGGCCCAAAGAGAGGAACATCGGCTGTGGGACTCCGTGGCCCACTTCTACGACCCTAGGGTTTGCGAAAGGAGAAACGCGACCGCCACCCACCTTCTCCCTCGATTCCTCTTCTTTCTCCGTCGACGACCGGCACTCCGACGGCATGGCACCACCCGCCGCCGTCTTCCACTCCTTCTTGTCTCCCGGTGGAGGCTTTTTCTCCGACTCGACCTCCGGATTCGAGTCGTCCCTCGCTGGTCGCTCTGCTTCTTCCTTCGGCCTCGTCCTCCCGACAGTCAATGCCCAAGCTGGAGTTGGTGTCAATTGCGGCGCCACAGGAGCCTTTCCCGCTGTCGGCGAAGAGGTCTGGCGAGCTTCCTCTGCCTTTCCTCGCCGAACAACGCCAGCACAACTCTCCTCCTCCGCCGACCTCGGCTCCGTGTCGTTCTCGCCCGGCGAGCTTCTCGCCATAGGGTTGGATGGCAGCCCCACTCTAGCGACTCTCATCCTTGTCGTTACCTCCGCGCCGATTGACTTCTTCTCCCTCTCATTTTCCCGCGACGAGGTCTTCTCGTGGCAAGCAGGCAGACTCAATCAGCCGCCCTCCTTCTCCAGCGACGCTCTCTCCGACGCCTCCTTTCCCGGTGGCGGCTCGTTCACCCGACGACTCGCCGCCTCCTCAGTCTTCAGTCGTTTGCCCCCGTTGCCGCGTCGCTCCGCGTGACTCGCTCTGATTTTCGTGCTCCCTTTCGATCGAGCCTCGGCAGTGGGGTTGAATGGTGATGATAGAGCTCCGGATGCGGTGGCTCCCCCGTCGTCAGGCGGCTCTGATGGCGACAGCTCACGCTCCCTCTGAATCTCACAACCAGAGCCATTTCTAGGCTCTTATTTCTTCTTCCTGAACTTCGAGGAAACAACAGATTGGCTAGGGAACATTGATTGTTCCATCCAGTCTTCCAAATCCATTTTCTTTTATGCTCCTTCTTGAGCAAGCCTGTAGCGACTTCAATCACGGTGGTCATCACGACCTCATCAGCCGTGACGGCCAGCGATGGCGCTTCCTCCCTCGGTAGCTCCGCGGTGATCACCACAGACTGCTATTGTTCGGTGATTTCGACAGCCGCTTCGACGGAAAGAGCAACGGCTCGTGATGATGGTGATGGTGGCACAGCAGCCACTGCAGCAGCTGCTTTCTCGGTCTTCACAACGACAGTGGTTTTCCCTTGCTCGAACTCGATTTGGAATGCCGGTTGTTCCAACCAATCTTCAAAATCTGGTTCAGCGACCAACGGTTCGATTACGGCTACGGTCGGAGGTGGGATTGGACTCCTCTCCGTCCTCGCCGCATCCAACTTCATCTTAAGAGCTTTGGTGAGTTCTTCGATTGAGAGCTCTTCAAATCTTGACATGGCTACGGACGAGTGCCTGCAACCAGGCTCTGATACCAATTGTGAGAACCCCGCTTCTAGGGATTCTCGTGGCTGATCTTGGGCACCCGTGAGATTGGGATTTAGGGTTGAGATTAGGGATTTAGATGAGAAGAACATAATAGAATTGGGAATCGGCCGAGGCCTTGGATTAGGAGAGAATATAAATTAGGAGTTGAGAGGATAAACTAGGGTTTAAGAGATTCTTCTGAATATTGTTCTTGATTGATTATGACGTAAACCCAAAGTACATATTTATAGGGAAATACTGAAAAACCCTAATGATAATCCTAATCCAACTAAATCTCTACTAACCATAATTATAATTATCCTACCTAATATAATAACATAAACACATTTTCTAAATAAATGTGTTTCTGCCAGTATGGCTCCAAGGTTTTGATGCATATATTATCAACTAGAGGCGGGGTGCTCGATCGAGCAAGGTGCCTGCTTGGATATTCTGGTTGCAATCATGTTGGATTCTTTCTCCTAATCAAATGGTACCCCTTTTCTGTTCCTTCTTTTCATTTTCAGCTTCCTGAATCGATCCTGTGATGTTACGTTTCTTGGTGATGCAACAGTATGATACTGCAACTTTCTTCTTCTTCAAGTCTTGTAAGACTTCTTAATGTTTTGTGTTGAAGAATCATGGATTGGGATTGCTTCTTTTGTGTGTATAAGGGCTAGACTTTGGTATCTGGAGGTAAGATGTATCCCCATATCCCTGTGTTAGTACAAGCAGAATTTGGTCTCCGAATTTTGATAAAGCTCTACCGCATGTGAAGTAGTTAAGAACGGATTAGATAATGAACTTGAAAATACTAGGTATCTCTGTTGGAGTTCTAAACTTTGCAAGATGGTAAATGTGAAGAATATTGCACAAGAGTTCATTCTTGATGATTCCTTGTGCTTCACATTTGCCAAAATGAACATTGCATTATGACTGATGTTCTGCGATCTTGTTTCGTTTGCTTTGATTGTCCAAATATCGGATGTGAACTATTCTCAGTGTGCAGTTGCAGTAGTTAACTGAACAATGGCTATCGATACTGATCTATTCTTCTATCTTCCTCCTTCCGCTTACGCAGGTTGAAATGTGGGGAGTTTGTGCTTCTGCTTATCGGCCATGTGAACCAGAGGCAAGGGTCTCTCCCATGGCTGCTGTGCACCAAGACATAAGGCGACTGCTGGGTCAGAAATCAGCAACCCTGATATTGGCTTCCAGTCAGCCTGGGTCAACCGTCAGGCCAGAGCAGAGATTAGCCGCTCTCCAGATCCAGGCTCCGAGGGTGCTGGAGCACCTGGATCTTTACTAAACCCCGCAGGTCCTCACATCTATCTATCTGAATGCACAGAAGCAACAGCCTTCTTCTCAAACCATCACGCAGTCAATAAATGTAGCTTATGTACTGTTAAGCAAGTCATGATTTCTGGCATTTGCATTATCTAAAACAATCTCATTAGGTAACTATCTATCATACAACTACAGTTCTAGTACCTACCTGATTCTTGAGACTTCAGGAACTGTCCACCATCGTTTTGAGATTTCAAGAGAGCGTGTCGTGTAAGTCCACGGCTATGTGATATAATAAGTAGTGTGCTTATGAAGCAATATAACTTCAGTTTCACCAAGCAAATCCCGAACAAGACTTGAAGATAGGAAACCCAACCAACCAGCCAGAAATAGAGGACCAAATTCAGAGGGGAGTGTCTAATGGAGCATAGCTGATTGTCCATCTTCTGTCCGCATGTGATGAGAAATAGTGAGGCTGCCAAGTTTGGAAGACTGTCAAAATGTACTTAACTGAAGAACTAAAGTTGAACCATGTAGAACGTGGATGTACCCAGATAATATGCTACAGTGAATGCCATTCTCTTCCTGAGGGAACATCTTTATATATATTCAACTAAGAAATACCAAGATATGGATGGAGATAAAAAGAATTATCTCCAGGTTTTCACAGGAAAACCCCTCTTCTCTGAACCAGACAGATCAGGTTTGCCCTTGTTCGTGCATGCAATTTGCAGAATTAGCAGGCCGCCTTTCATGCATCAGCAAAGTTGAACTCTATATGCACTCCTCCTTAGAATCGTCAATCATCTGAAAATCAGAGAGGAAACGTACTCAGAAGTTAGTAATTGCACAAGTAGCAAGAAAAAGAAACATTTGACTTGGGGAATCAATATGAAATTTGAAGGCATACCTTCACAGAAAGCTACATTCTCAGAGTAGCTTGGCACCGACGGGCAAACAGGGAAATCCCCTTGGCTTAAGGTTTTGAGTTATCAAATGTTCTCTGCAAGAAGAGATTCCTTGCCATGCTTACTGCACAGTTTAACACATTTTAATATGTGTACGCAAGGATTATCCTTCCACAGGCCTAACGAACTCTTTCCTTGGCTTAGCAGAGAGCCCCTTTTCAAGCATCTCTGCGTCATACTTGCTAGCTTCATCCAGCAACCCTTTATCAATCAAAACATCAATCCAAGCATTGTAAGCAGACTCATCTGGACTGTGCCCAAGTTCAACCATTTTCGACCAAACAATAGTTGCAGGCCTAAGAAACCCCCACTTTCCAAACTTCCTTATAAGCATCACAAAGGTACTCATCGTTGGCTGAACCCCATCCTCACACATCCTATCGAAAAGCCAGAGGATTTTCTTTGGATCTCCAAGACACCGGTAGAAAGAATGATAAGTAATCACATCCGGCTGCATACCTTTCCGGCCCATATTCTCTAGCATCTCAAATGCTTCCTCCATCCTCGAATTCTCACACAAAAGTTTTATCACAGTGCTGCAAGTCGCAACATTTGGTTCACAACCCATCTCCGTCATCTCGCGATAAACCCTCTTTGCAGAATCCACACCCTCGGACTTGCCAATGGCTAGAATCACAGTATTATAAGCCACAACATCTAACCTTATCCCCTTCACCTTCATCTCCTTGTACAATTTCACAGCTTTATACGGCTTCCCACTCTTGCACATTATATCCATGTATATCGAATAGGAATGCAAATCCTTTCGCACCCCTTTCCTATCCATTTCCTCCCAGAACTCTCTACATTTCGCCCACCACTTCATCTTAACCCAACCCCGCAGCATTATATTATGAACCTTGGTCGAATTCATCATCCCTGCCGCGATTTCGTCGTTAAATCTCTCCTTAAACACGAATTCTTCAGCCTCCCTAACGTGTTTATGCTCGCACATGGCGTCGACGAGATAGCTATAGCAAGTCTCGTCACGGAGATCGAACTCCTGCGACCTCTCGTAAGCGGCGATCGCTTCTTCGACGAGATGAGCAGATACATAGCGCTTAAACATCGCTCGAAAAGTGGCGTGATCAGGCATCGCACCACAACCCGGCATTCTCTCGATTAATTTCCAGCACAACTCGAATTCGAAGAACTTACCGAGAATACTGATCATGTAATTGAAATTCTCCGTCGTGTGCTGACTCTCGACTGAGTTGAAGTAATCGAAAGCTGCTTTCCAGTCATTGGCCTTAAGCCTGAGCTTCTCCAACACAGCAGTTGAATCGACTTCCGGAGAGCTCTGTGGTGGAGGCTCCGGAGCGCAGAAATGGAATTGCGAAGTGGAATTTGTTGAGAGAGAATGGGCGGCGATCGGACGGAGGAAGGGAAGGCGACGGAGGCGGAGGAACAACAATGCCGGCGAGGTCATTTTGGGAAGAAGGAAAATAATTGCTCTGGACGATCTCGATTCTGAGAGAGAGTTGAAGAATTGTTGCCGCTTGCCGGCTTCGATATCGCGCGGGTCGAACGTCACAGGCCCAAGACGACGTAATTGGTCTGGGAGCCCTACTTTACAGGCCCAAATGCAAACGTCACCCATAAACTGGACGGAATTAAGTCGGCGTTTCGAATTAAGAGCAATTAATTGACGCCGGAGACGGGAAAGTAGTAGGAGATTTGGCAACGTGCGGAGTCGATCTAAGGACAAGTCAATCCCAGAGTCCGGCCAAGTACTCTTCCTCTCTTCTCAATTTCTCTCGAAGCTGAATAAAGATGGGTCAGAAGAATGAATCACCGGTGACAATCAATCAAAGCTGAAGTAATCATTCAAACTCTTAATTAATACACATCGATCATTGATTCAGACAACAAACAGGAAACCAAATCGAAGTCACTACTGACCAGAATTTGGAAAGAAAGGAGTAATACTTGAAGGAAGAAGTAGAAGCGGAAAATACAGAGATATTGATAGATGGAGGGGAAATTCAAATTGGATAGATCAGCCAATTTTGGGGGCTCTGGCGACTTTGCCGTCGGCGTCGACATACAATCGAACCCTGTCCTGACGGAGTTCCATGGTAACGAAGCTATTAGGAGGGACCACATGGACTTGAACCCCGGTCGTCTCTTGTTTGATCTTGGATTCGGCTTCCTCCGCCGTCAGGCCGACTAATTCCGGCCACTCCAATTTCTCAGTATTGTTGTTGAGACTAGGCACCCCGTACGGCCTCGGCAGAGGTTGCGTCGGTTGCGCTTCTTCCGGTGGCGTCTGATGGTTTTCCTCGGCCATGTCGTGTAGTCGCAACTAGTCTTTCTTTCTTTCTTCTTTTTTCTTGGGTGAGTTTCAGAGAGATAAACTATGGATCCATGGAGTTAGGTGTTGTTACCTTTATACTGGTTGTGGGTGGGGACAGAGTTTACAAATTTGCAGGCTTTGAGAAACCGATTCTTCATTCTTTGGCTTCGACGAATTCAAGATCCGGTCGACACATGGCAACGAACGAAAGCATATCAGCAGACTAACTCTTCTTCATGGTCCGGCCGGCCGGATCCACGACAACGACTAGGACCCGTAACAAAATTGATAAAAAACGTTTATTTATAACGTAATATCCACTTCATTTCATCTATATTATAGCAGGTAGCGCCGCTGCATGGGTGAGGAGATGTGACCGATAAAGAAGAAAGATAAGTACTCATGCACATTTAGTGGCGGACTCAAAAATTTTTTATAGGGGTGTCCCATTATAAAAAATAAATAAAAATAAAATTATAAATAAGAAAATACATTACTCATACAGGTTAAAAAAGTCCATGATGTGTTTTCATATTCGAAAATAATTGTAGAATACACTTGAAGTCTACAGTGTTAAAAAACATTGTCTCTAAATATCCTACTAGACAATCATTCACGAATTTATAGCATATTCAATTTGTAAACTTGCTCTTGATGTAACCCAAAGTTGAAAGACGCTTTCAATACTTACCTTACAACCATAAAATCAGTAAAAATTAAGGGTAGCTTGAAATTAGTTTACTTGTTAGGTTTGAAAATAATTAGAGATATGAAATGACATTTTACTATTACACAGTGTTCAAAATCGAACAACAAATGAGTTGTAGTTTAATAAAAATTAAGTTTATTAATAATAATAGTGTTCTAGGTTTGAATTACCCAACCTACCACTTATATTCGCATACACAAATTTAAAAAATAACAGTAGAATAATCATTTTTTCAATTTCAGGGGTATCCCTCATTATCAATTATAAATTTTTTGACCATATATAAATTACCACCGTGGGTTGAATAATCGTTTCCCCAAAATTTCGGGGTGTCCCGGGACACCCTAAAGCCCACTGGGTCCGCCCCTATGCACATCCCACAATCCTTTTTGTAGATCCATAACTAGCTCGATAGTAAATACTAAATAGCCCCCCCTCCCCACGAACCCACCTATATTAGTAGAACGGGCAATCCGGTGGGGTTGGATAATTTCAGGTTGGGAACTTCGTTTACGGATCGGGTCATGTTTGGTTGGTTTATTTTTGTTTAAATATTGACCTAACCCATTTGGTTTCGGGTCGGGTTACAGGTCATTTCGGGTTATGAGCGTTCTCATAAACAATATCAAACATCCTTCATACTTTCTTAAAGAACACAATTTTTCACATATGCGCGACAATAGTTTACCTAATACATGTCAATTAACATATTCTAAAAATCCTCCCACGCTAATGAAATGAAAAAAATTTCGTAAATCGTCAAAAAAACAATCACAAGAGTAATACTACTACTACAAGAAACACATGATATTTGATTTTCCTTAAACTCCAAACATGTCATTCAAATCCTTGTGATTTTTTTTAAACATCTCACCAATTTATGAGTGATTTTATCATATTTTGGGAGTAATATATTAAATGGAACGGGTCTAATGGGTCGACCCGCTAACCCACCCAAGCCGACCCAAAAAATCACGGGTTATCGGGTTTGGGTCATTCGGATTTCGGGTTACAAAAATTTCTAGTTTTCGGGTGGGTTTGGGTCGGGTCAACGGGTCAGGTTGTAATTTGCCAAGTCTATATATTTGTTATATTTAGTTAGTTATTATTAATTAATATATATAAATGTGAAGTTTGGTTACTATTGTCTAATTATTTGTAGGGCTAATACCACCGGAAATACCATCCTTTAGCGAAAGTGCCATTTATATTACATACTTTCAATAAACACAAAAATATTCCAACGTATTAGGGGTTCGCGTCATTTGTGTTACGCGTATTTCTGTTGACTGTTAGAATTGACGGTTGACCTAACGGTGGTTAACCTATGTTTGACTATTGATTATGTGGAGCTTATGTGGCGTACATGTATGCGCCACATATGATATTACTATTAAATAATCCATTAAATATTCCCATTAAATAAAAAAATTATAATTAAAAGGAAAAAGTAGTCGTCGCCTCCACCTAGTCGAAAAACAAAACAAATATGTTGTCGCCGCAAGATCTCGACAGCTCCGTCGGCAACCCCGACGGTCGATCTCCCTTAATCAAAAACTAGTGGCGCACTCACTCAAGGTTCAATCAAACTCATCAGAAAGGCCACGCCTTTCTCCTCCGATGCGTCCTCCGCCAAGGATTGCGACCGGCCATCGACGCCGTCATCGACTGAGCTGCCGCTTTTCTACCTGCAATTGCTCCCCTATTCCATTTCCCCCACCTTCTCTGTACAAATCACTCAAGAACGAATATGAGTTGGAGTAAGGAAACCCCTGATCTAGGAAAATCCTCCAAAGGGACCTGGTTTTCCCCTATTTGAAACACCTAAATCTTTCGGCAATGGGGTGAACCTGGTTTCGAATCCCTAAATCAATTGACCGGATTTTCCCCGATTCGGCCGACGTCGAGGGAAGTTCCGCCTTCAAAAGCTTCTAAAGAGCTTCCTTTCATAGCTTCCTCGTTGCTCCAAAAATCTAGAGCGAGCGGAGGTTGGCGATGGAGGAAAAGGAATTGGGAATTTGTTGAAGGAGGCGGGATGAGAGACGGCGAACTGGAAGAGGGGAGCTATTGTAGCCACAAATACAAACTAGAGGGATGAAGCAGTGGAGCGGCGAAGAGGGATGAAGCAGTGAAGGAGAAAGGGCAGAGGAGGCGATTGGTGGTGCCGGGGGAGGGAAGTCCCCGGGAGGGGATGAAAAGTCGCACGAGGATGATACAAGCAGGCGCAGTGGGGAAGAGGAATAGCCGATTTTTTTTAATAAATGAATTTTTAGTAAATTTTCCATGTCAGCTGCCACGTGTATGCTGACTGTGTTTTCTGTCAATTTCTAACGGAAAACTTAACGGAGGAAACGATTTGGTACACAAATGACATATCGAAAAGTACGTAATATAAATGGCACTTTCGCTAAAGAATGGTATTTCCAGTGGTATTAGCCCTTATTTGTATTTTGATGCCTCAATTTTAATTAAATCACAACTTAGTCACTATAATGTACATTTTACATTTTGATACCCCAAATTTAATTTTAATATAAAATTATTGAACAATTATGTTTTGGTATCTAAATTTTGTGAGATTTCCGTACCTACAATTTTTTAAATTTACATATCGATCCAATGTTTAGATTTCACTTGAATACATGAATCCAATCCATCATAACATAAAAAGTATAAATTTAGTTTGTACAATACAAGATGTTGTATCACTCAACTGTAGAAGAAGATTCGACCATTTTATATGTGCTCATTACGTGAACCATTAAATAAATGATAAAAGAGAGATGACTCTAAAATATTAAAAGAGCGAATTTATAATCTCATTTAGTATATTTACGGGGTACTAAAAAAACTTTTACTAACTACATGTAACAAAATATGCGACATCTACATAAGCAAGCGTCAATAAATTGCTACGGTGAAAAGGGTAGATTGTTGTATTGACGTTCAACTAAAAGAATTGGTCAAAACTTTTTCATCATCTACTTCCTCTTCGTTTCATTTTTCACTCGCCTTCCATAACCCTTTCTTAATTTCTTTCTTTGCCTTCTTCGTCTTACCCTAATTAGTATACTATTTTTATGTATTCTAATCACAAGTATAAAAGGGTCCATACACGACTCACCAGCAGTCTAGAGAACCAATAATTGAACCATGTATCACTAACTTTTTAAGTTCAATGTCCAGTCCAATAAAAAATAAATATATATCGTTATTACTTATTAGAAAGTCGTCATTTTCAAGTATGAGATTTGTGGGCGTGAAATTTTAAGCGAGTTCCAGTTTGTATTCCTTTGTTTCTCTCTATAGTTTTTCTTTTTCACCCGGACTAGAATTTTCAACAATTATACATGAAATATTTGACTAGGTATCTACACATATCAAATAAATAGTTTTCATATTTCTATAAAAAAGTAAATAACTATCATCTTAAATACATCGCCATAAAATGAATTAAGGCTCAACTATGCAAATTACAATTCTATACCTAAATTTAATAGATATTTAGATTTATAACCTAAATTTATTTTTTTGGCATATAAGTCCTCAAAATGACAAAATGTTGATGAAATATTACATTTTAGTACCTAAATTTTTTGTGTATTACATTTTGGTACCTATACTTGTAAAGTTCTACAAATAGATTTACTTTTTGTATCTGTAATTAAAACTCTCTTGAATAAATGTGTATTCATACCCAACTCATACACATTTAGATCATGAAAGTAAATATCCAAACCCTACCCAAACCCATCTACAAAACACCATAACGGGCCACATAATACATGCATATAGGTCATTTCCACTCCGCGGCAAGGCGCGCCATCGCCACCTAGTATATATATATACATATGGGGAGTTCTACGGTATCCAGGGTGAAATCCGGGGTACCGCATACCTTGAGTAAGAAAACGCTATCCAGAACTTGAATTGACTGATCTTTCGGACATGATACTATACTCTAACACTTAAAGATCAAAATCTAGGTCTTAATTCTCAAAATCTTATACCCCAAGATCAATTTAATTAGAAACAATAATAGACGGTTATGATTCGTCCAAATATAGGAAAAAAAAAGCACCGTCTTAGGGTTTATAGTTTATGATTTAGATAATTAGGACCTAGGGTTCACTCATTAAGGGTTAGGGTATAGTATCATGCCGAAAAATCCTGCTAATTCGAGGTCTAGATAGCGTTTTCATACTCAGGTATGTGGTACCCCCGGATTTCACCCGGGGTACCGTAGAAGTCACCATATATGGCAAAGGCTAGCGTACGTCAGTTGTACGCTGTACGCCTGTGTTCACACTTGGTTTTTGCACTTCAATATATTTCGCTGAATCGAAACCGTCGGTTATTATTTTTTAGATTAAATGAATCTCGTGGCTCGATGGCAAAGGCTAGCGTACCATATATATATAAAGTGAAAGTGAAGTTACTGTTTCCTAATATTTTGCTATGATGCTCCTTAATATTTTGCTTATACCGATTTTGCTACCATATGATGGTTGTTTTTTTTACCTTTTCCTCTTAATGTTGATGTTTATACATTGTGTCACTTTTCAATCTTCACAAAATCCATAGTTGTAAGTTTTTCTTTTGAAGTTGTAACTTTGTGTTCCATTGTTTTGATTAAAAATTGGGTCATCATCCTTTTTGCTTTGTTAAATTCGGTAGATAGCGGAAAGGACCAAAGTATTTGTTTTCTAGGGATGCTAATCTAATAAGAATCGATATTTTTGAAGAAAAAATCAACTAATATAATTTTTCGATGACTTTTCTTTGAATCCAACAAAGTTAGTAATGCTTTTTATTCAATTTTTTATTTTAAATATTCACATCGAAATCCACAAATTATATGTTATAAGTATGCTCTAGATTTTGTCACTTCACCATTAGAGCAATCACATCACACAATATTTTTTTTTATATAATGGACTCAATTTGGTCTAATGTATGTTGTATAATTGCTGGTTATTCATTTATACATAATTAGAACTGGCCCATTTATTATGAGTAAGTAAGATCTAAACGCTAAGATTAAAAATTCCTTTATTTTTCCTACTTTTACATCGATTTGTATGTTCTTTATTTTAACACGAATTTTAATATTTTTGACACAGATGGAACAATTAAGATGGAATCAAGTTGAGAACTTGAAATAGTCAACTAGGCTTCTAGGGTTGATGAATTGTGATAGGGCAAAAGCGTATATGCCAATTTCCTATCTTGTAGTAAACCGGAAAGTCCGGGTATCGTCTCTCAGGGACTGGTACAAGCTTATATTCTATCAATTCTATGGAGAAAACTATAGGTGAAAATGGTTTGAGTGAAGAAACTACTAGCTAATAATTAAACAAAACAAGCAAATTAAAGTTGTGGGGGAAAATCAATGGGAGAAACACCGGAATTCACTACCTATCCTATCCAGATTAATTCACACATTCCAATCAATTTAATCCAACTCTCTACATCCAGGATATCACGAATGTGCTAGCTATCCCTGTCGGGAATTACTACGTACTAAACAATTAATTCAAATCCTACTGTCGTAGCTCAATGACTTAATTATTTAGCCTGAAGATCGATATCCTATTTAAGACCGCATAACACCTTATTTAATCCACTGTCGCTTCGATAAATTACTATGTCACATGAAATAGGTTCGGTTAATAGGGTTTCACTATCGCTAATAACCTAATTAACTACAAATCGTTGTATTGGTGGCCAGTCAACACAAAGCATTAAGCAATTCCATGTAATAGAGATTGGAGGAAGAGAAATATGAATCAATCCATCAAATCAAGAAATAGCTACATCCTATGGTGTTTCCCCCAGAAATCGGGGTTTAGTTCATGACGAAAATAAAACACACAATCATGTTTATAATCATCATGTTCTAAATCAACAATAAACAACTAATTCGGTTTAGAAACTCCAACCAAATAATCGCTCTCGTTGAACTCAGCTCAAGCCGCCTTGGAAAACTGATCACCAATCGATAATCGCCGCCTTGGAAAACTCTCGCTGCGCTATGCTCTCTTTTCGCTTCCGCGCTCATAAAGAGATCCGCGCCCGCAGCTCTCTCGATCGTCCAATTAATTCCGCCCCAAAAATCCAAAACCAAGAGACCCCTTGTCAGCCGCCTTCTTTTTCACATTCTTTCCGCCCGAATTTCGTCCCCAGCTCTCGTTGACTTCCCCCGTCTCCCAGCCGCCTTTTTTTTCTTTTAGAGATTCCGTCCCAAGTTCCAAGTCCAATTCCATGCCAACCATTCCAATTCTGTCCGGCCCAAAATCTCCTCCTCTTTACCAATGAGAATCCGTCCAAAAACCAAGTCCCAGCCCATTCCAATTAACCAAAAAACCTTCGGCCCCTTCTAGCGCTAGGCCCACTTCCTTGCGTCCAAAATAATTGCCACTGAAGCTCACCAAACCCTCGGCCCACTCTCCTTCCAGCTACTCCATTCAGGCCCACGTGCTATTTAACCAATGATCCGAGAATTGTTTGCCTGTGCAATTTTTCTCGTGTTTTCTCCACCTGCAACATATCAAACTCATGGCACTAGGCAGTAATGGTTTTTCAACCATTTCCGGGTTAGCGAGCCCTAAAATAGCACCAATTGGCTTAAATATATCATGGGATAGTCACATAAAGTTCAAGAATCCGATATATTAAAGCCGATTATCACAACCCCACACTCAATTGTTGCTTGTCCCTAAGCAACGACTCAAACAACACAAACACATAATCATCCAAAACAATGACACACCAAAGACTCACCACTAAAAACAAAGCATAATTTTCCTTATACTCTTGTTGTAATCAATAGTTTCTTTCTCAACGAACAAGTTGAGCTCTAATGGTCATACCTTTCACCCCACACTCAAGGTCTTTGCAACCCTTAACCATTGACTGACTCAAATCCATCCAAAAACTCAAATAGCAACACTCAATTTCGATCGTCGGTAGTGGGGGGTTAACAACTTATGGTGCAACAATTATTAGGAGAATCTAACCACATCAGTGGGGTGCATATCTCGTGAGGACAGTCTGGCTTACTCACACCAATCATAAGAAATTAATTAAGCATGAGTCTCAAAAACTAATGGGGGAAGCCTTTCGCAAACAAGATTTTAACTTTAAGCACATCACTACCTTTTATGACAAGGAGAGGCTTTCTCTCTTTCTACTTTTGCTTGCCGAGAGGTCGTATTTAGTACAACTGGGGTTTGTTTCTTACTACCGGTGACCGAGCAAGAGCAATTTCTGCTTCTTAGCACTCGCATAAGGGCTTCTTTTAACTCCTTTTCCTCCATCCGTGTGGAGGGTCATTGCACATCCTCAAATGGAACTTCACTCAACTAGGGATCGTACTTGATAAGCAACATCGTACGGTCGCGAACCGATTCTCAATTGAATCTTTCCTAATCCCCATGTGCAATGAGTGATTGCCTCACATGATTTGGGCATTTTTACCCACACTTTAATTGTTATGGCAACTTTCTTATATTTTACTTGTCAGGTAGTGTTTTCTTTTATAAAGATACAGTTCACCCCATCATAAAACCATTAAAACAGAGAGACTCTTTGCAAAATCAAAAGCTCAAAATTGATGCAAGTAAGCACGGTATCCAAACATGTCGAATGGTCAATTTTCTCCACCTAACTACTTCACCAAAAGTCATTACACTATCCTCACAAAAGAGAATGTTGCTAAAAGAGTTTGCTCATTCAAAGCATATCAGGTCAGTCAAAACATTTAAGCTCCTTGTGAAGAACCATGCAATTCAACACTAGTGGGGTGATTTCGATGATTACATTCAAGCACAAACTCATTTCACACGCATCACAGTCATTTACATCATGTTACCACAAGAGTATAAGGTTTTGTTTTTAATTTTTCTGATTTTTAGGTGTTTTTTAGCCATTAGCTTTGCACAGGCAACCTGCTTTTTACACAGGCAAACTGCATGCAGTTTGGCTGTGCTCAACCTAATGGCAATTTATTTTTTTAACGATATACACATGACGAGACACTGTGGACAACTAAGACTCGACATAAAACACGACAAGAACACAGACCATCCACCCCACACTCAGGATGGACATTGTCCACAATGTCTCAACTACACACGACACACCAATAGGTTCACCTAGCTAACATTATTACAGACCATCATTCACTACGAGAAGTATTCACAAAGAAAAGAAAAGAAAAGAAAAGAAAAGAAAAGAAAAGAAAAAAGAACCTCGGGACAAACTCCTTTGAAGGAGGGGTCGATGAAGAAGTGTCGAGCCTCTCATCTAGACGCTGGTTTAGCTCCTTGATTTTCTTATCTTTCTCTGCGTCTACGGCTTCCAAGATAACTATTCTGGCTCTGAGCTCGTCTGCAGATGATGGTGAAGCTGGTACAACTGGTGGTGAATCTGGTAATGGAGGTTCTTCAGTAGGCATTTGAGCAGGCTGCTGTGGTGGAGATGGAGTTGAAGAAGTCATCTCAATAGTCCTTGACCGCATCGTGGGTCCAACCTGGCCGATGATCACCCTGTGAAATCGAGCGGGCATGTTGACCGCTTGAAATGTGGAGGAACTTCTGGAATTGGGCTGTCTTTATCGGTCACCTTGTGGCTGTCTTCAATCATCCACGAACGGTAAACAACCTTCTGCAATCTCAAATCAACCAATCTTCAAGAACCAAGTACACTACAATGTCGAATTGAGCTCATTCACCCATGAAATCTTCTACAAATCTCCTTCTAAACAGTAATTGCACTTCAATTGGCCCAATCAATCAATCATCACACTCCAATTTCACCTCATATTCGAAATTGAGGAAAACCCCCAATTTGAAGAACCCTAAATTTTTTTTATTGTTCTTGAATCACCAACAACTCTAGGTTTTTCAAATCAAACTTGAGGGAAGGGGGAGATTGGAGCTGGTGGGGGGTCGAACGTTGTGGCGGTGTAGGTTGTGGTATTGATGATGCACGGTTTGCTACTTCTATTTTGCTGTTGTGAATTTCTGGTTGCGTGTTATTTACAGGGTTTTTGTTTGACGGAGGAAAGAAAGGATGAGGTAGTAGTGGCGGAGAGGCTTTGTCAACGATGGATGGGGGTATGAAGTTCAGTAAAAGCCCAAAAACTTTGTTGAATTCATTCTGGCTTTTCTGGTTTTGTATTGGTTTGTATGGTCTCTTCCTTTCACATGAGTTGTTTTTTAGTTACAATTGTTGGATTTTGGAGGTTCTTTGTATCTGTATTGAGGAGGAGATTTACTATTGGAATTGAGAGGTTGAGAGGTTGTGTGATTGTGCGGGGTTAAGGTTTGAGGTCACGGGTCGGTATCTGTGATTAGTTTCTTTAATTGTTCTTTGTTTTTTCTTCTTTGATGTTTTCGTATTGATTCTTTGTTTTCTGATGAGGGTTTGTTTGGCGATTTTGAATTAAATAGTTATCTGTATTGAAAAGGCGTATGAATAAGGGGAAGACCTATATGAGGAGGTTTATTTGGGTTTTGTGGTATTGATGATGCACGGTTTCTTACTTCTATTTTGATGTTGTTAATTTTCTGGTTGCGTGTTACTTATAGGATTTTTGTTTGATGGAGGAAAGAAAGGATGGGGTAGTAATGGCGGAGAGGCTTTGTTTACGACGGATGCGGGTAGGAAGTGCAGTAAGAGCTTAGTAACTTCGTTGAATTTATTCTTTCTTTTCTGGTTTTGTATTAGTTTCTTGCTTCTATTTTGCTGTTGTTAATTTACTAGTTGCATGTTACAAAAAGGGTTTTTGTTTGAGGGAGGTAGGAAAGGATGAGGGTAGTAATGGTGGAGAGGATAGGGTTTTCTAACTTCACTATTTTTTTTATCTCTCTGTAAAGCTTTTATATTTAATGTCTAAAGTAATTTGTTACCTTGATTATTTTCATAGAGCTGCAAGAATTATCTCTGTTTGGGAACAAAGCAAGCGGCACAATCATCGTCACTTGAGGCATCATCACAGGAGAAACCTTAGGGTTTGCGTACAAGCACAAGTGAGGAGGCCAAGAGGGTTGCGTGTTACTTACTAAGCAAGATTGTTAACTTTTAAAGTAGGTCGCTACCAACTCCGGGTACTTCTCTCGCATACTTGCTTCAGTCTCCCAGGTAGCACTCTCACTATCTTGATTTCTCCAAACCACTTTCAACATTGGGATTTCCTTCCTACGAAGATTCTTAATCTGGTAATCAACAATCTCAACTGGAAGCTCTTCAAATGTCAAATCTGGACCTAACTCGATATCTTCTGGTTGTATAATATGGGAAGGATCCACTTTGTACCTCTTCAGCATACTAACATGAAATACATTGTGGATTTGAGATAGTTCTGGAGGCAATGCCAGTTTATATGCCACTGGTCCAATCTTCTCTATGATTTCATAAGGTCCAATATACCGAGGTGCAAGTTTCCCTTTCTTACCAAATCTCATTACGCCTTTCCAGGGTGAAACTTTGAGAAATACTTTCTCACCCACTTCGAAATTAACTTCACGCCTATTCGTGTCAACATAAACTTTCTGTCGATCTTGAGCCACCCTCAAACGCTCCCTGATTTCCTTGACTTTGTCAACTGTGATCTGAACTATCTCTGGCCCTGAGATTTGCCTTGCTCCTTCTACATCCCAACATAATGGTGTTCTACACTTCCTCCCATAAAGTGCTTCATATGGTGGAACACCCAAGCTACTATGGTACTGGTTGTTGTAAGCAAACTCAATTAAGGGCATATGGTCAATCCATGATTCCTCCCATTGCATTACACATGATCGAAGTAATTCCTCCAAAGTTAGGATGGTTCGTTCACTCTGCCCATCTGTTTGAGGATGATAAGCTGAAGTAAAAAAGTAATTTAGTTCCCAAGGCATCATGTAAACTTTGCCAAAACCGAGATGTGAAGCTCGGGTCTCGATCAGAGACAATAGAAATTGGCACACCATGCAATCTGACGATCTCCTTAATATATAGTTGAGACAAAGTCTCCAGTGATGGTTTCCACCTAATGGGTAAAAAGTGAGCCGATTTGGTTAGTCGGTCCACAGTAACCCATACCGCATCTTTTCCCTGTGATGATGGGAGACCATATACAAAATCCATTGTGATTCTTTCCCACTTCCATTATGGAATTGGAAGTGGTTGCAGTTTTCCCACAGGAGCTTGATGTTCTGCCTTAACTTTCTGACATACCAGACATGTGAAAACATGTTCAGCCGCTTCCTTTTTCATCCCACGCCACCAAAAATATGGTTTGATCGTGTGATACATTTTAGTTGCTCCTGGGTGCATAGCATAAGCAGAAGAATGAGCTTCATCTATGATCTCTTTCCTCAAGTTATCAACATTAGGAACACATGCTCTTCCATTCATCTTCAACAAGCCATCTACCATTTCAAATGGGCTTTCTTTTCCTTCCGCAATGTCTTGAATGATTTTTTCCAACTCTGGGTCCTCCTTCTACTTCTCACGAACTTTGTCGTGCAACAAAGGTCGAATGTTCAACCGAGCTAGTAACCCTGTTACACCATCCACTTCCAAATCAACATTCATTGACCTCAAATCAACCAGATCTGTTATATTCTTCTTGCCTTTTCTGCTCAAAGCATCACCAACTACATTAGCTTTACCTGGATGGTAATCAATGGTACAATCATCATCTTTCAACAACTCTGTCCATCTCCTCTGGCGACTATTTAAATCCTTCTGATCGATAATATACTTCAAGCTTTTGTGATAAGTTAGGATTTTAAAAGTCTCACCATACAAATAATGTCGCCAAATCTTGAGAGCAAATACCACCGCTGCTAATTCTAAGTCATGAGTGGGATAATTTACTTCATGAGGACGCAATTACCTAGAGGCATATGCGATAACTCTTCCATCCTGCATTAACACACAACCCAATCCTTGATACGAGGCATCACTATACACCACGAACTCTCCATGGTTTGAAGGTAAAGCCAGTACTGGTGCTGTGGTCAAAATCTTCTTCAGTTCATCAAAACTCTTTTGACATGATTCATCCCAAACATACTTGGTATTCTTCCTCAACAATTTAGTCAATGGTGCAGCAATTTTGGAAAATCCTTCTACGAACCGCCGATAGTAACCTGCCATGCCAAGAAAACTTCTCAACTCAGACACATCTTTTGGTAGAGCCCAACTCACCACTGCTTCCACCTTTTTCGGATCCACCTCGACACCTCTTCCAAAAATTACATGTCCCAGAAATATTACCTCCTTCAGCCAAAATTCACATTTTGAGAATTTTGCATATAATTGTTTCTCCCTTAGAATTTGCAACACAATTCTAAGGTGAGTTTTGTGCTCCTCCTCGCTTTTAGAATAGATGAGAATATCATCTATGAACACAATCAAAAACTTATCAAGATATTCATGGAAAACTCTGTTCATAAGGGCCATAAATACCACTGGTGCATTAGTGAGTCCAAAAGGCATTACCAGGAACTCATAATGCCCATATCTTGTTCTAAAAGCTGTCTTTGAGGTTGCTCCATCTGCCACTTTCAATTGATAGTATCCAGACCTCAAATCAATCTTAGAAAAGACCGATGCACCCTGCAATTGATCAAACAAGTCATCTATTCTTGGGAGGGGATAACGGTTTTTCACTGTTGCTTTATTCAACCTCCGGTAGTCAATGCACATTCTCATGGAGCCATCTTTCTTCTTGACAAACAAAACCGGTGCACCCCAAGGTGAGATGCTAGGTCAAATAAACCCCTTGTCTAGCAATTCTTGCAATTGTTCTTTAAGCTCCTTCAGCTCAATTGGTGCCATTCTATATGGTGCCATTGAAATTGGTGTTGTGCCAGGTACCAATTCAATATCAAAATCTACTTCCCTTTCTGGTGGAAGGCCGGGAAGTTCTTCGGGGAATACATCAGGAAACTCCCTTACCACCTCTACATCCTCAACCTTCTTATCATTTACAACAGTAACTTGAGCAAAAAAGGCTTCACAACCTTCCTTCACTAATCGAAAAGCTTCCAAGGCGGAAAGAAAACCATGAGTCTCCTTTTTCTTAATGCCTCGGAATACAACAGGACCTTTATCTGGTGTGTTGAATAACACTTCTTTCTTTTGACCATCCACAACAGCTCCATGTGTTGCCAGAAATTCCATTCCGAGGATGACATCAAATTCATCAAAAGGTAGCAGAATTAAATCTGCTGCTAGCAAAGCTCATTCCACACAAATGAAGGAACTTCTAATAACCGAGTCTACCTACAAGGTATCTCCCACAGGTGTTTTAACACATAAGGTATAACCTAGCTTATCTGGAACTAAGCGTAGCATATGTGAAAACGTATATGACATGAATGAGTGAGAGGAACCAGTATCGATCAAAGCATATAATTGCTTGTCAAGGATAGAAAGCATACCAGTCACAACTTCTGGTGCCACTTCTGCCTCACCTCGAGTCATTGCATAAACCCTCGGTGCTCCTTGTGCTCTAGTACCCTGCGTACCACTTCCTGATGGCTGATTTCGACCACCACCTCTACCACCCTGTGAACCACCACGACCACTCTGAAATCCACTACGGCCTCCCTAGTAACCACCCCTGAATGGGGCTCTACTAATTTGCACTGAAGGCTCGGACTGTGTAGCTCTTACTTATCTCGAATGCGGACAGTCCCTCATGATGTGCCCAGGTTGGCCACAGTGAAAGCATACACCAGAAAATCTCCTACACTCTCCAAGATGCCTCTTCTGACAAACTTGACAAAATGGAAATTGTGTGGCTGAGGAAATTGGTGCCCTGTATAATGTTCCTGACATAGATCGACTCGGTGTTTTCCCCAAACTGCTAGGACCTCTCCTGGGTGGGTAATGAGGTCCAACATAATTTACTCCAAACTTCCTCTTCTTCTCCTCTTCTTTGGCCTTGTGTTCCTCTCGGCTCTCAACTTCATAGGCTTCATACTTAAGTGCTGCCTCCTTGATGGTGGCCATACTCTCTTCATCAACCCTGTGGACCTTTTCTTTCAATCCTATGCGCAGACCATGCAAGTATCTCATCTTCTTCTTATGCTCAAAGTAAAGTAGTCGAACAAACTTGATGGTGTACTCAGTAACTGTCATATTCTCCTGCTTAAGGTTGGCGAATTCATTGTTCTTTGCCCTGATAAAAGCTGCGGGAAGAAACTCTGTCTTAAAGGCCTTCAGGAACTCCTCCCAAGTGAACTGAACTCGTTCACCATTAACTCTAGAGACTGAGGACCACCAGCTCCTCGCGTACCCCTTTAGGAGAAAAACAACATATTGCACTTTTTCCTCTGGGGTTGCACAAAGATACTCAAACACATCTTCCATCTCTCTCAACCACTCTACCACAGCATCTGGGATCACATCTCCCTTGAAGTCCCTACCACCCAAACTCTTCATCTTTGCATAGTCTAATACTGGCGGCCTTGCATCAACCGCCCCCACTCCTCTCGACTGGTCAGTAGGAACATTATGACAACTTCCGTGCGAGCTACAAGGAAATATTGGCCTTAGATTGATCCACACAAAATTCATTCTTCACCAAATCTCTCTTACTTGGTTAAAATAAAATTTTCCCAAAATAATTACTTGAAAACAATAAGTTCAAAACTCAATTTTGAAAACCATGATGCAAGTAATTTCATCCAATATACCAATACACATAATCATGTAAAACTCAATTCCCAGTTTAAGTCATTATGGGGTACTCCCCTCTTTAGGAGTGTTTAACCTCCCATAGGGTATAGTACGCCATAACAACAAAAAGAGGGAACCGGGCTCTGATACCAAACTGTAACACACTACCCTGTATGTATTTCCTAATCATATTGTTCATACAATTGCGGCGGAATTTATCTTGGTGTTACATTAATTATCAAAATTTACCCAAATAAAATTTCGACATGAATTACTCGCATAATGGGCTAACAGTTCTTGCAACTTATCCTGCAAAATAACTCATCACAAACATATATACTCACAACCATATGCATTGGCTTTTCTTAGCCAGAGTCACACTTTTCATACTCCACAACTGCATACCATACTTATACATACCATAATCGTCACAACTTACACAGTTACACAACATATACACATATCATCAACTTTCCACAACCGTGGATATCTCACACTACATCAGAAGCTAGTATGCACATGAAAAACGTTCTCAAAACATTTTTACAAAAAGGTGTGGATTACTGGCCAAAATCCCGAGTAGTAGTCCAATCACAGAGTAGTTGAAGACCATACCTCATCTTGCCTTTAACTCTTGCTCAGCTCCCAACTATACACCTATCTACTGCTGCTGCTGATGATCTGCTTACACGTAGCATAAGCAGAGAAGAAGAATAAAAGAGGGTAAGCTCATAGCTGAGTGAGATAATCATAGCATCGTGAGTTCATAACAGAGCATACCCCTATCATACATCTAACAATCAAGCCAAAACACTAGGATCGGACCTCAGCCATCCTCATATTCCAATAGGTAAAAGACTCAACCACCTTGACTTATGCATATGCATCTTATCATGTTTTAATCATAGGCGCCTAGCTACTCCCATGCTAATAACTCTCCCGGGAAACATACCCCACATCCCGTCGGATGTAGTCATACATACCCCAACATCCCGTCGGATGTGGTCATACATACCCCACACAACTATGGGTGTAGTCATACCCCGACAACGCTCTGGGTGTGGTCATATCTCGTAAAAATTCTTCAGTCACCACCACATGAGAGGTGTGACTATCATACATATCATAATAGAGTAATAGCATAGGGAGCCCTAATTACTATGTAGTTGACCGTGAGACCCCAACACTCATATTTGGTATCCTTATACATGATTCATATCTCATCTTGCTTAATCATAATTCATTACTTGCACATGTACTTGACCTGGCCATAATTGGCTCAACATAGGTAAATCAGGAGTCGTATAATTGCACTTCCTCGGGATAAACCCTCGTGCAAGTCATCCTCCTTAAACATCATAATATCACCAGGGAATATATATTTTCCCAATTGTGCATCCAAATACAACAATCATGAAAAATCATACCTAATCACCTTCTCGAACCATCGTAAAGCATATTAATAGTCAAGCCCACAATTTGCAACATATACATAATCATCAGCATAAACAAGGTTCATATCGATTAGGGCAAGTCAATAATATCATACAGCAATCCAGGGTTCAACATATAGCACAAAAGTTCATACACCCCTAATCATGCCATTCTAGTTCACCTAGATCAATTCTAAGCATCAATATAATTATCGTGATACGACAAACCCGGTATGCCGTGCTAATCCCTCACCAGTTCTGGTCGTTCAAACACCGGTTCTAGCCTCCCGTACTAAAACGTCAATTTCACGAATGAACCCCGAATTAAATCCGAGACCGTCCTAATATCCCCTGCAGTATCCCTGTCAATATTAGTTCTAGGCTCCGGGTCAAATTCTCGATAAAAACACTATAACCCTGGCCGGAGCTAAATTCAGCGATTTGGACCCCGACCTAAAAAATTGCCGAAATCAGGGATTAGAACTAGAGGATCGATTACCTCGCTGCAGGAAGCTCGTGTATGAAATTTGGGCTCAATCCGGCTTCCGGATACTCCGAAACCCTAATTTGGCTTATCGGGAATACGAGAAATTCCTGAACCAAAAACTCATTTTAAAGCTCTAAATCAATAAACTACGATGTATAGATGAATTAGGCATTACTTACGAGATTTTTGGATCACTAGAGCTCAAGATTCGAGCTTTGGAAATTCTCCCCGAGCCTGGTCTCTGTGGTTTTTTGTGTTCTCTCGGTGGAAATGAGAAAAGATGATGAGAATTAAAATGGACGGGGGAAACTATTTATATGCGGCCCCGACCGCTTAATATATATATATACGTACACTTATCCGATCGATCGATAATCCGATTTTTGCCGAAATACTATCAAAACGCTCGATTTTAAATCGCGAACTTTCTAGCGATCAAAATATGGGTTTTGCCGGAACGGGATGTTACAGAACTATTTAAAAGTACCTAATTTGTATTTTATTAGTTACGTGGTATTAATTTGTCAAAGAAATAGTACTAATACCATTTTATAGTTTGCGAGGGTTGAGTCTGATGGAAGGGGCCAAGGCTGTTCTGCTGCAGCTGAGCATTGATGGGAACTGCAGACATTTCCCATTTCACCTATGTTATTTTACGCCCCCTGCTGTCCTCGGATCACTTTGGTGATGAAATCCATGTAAGATAGCATGTAATCTAGCTGATGCCTCTGTTAACTGAAATGCTAAATGTCGTCCTAAATTTGCTAAATATCGTCCTAAAATTAAAGTGTAAATTGCTAAATTGTCCTTTACAATATAACATCAAAATAAAAAAACAAACAGTGCCTTCCCTCACATCCCACCGCCGACGAACTATCTATATTCTCAACGCTGGCAACACCGAGGGCCTGACCGTCCGTCGGGGAAGGGATCCAGCGCCGCCGTCCATCTCCTCTCTCCCACTTCCACTGCGTGTGCTGTCTGCCGGAGACGAAGTGAACGTGTTTATGTTTGTCGGAGAAGGAGACCGGAGGAAGCCCCCGCCTCGTCGCCGCTCTTCGAATCACTCTGTCCAGCCCTTTCCCTTCCCAGACCCCTCTCTCCTTTCCGCGCCACAAAACTAGCAAAGAAAGGCACCCTTTGATCCGTCGGAATAGAGCCCAGCCGGAGAAGAAAACCAGAGAAAGACCTCCGCTCCGCCGCCGCTCTACGATTCTCTTGTCTCCAACTCACCCGCCTTGAACGCCTCTCTGCCTGAAGAAGGAGATGTTGCTGCCACGAAGAAGACGGGGCTGCAAGCCTGCAACGGAGATAATTGATCGTTTGAACAACGGAGACCCTCCATCGCTATTTCGTTTGGACCAGGGCCCAACCAAAGGCTAGACTTTGTTTGACCGCACGGTCAACCGAAGTGTAGCCTTCGGTTGAGCCCTGGTCCAAATGAATTTTTGCTTCGTTCCACTCATGTTTTGTTCCTAACTAAAAATTTTTAATTTGTAAATTAAGTCTAATTGTTATTGAGCGTTTGGAAAGTTTACTATTTTAGAATAAATATTTTCTTTGTTTTTTTTGAAAGTGTGTTTGTTGGTTGCAAATTAGAGAAGGAAAGTTAAAAGGATAAGAGTGTAATTTTCATGTTGGATAGGACGACATGTAGTAATTTTTAGGACGACGTTTAGCAACTCCCTTTGTTTACTACTTGTATACGCTTTGTGTATATAATATGTTTTTATGTGGTTTATTGTCCTGCCCCAGATAGACTTTGTTAGTTGGTAGGAGGTTGAAGTATGAACTTGTGTGATTGGCTTGCCTCATGGCATATTGATAAGTTTGGTCTCTATATATAAATGATCGGTTTTTACATGTTAATGGAGTTTCAAGCATCTGAGTGGTTCTTATTTGTTTTCTGTACTTGAAATCCCTACATTAGGATGGTTGGCTTTGTTTTCTGTACTTGAAATACCTACATTACGACGATTGGCTTCTGTTTCGAAACCTAAATGTTAATGATTGTTTGCACTTGCAGGTTTATGTGAATAATACTATTGTTGCTGTAACACCTACCCTATACATTTTGCCTAATCATATTGTTCATACAATTGCAGCGGAATTAATCTCGGGTGTTACATTAATTATCAAAATTTACCCAATTAAAATTTCGACATGAATTACTCGCTTAATGGGCTAATAGATCTTGCAACTTATCCTGCAAAATAATTCATCACAAACATATATACTCACAACCATATGCATTGGCTTTTCTTAGCCATAGTCACACTTTTCATACTCCACAACTTCATACCATACTTATGCATACCATAATCATCACAACTTACACAATTACACAAAATATACACATCTCGTGGATGTGGTCATATCGGACCCACCAGTGTCGGTGTAGTCATATCGGACCTGACACCACTCTGGGTGTGGTCATATCTCATGATGAATCAACGACCAACACCACATCAGGGGTGTGACATAACATATCATAACAGAGTAATAGCATGGGGAGCCCTAATTACTATATAATTGACCATGAGACCAAAGTACTCTTACTTGGTATCCTTATCCATGATCCATATCTCATCTTGCTTAATCATAATTCGTTACTTGCACATGTACTTGACCTGGCCACAATTGATTCAACATAGGTAAATCAGGAGTCGTATAATTGCACTTCCTCGGGATAAACCCTCATGCAAGTCATCCTCCTTAAACATCATAATATCACCAGGGAATATATATTTTCCCACTTGTGCATCCAAATACAACAATCATGAAAAATCATCCCTAATCACCTTCTCGAACCATCGTAAAGCATATTAACAGTCAAGCCCACAATTTGCAACATATACACAATCATCAGCATAAACAAGGTCCATATCGATTAGGGCAAGTCAATAATATCATACAGCAATCCAGGGTTCAACATATAGCACAAAAGTTCTTACACCCCTAATCATGGAGAAATTTTACAATGCTATATAGTATTGATGCTATAAGATTTTGTCTTTATGGTACAACTTAAAATTGTACATTTACGTTATGGTACAACTTCAGATTGTACCTATACTTTTTGTACAAATTCTTTTATGGTACAATTTGAACTTGTACCTTTATGTGATGGTACAACTTCAAGCTGTAAAGTTGTACCATAACATAATGGTACAAATTGCTTTATGGTACAACCTAAACTTATACATTTAATGTTATGGTACAACTTTAAGTTGTACATTAAAGCACCAATACTATATAGCATAGTAGAAGTGCTCCCTAATCATGTCATCCTAGTTCACCTAGATCAATTCTAAGCATCAATATAATTATCGTGATACGACAAACCCGGTATGCCGTGCTAATCCCTCACCAGTTCTGATCCTTCAAACACCGGTTTAACCTTCCCGTACTAAAACGTCAATTTCACGAACGAACCCCGTATTAAAATTCGAGACCGTCCTAATATCCCCTGCAGTATCCCCGTCAATATTAGTTCTAGGCTCCGGGTCAAATTCTTGATAAAAACACATCAAACCCTGGCCGGAGCTAAATTCAGCGATTTGGACCCCCACCTAAATAATTGCCGAAATTCAGGGATTAGAACTAGAGGATTGATTACCTCGCTGCAGGAAGCTTGTAAATGAAATTTCGGCTCAATCCGGCTACTGGATACTCCGAAACCCTAATTTGGCTTATCGGAAATTCAAGAAATTCCTAAACCAAAAACTCGTTTTAAAGCTCTAAATCGACAAATCACGATGTATAGATGAATTAGGCATTACTTACGGGATTTTTGGGATCATTGTAGCTCAAAAATTGAGCTTTGGAAATTCTCTGTCGAGCTCCCCTGCTCGCTCTGCTTTCGGTCCAGGAAAAGGGAAAAAGAATGAAGATGGGAAATAAATGGACGGGCAATTTATATGTCCGTCCCCGACCGAATATATATATATAATATGTATATTTATCTGATCGATAATCCGATTTTCGCCGAAATACTATCTAAACGCTCGATTTTAAATCGAGAACTTTCTAGCGATCGAAAATATGAGATTTGTCGGAACGGGACGTTACATTTGCAGAGAGAGTTTAGAGTGTTTTGAACAACAGCAAGGTACGCTTATAATTATCAGTTATCACAGTTAAGTGGTCACTTGATTTGATAGAATTTCCATCACCAATTCATGTTGCAGAAACTGATAGAACACATAACCATAGGTTTTTCCAGCCGGGATCATATATGGTTATAAATTGATCATGTTTCTTGGGTCCATATTAGTTAGCATGAACGGTCCAGACTCCACATTGATGATGTTGTAAGGTCCGGATCATGCTAACTTTTTCCAAAATATATGGCTGCTCTCTCCGTTATCTCTTCCCCACAAAAGCAACATGTTCTCTCTCTCTCTCCCTCTCACGTGCAGCTTACTTCGGAAATCGTCAGGGAGGACGACGCTTGGGAGCTTGCGAAATAAGAAGAGAAAGGGAACACTTTCTGACCATGGAAGTCATTATGACTATTTTGTAATTTTCAACTATCTATTATGTCTTCACTCCTCAACTATAATAGGAGAAGCCTGTCAGTTGCGAGCATCCCTCTCTGATGAAGAGGAGATTCAGAACTATGATCCGAATAGGACGATGAGAAGACCCATATCTGCAAGTTTTGTTTTCGAATCAGGTGATTATTTATTCGCTTTCCTTCATGAATTGGGAATTATTTGGTGGTTTTCAGAATCTTAAATCGAGTATTGTTTGATAAGTTTCTAAGGAAACTACACTGCTTTTACATGTCTGAATATTGATTTTGCTTTGGATTCCAGGTGATTGACTGGACAATAGTGTTACTGTCTTTCATTTGAAAGCCGATGGAGCTAAGGATTAGAAAGCAAGCCCTTAACACTGAACTCCGCAATCTACCATCGCGTGGTTGAACTTTCATCTTTCGCCATGATGAATTACATCTTGCACATTAGTGAACTCTTTTCTCCCACGCCCAACACACTTTCCTCTCATTATCAAGAGAATAGCTGGCGATACGTTCAGTGTAGGAGATTTAGACGTATGAGGTAGTTGTTGAAATCCTGCTGAGATGTGCCTCCTAATCTCCTGATGAGTTCATCAAAACAAAGTCCATTTCATCACAAGAAGGGCTAATTACACGTCTACAAGCAAGGAGGTTAAGGGAGGAGTTTGCTGCCTATTTGGATTGTCACTTTGCTCAAATGGACGTGAATCATCATCATGGGAAGACCATTACATTGCTACAACTCGTGGGCCAGCATGAAGGAAGAATGGGCTTGGAAGGAGGAGAGGATTCGACTAAGGAAGAGGAGGGGAGTCTCAAGTGTGAAAAGGATCAAGGTGGGAAAGGAATCAAAGGTGGGAACACAAGGGAAGGCTAGAACCTAGGGAGTTGTTGACCAAGTCTTTTATTTTAAGGATTGTATTTTTTTCCTTTTACTTGTAGGATTTGTTTTTCATTTTAAGCTTTGGATTTGTGTTAGCTAGTATATAAATAAGAGGTTAAGTTCCTCATTGTAACTCATTCAATTATCAATCAACTTTCAAGTTACAAGTTCATATGAACTAGTTCTTTGTGCAAGCTTCTGTTGGGAGTGCTCCAGGAGTTTTACGTGTCTCTTATCAACTAGAGAACGCATCTAGTTGTGGCGAGCTTCTACCCAATAGCGATTGGTCTTATTCACGAGTGGGTGATTGTTTGATTGGTTTCATATACCAATTGGCCTTTCAAACGAGTTGGAATCTGTTTGATCGTGTTCCATCATTATCTTTTATTCGAGTTCTTGTTCGTTGAAGAAAAGCTTCGAAAACCCATAAAAAGTAGGAAAGCTGCGTACTTTGGTCACATCAAGTGGTATTAGAGCTTGGTTCAAACGCAGTGGAGAAGAAGGTTATTTGGCAATCTTGTCGTGCTCTTGAAGGTTTTGACGTGACCGTGAAGGATCTTGGAGGAGTCTTTACATTCTTGAAGGTTCTTGCGAGCTATCTTGAAGGATTAATTAGTGCCGCAAATATTGTAGACGAGATCAAGGCATTGACTGATCAAATCCAAGCGTTAATTCAAGCACATACCACCAGCCAGATGGAGATTCAAGCGGCGCTACAAGCTCAAAACGCAAGAATGAAAGCTTGGGAAACACGGATGTAAGCACCACCAAACCCTAACCCTAATATTGCTGCTGAAAGGGCTAGGAGGGAAGAAGAAGATCATGGAGAGAGAAGGGTGGTACAACGACCCGTATTCGAACATGCTAGGCGACATCGGCCAATGGGTGGACTACATGCAAGACGAGGCCAACCTCGTGATGAAGAGGTCGAATATGAGGATGACGAGGGTTACCCTCGAGATGAAGATGATGATTTGAGAAATATTAAGGTCAACATACCATCGTCTAGAGGTTCTACTAATCCCCAAGCTTACCTAGATTGGGAACGAAAGATGGAATTGATCTTCGATTATGACAACTATTCTGAGAGAAAGAAAGTACAAGTGGCAACACTCGAGTTTACGGATTATGCCATTGTGTGGTGGGATCATGTAAGAATGAGGAGGAGGAAGAATAGACAGCCGCCTATTAAGACATGGGCATAGATGAGAACTGTAATGCGGGATCGATTTGTGCCTAGTTCTCATCGTAGAGTGATGCATCAAGCCCTACAACTTCTGCACCAAGGTACCAAGAGTGTAGAGTATTATTAACGTGAGATGGAGATGCTAATGATTCGAGCGGATTTGGAGGAAGATCGGGATGCTACCATTGCACGATTCTTATATGGGCTTAATTGAGAATTAGAAATGTGGTGGAACTTCATCCCTATGCGGATCTATACGATTTGGTTGCAATAGCATCCAAAGTGGAGAAACAACAATGTAGTAACGTTGGGAGGAGATTCACGCCACCACAAGCAGCACCAAGGCCAGGAACGCCTTCAACTTCAACCCTAGGCCAGCCATAACGAAGCCAGAAGCATCAAAATAGGTAACCAAGGTTGAAGCACCAAGAGACAAGCCCGCAGGCTCTAGTGGAGGCATTCAATGCTTCAAATGTCATGGAATAGGGCATATGGCAAACCAATGACCTAATCGAAGAGCTCTAGTCCTACTAGAGAATGGTGAATATGTCTCGGATTCCGAAGAAGAGGAGCACGAGAGGGAGCCATCAGAATCTGAAGTTGACCAATCAATGGAAATGGAGCCCCCCTCCTGGAAGTTTGCTTGTCACGAGAAGAATGCTAAGCGTGCAACCCAAAGAAGACCTCGAGCACAATCAAGCATCCCAAACCCTACAAGCTTCAATGGCTCAACGAGGATGGTTCAATTAAAGTGGCGACGCAAACTCTTCTGAAATTTGCCATTGGAGGATATAAGGACGAAGTACCTATGCAAGCTACACACGTCCTACTTGGAAGGCCATGGCAGTTCGATAGAAGCGCGCAACACGATGGAGTCTCCAACAAGTATCAAGTTTTACATAATGGAAAGAAAATAAAGTTAAAGCCCTTGACTCCCAAGGAAGTATATGAGGATCAACGACAACTCCTAAGAAACCGGGAGAAAGAAGCTATTGTCGTGGAACAGAAGCAAGGAGGAGAAGATTGCAAATGATGATAGCACGAAGTGGAGACGTGAAGCAAGCTATGAATCATGGTGACTCTATGATCATGATAGTCTATAAGGAAGCCCTACTGAATCAAGAGCTTGTTCAAGATATACCACCTAGGGCACGAGTGGTATTAGAGGAATTTGAAGATGTCTTTCCAGAAGAAGCTCCCAAGGGTTTACCTCCAATTCGAGGCATTGAACATCAAATTGACTTTGTTCCTGGGGCTACTATTCCAAACAAGGCAGCCTATAGAATGAACCCAGAGGAAACGAAGGAATTACAAAGGCAGATTGAAGCGCTTATGGAGAAAGGACATGTTCGAGAGAGTATGAGTCATTGTGCGGTTCCAGTCATTCTTGTGCCAAAGAAAGATCATACATGGAGGATGTGTGTTGATTGCCGAGCAGTCAACCAAATTACTATCAAGTATCGTCATCCCATAACACGATTGGATGACATGCTCGATGAACTACATGGATCAATCTTATTTTCAAAGATCGATTAGAGGTCTGGCTACCACCAGATTCGAATGAAAGAAGGTGATGAATGGAAGACAACGTTCAAGACGAAGCACGAATTATACGAGTGGATGGTGATGCCTTTCGGTCTTACAAATGCTCCATGTATGTTCATGAGGTTGATGAATCACGTGTTGAGATCTTTTATTGGGAAGTTCGTGGTCGTCTACTTCGATGATATTCTGATCTATTCAAAGAGTATGGAGGAGTATCTTGATCATTTGCGAGAAGTGTTGAAGACTTTGAGGAAGGAGAAGCACTATGCCAATCTTAAGAAGTGCACGTTCTGTACTTCGAATGTGGTATTTCTTGGATTCATAGTAAGTGCGAATGGTGTCGAGGTTGATGAAGAGAAGGTGAAAGCAATTCAAGCATGGCCAACCCCTACCAACGTGAATGAAGTGAGGAGTTTTCATGGGCTGGCTGGATTTTATCGACGATTCGTCCCAAATTTTAGCACTATTTCCGCCCCATTGACTTCAATTATAAAGAAGAATGTGACGTTTCATTCGGGTGAGGATCAAGAGAAGGCATTTGAGCAACTCAAGTACAAGCTCACTCATGCTCCTGTTTTAATGCTACCCGATTTCAGCAAGACTTTTGAAGTGGAGTGTGACGCATCTGGATTGGGAATTGGGGCTGTATTGATGCAAGAGAAGAAGTCCATCGCTTACTTTAGCGAAAAATTGAGTGGAGCTATGGTTAACTATCCTACCTACGATAAGGAGCTCTATGCATTGGTTCGAGCCCTAGAGACATGGCAGCAGTATCTATGGCCCAAAGAGTTCGTGATCCATACTGACCATGAGTCTCTCAAGTACTTGAAGGCCCAACACAAGTTAAACAAGAGGCATTCTCATTGGGTGGAGTTTATTGAGTCGTTTCCCAATGTGATCAAGTACAAACAAGGCAAGGAAAACGTGGTTGCTGATGCATTGTCCCGGAGGTACACGTTGATCACTACTATGGATGCTAAGTACCTTGGATTCAAGCAAATCAAGGCTACTTATGAAGGGGATTTCGACTTTGGAGAGATTTACAAGGCTTGTGAGAAGCATGGAGAAGGAAAGTTATACCGAAGTGATGGTTATCTCTTTCGTGGTAATCAATTGTGCATACCTAGGACATCACTACGAGAGCTATTGTTAAGGGAAGCTCATGGAGGAGGATTGATGGCTCACTTTGGTGTAGCCAAAACACTAAGTTGTTTACAAGAGCACTTCTATTGGACTCACATGAAAGGAGATGTGTAGAACTTATGCGCACGATGTGTGGAGTGCCAACATGCTAAATTGAAGATGCAATCATCTGGGTTGTACACGCCACTACCTATTCCTTATGCACCATGGGTCGACATTTCAATGGATTTTGTGCTACGAATGCCGAGGACAAGGAGAGGCAGGGATTCAATTTTCGTCGTGGTGGATCGTTTTTCGAAGATGGCACATTTCATTCCATGCCATAAGACGGATGATGCAAACAACGTGGCTGATTTGTTCTCAAGGAGATCATGAGGTTGCATGGAATGCCACATACCATTGTGTCTGATCGAGATGAAAAGTTTCTAAGCTACTTTTGGAAGACATTGTGGAGTAAACTCGGCACAAAGCATCTGTTTTCAACAACTTGTCATCCTCAACCGGATGAAAAAACAGAAGTGGTCAATCGTAGTATATCCCAAATGCTACGAGCTGTGATCAAGAGCAATATCAAAACTTGGGAAGACTGTCTACCACATGTCGAGTTTGCCTACAATCGAGTTGTGCATTCAACCACAAAGCATTCACCTTTCGAGCTCGTGTATGGGTTCAATCCACTTACACCATTGGATTCGACACCTCTGCCCTTGAAGGAACAAGTAACATTGATGGAGCAAAGAAGGCTGAATTTGTGAAAAATCTCCACGAGAAGGCAAGATTGAACATCGAGAGGAGGATGGAGCAAATCATGAAGAACGTCAATTGCAATAGGAAGCCTCGATCATTTGAAGCTGGAGATTGGGTGTGGGTGCACATGAGAAAGGAAAGGTTTCCTCATCAAAGGAGATCCAAGCTGTTACCTCGAAGTGAAGGTCCCTTCCAAGTTATTTCAAAGGTTGGAAGCAATGCCTACAAAATCGATTTGCCAGGAGAGTATGGGATAAGTACAACCTTCGAAGTTTCTGACCTTGCACCATATTTGGAGGACAATTAGGATTTGAGGTCAAATCCTTTTCAAGAGGGAGGGACTGATGAGGTCATCAAAACCAAGTCCATTTCATCACAAGAAGGGCCAATTACACGTCTACAAGCAAAGAGGTTAAGGGAGGAGTTTGCTGCCTATTTGGATGGTCACTTTGCTCAAATGGACGTGGATCATCATCATGGGAAGACAATTGCATTGATACAAATCGTGGGTCAGCATGAAGGAAGAAAAGAGCTTGGAAGGAGAAGAGGATTCGGCTAAGGAAGAGGAGGGGAGTCTCAAGTGTGAAAAGGATCAAGGTGGGAAAGGAATCAAAGGTGGGAAGACAAGGGAAGGCTAGAACCTAGGGAGTTGTTGATCAAGTCTTTTACTTGTCTTTTAAGGATTGTGTTTTTTCCTTTTACTTGTAGGATTTGTTTTTCATTTTAAGCTTTGGATTTGTGTTAGCTAGTCTATAAATAAAAGGCTGAGTTCCTCATTGTAACTCATTCAATTATCAATCAACTTTCAAGTTACAAGTTCATACTAGTTCTTTGTGCAAGCTTCTGTTGAGAGTGCTCCAGGAGTTTCACGTGTCTCTTATCAACTAGAGAACGCGTCTAGTTGTGGCGAGCTTCTACCCAATAGCGATTGGCCTTATTCACAAGTGGGTGATTGTTTGATTGGTTTCATATACCAATTGGCCTGTCACACGAGTTGGAATCTGTTTGATCATGTTCCATCATTATCTTTTGTTCGAGTTCGTTGAAGAAAAACTACGAAAACCATAAAAAGTAGGAAAGCTGCGTACTTTGGTCACATCATCTCCCTTCTCTGATTCTTTACATTCTATTTATGTTTGATTTTGCTTTGTTCTCGACTAACCATGATTTAGTTTTTTAATCATTTTGTAGCTGGATTTTGTTCAACAACGAACGAACAGATCTGGCCAAGGTAAGGTTCATGCCATGATGTTCCCTTTTTGGCAGTCTAATATCCCGGTGTTTGTCTTTGTTATTCTTTGTTTCTTGGGTTTTATCTCGCTTTTACTGCAGTTTTGAACGCTACTACAGTGGCGGAACGTCCGAACTTTATCATGGTAGCTCTCTATGGTATGTGTTGTGTTTGTACTTTCTCGGTGGTTTCATTTGATATATGTTGTTTCAGGTTGTGGATCTACGATGGAAATGAACGATGACGACTAGATCAGCGGACGAGGACCTGAATTGAGGCTTCTTATGCTTATCAAGAAGTGTAGCATATAGAGATATTGCGGTAATTGTTCTTTTGAATTTGATGCACTGGCTCTCTTTTCCCTTCTTTGCGTCGAGGATGTAGTCTTTTTGGTGTTATCGTTTTCCCCTTATTTTCTTCTCTTTTTAGTTGATGACGAATAGGGGTATTAGTTCTTTAAATCCATATGATTGTAGGTTTTACAATCAACCTCAAAAGTAGTCGCCTCAACAACTGTAGCAAACTTTGGGGGATAATACTAAACCACATATTCTTCTTTTCCATCTACCCATATTATCATTTCTTTTAGTTGTAAAAAATATTGTTCCTGTTATTGGATGTTCGAAAGTACAGGGTTTAGAGAAAGGTGTGCAGTTTATTATAGAGTTCACAGGTCACAGGACATGCTATACAATTTAGGTACACCATTTTTTAATAAATTAGTCTTTGATTTATTTCCAACCCAGGTTGTATCAACCAACATGGTGATTAGGTTCTTAACAAATAACTTATGTGAAGTAGGTGGCTTACTGTGTAAGCTGCATTAGCTCCCCTGTTTTGGATAGTTTTGATGTTTAAATATTTTTTTCGTTACACAAATTCTCGACTGTATTTCCAACACATTGATTATTGATATATATTTGTAACACAAAATTCCGTGGTTTCTAGAATTGGATTCCTTAACAATTGGTTTATTGCCATCATCTCCCCCGTTTGAGCTATAATAGTTCAGGCAAATTCATCAATTAATTTTTCTCGATTTTGGTTAGTGATCTACAAAAGAGGATGTCTATTGTCTCGTGGTTTTGTGAAAACATGGGATATTGTGGATAAGGTAAGATTAATTATAAATTGGGACCTCTTCATCAAAACTAAGAAGCATTGAGATGAGCATATTATTAATTAGAAAAATTGAAACCATGTAAAACTCATGAAGGCCTTTGTATTGTTTCATATTTTTCATGTCTCTTTATGTCCATCTAAGAGTTGATTATCAAGGTTTATTACTTGCTGCTTCTTTGGATATAACGTGAAAATATTTGCATGAATTTGTTTGGATGATTCCATATTATGTTTATGTCGTCAACTAAGTTGGTTCATTTTGTTATCTTCTGATGAAACTAGGTTATGGAACAACATCGTTGATGTTTTCGGCTTTGTCCATTGTGAGAGTACTCTTTATGTTGACAAAGTCTAATTTATTTTAGGTGTCGACTCTAGCATGTTTGGCCTTGAGTTTATTATATAGGCAATGTAATATTTGCAGTTTAAGGTAGGGAGTTGAAGAGGGTTCTTGGAGACTAAAGGTTTGGGAACAGGCTGTAAGGTTGTATGCAAGTTTTACTGGTGTGGGATGAGGGAGAAGAGAAAGTTGCAAAACAACAGACGGGGAGTAACAATTTTATGATAGAGTTAGGTTTGCTCATTGTCTGTCATGATATGCAGTTAGAGTTAGTTATGTTCTATTTTTTTAGTTCAAATGCTTATTATCGATGAGATCGTTTACGATTACAAATTGATAATGTTACATTGGTATACTTATCGGTTATTGAATGGTTGCATTCTTATCACTGTAATAGTTTACAAGACAACATATACATTGTTCTAAAAGACACTTTTAATTAGAGTAGTAGAAAGTCCCGGAGCGAAGCGCGAGCTTTCGCTCTAGTTTAGATAAAAGAGCCAATATATCATCAGATCATACATAATTTTACACTCTTATTATGCATCATACATAATATTTATTGAGTTGCACTGAACCCATGATTGGATAAAAGAGCCAATCCATCATCACATCATACATAACTTTTCACTCTCGTTATGCATCATATATAATAATTAATGAGTTATGTCTTTCACATCACATTGATGCAATAATCTTATGTTCATAGCCATTGTCAGCCACTTTAACATCAATGTTATGCTTTAGTGGTCGTTCGATGCTCGATCCAATCATAATCACATGTTTCCCGGTCACCAATTTCCTCTTCCCATCACCATCAGTAACACTTAGCCTCTCGCACCCGTTTATCCCAACACTCACATTCCTTGAATTCCCTTTCTCCACCTCCACTGTTGTGAACCCAATCAGCTCCTTGTTTGGCTCCCCTGCCACCACTTCTGAGTTCGGTGGCTTCCAAAAAACCAAAACCACATGGTCACCAACCATGGTCCCTATGTTTCTAACCTCCAACACGATCTTGATTTGCAGCTTGTCGCAATTTTTTATCATCGAGACATCAATTGCTTGCCCATCTTGTTGGTGGACATTGGTGACCTCTAGTCCCAAAGGGGAATTCAACTGGACAATGAGTGTTGAAGGGATAGAGACGATGGACTTTGTGAAAGTTGAGTAGCTGAGACCATGCCCGAACTCGTATATTGGTTTCCCAGTGTAGAACCTGTAGGTTCTTCCAGGGAAGTTGGAAGAAGCATTGGCTCTCATTCTCATGTCTGTCATCGAGACCTGTTCTGCATACTCCTTTGGGTACCATGTGAATGGAGACCTTCCGGCTGTCACAAAACAGAAAAAACATTGAACGCTAAACTTGAGAAACATAATTTTTCAAAGTTGCCACAATTACAAATGGAAGCTTTAATTACCAGGATTATAGTCTCCGAATATAACTTGAGCAATGGCATCACCTCCAGCCTGTCCCGGATAGCCGACCCATAAAATTGCTTTTATTCGTGTGTCATCCTTAGCAAACGTGATATCGATTGGACTACCAGACATGATTGCAAGAACCACAACACCGTTTGTTGCATCAGCAACACTATTGATGAGTTCTTCTTGGTATCCAGGTAGTATCAAGTTGTCTCGATCTAGACCTTCTCTCTCCATAGACTGGTCGAGTCCCACAATCAGCAGTACAACATCAGCTGTAGCAGCAACCTTAGTGGCTGCAGCAATTCCTGTCCTATTAGGGCAGCTAATCGAACCACAACCGGGCTCATAAGAAAGTGCTTTTGAGATGTACTTTGCGAGCCCTTCAAGTGGTGTGGTAAATTTACATGGCACGCCAGCATAGTTACTTAGCATAGTGGTGGTGACATTTCCATTTGGTCCTATAACCGCAAAATTCTTGATTGTGTCGTTAGACAAAGGGAGGGCGCCTTTATTCTTCAATAAAACAATCCCTTGCCTAGCAGCACTAAGTGCTAGTTGCTGATGATCATCTGTGCATACATCAGACGGTCCCAGGTTACCAAAAAGGAGGGATTTCGGATTGCCGTCAAAGAAACCTAGCCTCATAAGTACCATGTAATTGTAACTCAACGCTTGGTTTACAGTTGATTCATCTACTTTGTTTGAGTTAACAGCATTTTCTGTATACTTTGGTAGGAAATCACCACAGTTCATATTTAGGCCTGTACCACAAGAATGACAATGTTTCAAATCAACTGTTTATGAAATGTGAAATTTTGGCCAAGGGAGAAGCCTACCAACTATTATTATATTTAAAAAAAAAAAGAAGAAGAAGAAATACCAGCTTTCAATGCTAGGGCCACTGCATCTTCTGGTGTGGTCGTGTAGTGAATAGTGTTGTAGTAAACCTCAACGGAATCACAGTCTGAAACTATGTACCTATAGAAAAAAAATTCATATAAGAAACCGTAAGCAATTTAACAACAACCATATTTTCTGGGAAAAAAAAAAGGAACTTTAACGAACCCATTAAGCTTCCATTGGTCTCTCACAAATCCTTGCAGCAATTCGGGATCAGCACAAGTCGGAATCCCGTTCACTCTATTGTAAGAACACATCACACTGCTAACATGCGCTTCTTCCACACAGCTTCTGAATGGTGGCTGATACGTATCCTCCATGTCCTGCTTTGTCACCTGAAATACAAACCACATCATGACCAATTTGTTTCCTCCTATCCGTCTCTTGAAAATTGCGACTATATATATATATATATATAAAAGTCGGTATTTCTCATGAATAGAATGTACCTTAGCATCAAAGTGAAACCGGTCGATGCCTCTCCAGTTATCAAGATCATAAGCAGTATAGTGCTTGCAGCAACTTGAAACCTTAAGCCTACTATTATGACCGCCGCCACTCACCCCTTCTCCAGTGTCCTGCAATCCCTTTACATAATTCACACCATACCTTGAAACCAGCAGAGGATCCTCCCCAGGTGTCTCCTGACCGCGGCCCCATCTGGGGTCACGAAACACATTCACATTTGGACTCCAAAACGTGAGACCTGCTTGACCCACATTGTGCATGGCTCGAGCCTCAGTAGACACCACCTCCCCCATCTTTAGCCATAGTGTCTCGTTGAAAGTAGCAGCACACATTATCACAGCAGGGAAGCTGGTTGCTCCTGGCACTGTGGCATTGAATTTCACACCGTACCCTACGTCTGAGACACCGTGTAGAGCTTCCGACCACCACTCGTACTGCGGAATCCCAAGCCTGGAGACACCTGCTGCATGGTTTCCAAGCTGTTGTACTTTCTCTTGTAGAGTGAGCCGAGAGATTAGATCATCCACCCTGTCCTCGTACGACAAGGATGTGTCGCAGAATATGAATTGTGCGGTTTCAGGATTTGTTTTGTCGCAGGCATAGTTCTGACTCTGAGGGGTGACTGGTGGAAGGAATATCAGGGTAACTACTGAAATGAGTGATGCTGTAAGCACAACAAGTTTAACTAACTCCATCGCCTGTTTATATTTTTTTTTCTTCTCCTTGAGGTGTGATGGGAGATTGGCTAGTCAGTGGTTTAGACTTTATATATGGAGTTGGAGTTGGACCTGAAAAAAATGGCGCACAAGTACTGGTGGGTCTTTGCTTGGGATCAAAGGCTGCGTGGAGAGAAAGGACAACATTAATTTCTCTGCTAGCTAGTTTGAGAATGCTTGAATTGAACAAAAATGAACCAAGCAACCGTTTATATCAATCAATTTGGAAACTATGTATCGCATTGAAACCCCTAATGATGTGTGTTTCCTTGTGGATGCTATTTCATGATCAACCTTCAAATAAGCATGTCGTTATATGCAGGGGCGGATATATGGAGGTTTAGGGGTGTCCCGGGACACTTCTAAAATTTGGAAAAACGATTATCCAACCTTCGATAGTAGTTTGTGTATGGGTAAAAAAAAATAGTGATAGTGGAACACCCTTAAAATATGGAAAATGATTATTCAACCTCCTATAGTATTCTGCATATGGGTACAAATAATATTTAAGTGATAGGGTCTATGTGATTTGAACTTGGGAACACTGCTATTATTAGTAAATATAGTTTCAATTATACTACAACTCATTTGTAGTTATGTTTTAGATCAAAATATAATAGTAAAAGACTATTCTTATCCCCAATTATTTTCAAAACCTAACGATTAAACCCAATTACGGGTTACCCTTGTCTAGTAGGATATGTCGTATACACCGAATGTATTTTACCATTCTTTCATAATACAGAACATGTTTGAACTTTTATTCTAACTTTTACTAGTTGAATATTTTCATATTTAATAATGATTTGATTTAATTTTTAATTTTTTTTAAAAGGACACCCCTATTTAAAATTTCTGAATCCGCCACTGGTTATATGCATCTATCCTCCTGAAAATGATGAGTAAACGCTTCTCTTTTGCAGAATTTTTTTCTTTCGTTTTATTAACTTTTTACTTAAGCGTTGATGTACTGTCTTTTAAGCATGCAAGCAGTTTCCCATTTTTCTTTCGTTTGATTAACTTTACTTTTAACTCCTCTTGCTTGAATACATTGCATTTTCTTTTCCCTTATTGCATTCTTTTCCGCAAGTTAAAAAGAGATTGTACTTTTTAGACAAAGGGAGGGACCAAACATTTGAAGGGTGACTTGAAAGCAAATGCAACCAGCAAGTAATTCTAAAACTAGAATACTTGGCCTTTCCATCTTCACCTGGTCCATACTTCCATTTCAGTGTCTCCTTCACTAGAACCTCAAATCGGGTTGGCGTCACGGAATGGGTAGGGTAAAATCTACCACCCATAGTTTTTGGTGAGTGATGAAAAAGTGACACACCCACCTATTTGTAGAGAAGTCCGCTCATTGCGATTCACGTTAAGGGAGCGATGTGAAAGGTTACATGTGATTGTAAGATGGAATAAACTAATACCTAAGGAACACAAATTCAAAATACCCGAGGCTTAACTCCCATTTGATGAAATAAGTAACAGGTGATAAAATCAATCATAGTAAGAGATTCCATGAATAGTAACATCTACGTAGCTGAATAAGAATTGAGAAAACACATTTTAAAATAAATTGAAGCAAACAGTAGATATGGACTCGTTGGCCAATGACTAGGTATGGATTGGGGAACAACAAACAAAAAAGTAAACTTGAAATCCTTTTTGGTTGTGGAACTTGATTTGAATTATTGAGACTTTATTACTGTGATTTGGTTTGTAAACATTGGTATCTATTTCTCTTGGTAATGCAATGCAAGTGAGCTTTTGGCAAAATAAATGACTTTATTACTGTGATTAGGGTTGGAAGTTTGATACCGGTATTTGAGACATACCGAATACCGTAATGAATTTGTCAATATTTGGTATTACCAAATAGATGTATTCACTACAAGAAAAATGGACTATAGAGACAAAGGAAATGTGCATATGTAAGGGGTTTATTTACCTCTATATCCTTTTAGATGCATATAACACATTTGTCTCAAGTAGTGTTGTTGCTATAGCTCTATAGAGACAAATATAGTAACAAATGTTATATGTTGCTAGTTGGAGATACAGCAACGGAATATATCAATTTCCAATGTCTGTTTTTGGAGATTAATATTATTTATTCATATATAATTTTAGAAACACAAAAATCTGTCTATAAAATTATGTACAGAGACAAATACGTCAAATACGTGTGCCTCTAATATCATCTATAGAGGCAAAATATTATTGTTATTAAAGAAAAATATTTTTGTTTCAAATATTATTTATAAATGAATTTGTTTATGATGAGATTTTTGTGAAATATAATATATTTTTTATAACAAATAAATTCTATTTTGTTGAAAAAAATAGTAATAATAATAAAAGGATTCACATTAGTAATAATATTTATTTATACATAGGAATTGGCTGGGAAAAACTACCAAATAACACCACACAAATGTATATAGGCTTCTCCTAAACCATAGCTGGAAACGAATCCAACTCAAGAGCTAATGGATTGAATTATCATTTAGTCGCTTCAGAGTTAACGTGCTTGGCGAGTTCTCTAGGATTTTTTTAGAAATAACACGGTTCAGAAAAGAAAAATCCAAAAATAGCACACAACTCTGAAAAATAGCACCCTTTCTGTAAAACCTCCACTCGTATCAGCGGTTTAGGCGAAAACCGCCTCTCGGTGCGCGTTTTTCGATGAAAACCGTACTAGTAGGGGGCGATTTTGCAAACCGCACCCCCACCATGCGGTATGTTCTTTTTAAAAAAAATCCTAACCTAGGTGGAAACTTCAAACGAACATATCTTTGTGTTCGTGTATCTGATCGTCGCGAATTTTTTTTGATTCCGCATAACCTTTTGAGATCTTGCAAGCCGAAGACTGCCGAAGGTGGTTTGGTCCCGCCTTCCTCCCAAAAAATGTCGTTTGCTACCCCAAACGAGCTTTTTTCCTATTTCGTCAAACTTTGTGCTCCAAAATCCAAACGGCATGAATTTTTTTATATTTCGCATAACTTTTTAAGGACTACAATTTTTACTAGGAATGAATTTTCAAAACAAGAATTATTTTTGGATATACAGGATTTTGGGAATAGCTTATCTTCCCTTCTCAGCAATCCACGTACATTTTTAAAATTATGTCTATGATAAAAGTTGTATTCCTTAAAATTTATGCGAAATAAAAAAAAATCCATGCCGTTTGGATTTTGGAGCACAAAGTTATGGTTGTCCAAAGTTTGATGAAATCGAAAAAAAAGCTCGTTCGGGGTAGCAAACGACATTTTTTGGGACGAAGGCATCACCAAACCACCTTCGGCAGTCTTCGACTTGCAAGATCTCAAAAGGTTATGCGGAATAAAAAAAAAATCCGCGGCGATAGGATACCCGACCACAAAGATACATTCATTTGAAGTTTCCACCAAGGTTTAGATTAAAAAAAAAAAACAGACCGGATGGTGGGGGTGCAGTTTTCATCGAAAAACGCGTCCCCGGGTAGCGGTTTTCGCCTAAACCGCTGGTACGGGTGGCGGTTTTGTAGAAATGGTGCTATTTTTGGAATTTTACGAAATTGGATGCTATTTTTGGAATATTATTTTAAACAATGCTATTTCTAGAAAAATCCCTCCTCTAGGTTCTGGTCTCCCGGCTGTTTGGATCTCAGTTGATGAAATGGTTGAGTGCTCCTTCTATTTGGGGCGCAACCACTCTTGGATTGTCCAAAAGTTCTTCTCGTCTATAGGATCCTCCCCTTTACAAAAGTTTAAACATTTACACTTTATCAATCCTTAGACTGCACAACACAAGAGAAAGAGGTGGAGAGACCATCAACTGCCATATTAGTATCTAATTACATAGATGTATGAACAAAACAACTCCCACTCCCCTGCATAAAACTAACATCAGCCATATAAATGCATGTTCCCCTGGTATCGGGCGTCAACTAAGTGGTTCAAATATGTACATTTTGAATATTGATTATACCTTTTGGTCAATCAATCTTGGAGCATCTTCCTCACGATTGTCATTGTCCAAATGGAAAACAACATGATGATACTGAAATGACCTGGCATATTTCATAGGGAAATTGGCCCTTGTCAGATATGTTAGTAAAATTATTGAGTAGATGTTCAACTGTTACAGTAATGTCCAGATCGAAAAGAAGAAGAAAAAAACATGCAGCACATAGAACACATACTTTTTAGTTGTGACCCTAGCAACAGTCTCCAAAACTGCCTAGCACAATGGAACATTTCCAATTAACACGTAGACAGTAGTCCACAATGATAAATCTATGTAACTATGACTACAACCAGGGCCAGCATTCACAACCAAAAATTGGCTTCTCCTACTCCAATAAAAGTCAACAAATTTGGATACTTGACCACACCCACGAAACTCTGTATACAATCGAATGAAAAAGTACCTCAAATCCCCAAATAGCGGGTAAGGATGACCTTCAGATTGATTTGCTTCTATTGTGTTATTGATCGGTATTTCGGTATATACTGATCCCAATCCCGTAATCCCTAATTATTACCTCAAATCCCCAAATAGCGGATAAGGATGACCTTCAGATTGATTTGCTTCCGATAGCGATCAGCGTGAACTTCACGCCGGAGGTAGAAACTTGATGATGCGGATGGTTGAATCTACACCTACGTTGAGGAACATTCAACGTGCAGCAAATCAACGACAGAAGACAAACTAACACTACAAGATCTAATCTTAACAGGTTACAATAAACAAAAGCAACTCAATAGGAGGAATAACCTCAGATAAAACCCTAAATCAGATCAAGCAAAAGGGAAACTGAGTTGTACCGCTCTTATATAGACGAATCAATCGAATAAATCGAACCCCCAAGGGCAGCCAAGCAGCAAAAGAACAACGCTGACTGGAGGAGGAAACAACGGAGGTATGGACAGCGGATCATGGCCGGAGGCATGGGAAGCCGAGTGAAGAGATTTTCTTTTCAACTCGATAGGGTTACTTTATTCTGGTCTGCGAAGGGAAATTGGGATTAGTACATCACTATTCCATCCCGGTAGAATAAAACGCTTGGAGTCAAAATAAAATGCTTACCGCCACTCTATTATTATGCCTGGACATTAAAATGTAGTACAAATGTTTTAAATGACAATTGTAATAAATCTGTCTCTAAAACTAAAGACTAATTTGATAAAAAAATGCGTATAGGAAAATAATAATACTTTTAGAGACAATTTTATAATATGTCATATATGAGATAGTTTTAGAGACACATAATAATACTTGTGGCAACAAATTGAATAATTGTCATGTACTATAGCCTATAGGTACTTATGGAGACCAATGTAACATTTGTCTCCATGAATCAGTCGCAATAGCCAGTTTTTCTTGTAGTCATTTTATTATGGGATTGGGATTCAAATTCGAGTGTTATTTAATATTAGTAATTACGAGATTAAGATCAATATTATATCGAAATTAGCAAAATAAAAATTAATGGACATTTTAACCCTCCAACAAGACTAACCCCCACTCACTTTTACCACCCCTCTGCCCTCAAGTCTCAACCATCAAAATGCAAATTTAATTATACTTCCCACTACCTACGTTTGTTTCCTTCCTCCCTATATTTGAGACTCAAATGAAGCCCATCACTTCTCTTTGACAAGCATACTTGGCCCATAACTACTTTCATCTCTCACTAAAAAAACCCTAGCTCCAACTACAACTTTCCGATCGACGTCCAAGTGTAACCGCTGATCAGGTGTAGCATAATAATTTATGGTACTACGAGGATCTATGATTATCATACTTTGGTTTAGGGTTCGTTATCTAACCAACCTAAACTAACCACTAACCTAGTTATTACAAGGTTTGGAGCTCTCTTGGGTTTCAATCCCCCTAGTTTGTCAAATCGAACGATGTTGAGTACTATCCTAGCTCAATTGTCTCAATTACTCTACCATTAGGAGATGGACTCCCTCGGAAATGAAGAGGAACGGTGAATCGATGAATGGGGTGTGCTCTATTCAACCTAGGGCAACCCTATATCGGAGAAGATTGATGGAATCGACTCCCTCGGGGATCACCTAGACGATATAGGATGAGGAGTGACCAAAAGATGCCAATAATGGGCTCTAAGGGGATTTTCTCCCTCCTAGGTCACATGAAAATGGAAACCCAACTCATGAAAACATCCATCAATTAAGTAAAATCATCAATCAAACATGGAATTTCTCACATACATCAACATCAAACCAAAATCTAGACCTAGGGTTCTTAAACCCACAAGAAGAGGGTGAGTTTCTAGAGAGAGAAGAGAGATTTTACAAATTGGAGCCCAAGATCTTCTTCTAGGCTTGATACCTTACTTCCAAGCTTGATCAATGTCTTCAATTAACCTCCAAGATCACTCAAGAACTCTCTATCTCTCCCTAGAACTCCCCTTTGGTGTTTTGGGTCGAAAACCTAGAGAAAGAAACTAATTCCTCTCCCAAAAACCAGCTCGCCCTTTTCTTCCTTATGCTGCTCACTTTTATACCCAGATCGAATGTTGTTCAAGGTCTGAGTTCATGACCGTGAACTCAAAGCTTAGACCGAGATCTCGGCCAGAAACGTGTCATCTCACTACAGCACTTCACTGTCTGGAGCTGAAGTTCACGATCGTGTGACCGTGAACTGACAGGCCTCTAGTGAGACGCGAAAACAGTCTGGATCCTCCGCACTTCACGGTCACGTTTTTTTCACTTTTTCGATAATTTCAACCTCCAATCGACTTGAAACTCGTCCTCGACCTTCCCACACCTGCTAGGACCTGAAATATAACAAAACAAGCACAACCTATAGTGTAAAATAGGTCGAAAGACGGCAAAGCGAACAAGAAATGAGGGGTAAAATGTGTACATTTTGACCCGAATCACTCACTAAAAAACCCTAGCTCACTCCAAACTATAGAGCCGCTCATTTTTCTTCCTTCGTAATATGGAAAGAAATGACTTTACTTTGTTCAATTAATGTTCATATACGCTTTTGTTTCTAGCTACTTCATTCATGTAATTAATTAACCAACTCCTATTTTTGTTCACATTTATCCCCCTGTTTGGACTCACCTATGGGCTCAAGATACAATGCATAATCATGAGTTATGCACCTATTAGTAACTAAATCTGGACCCTTAATTTAGAAAATCAAGATTTAAGTGTGGAGAGTTAAAGACATTTTATTTTCCCTTTTTTTAATAGGCTCATATCTTCTTCGTTTTAACTCGAATTTCAATTTTTTTTTTTTGCACAGATGGAATGAGTTCGTTGTGCTCTACAAAATGAGATCCATTTTCAATATTTTTTAGGAAAATTTTTTTGTGTCTCTCGATACCAACTACATACCATATGATATCTTCTTCGTTTTAAATTCGTTTTTGAAAATTTTTGCACAGAAGGAACGAGTTCATCATGAACTATTGGATCTACCATTTTCTGGTGAACAAAATACAGATACAAAAAATACCACACATTACCACCCTGGTACGAGGTGGTATCTTGTGGTACACAATGTTAAAAGTCGTAAATGACAGTTAATATACTTCTACTATCATGTATTCAACCATCCTACAGTCTTTGTTTGTTCATACTACCATGGTACGCTTTTCATACCATAACTATGCTCTTGTTTCAATACCAGTCAATACCATATGGTATAGACCGGTAAAAAATGACTTTTTTTTGTTCCAAAAATATATCAAAGTGAATATCATTTTGAAGAGCACAATTAATCTGATCTAACTGTGCAAAAAGAAAAATTAATTTAAAACGAGTAAGAAATCGTTCGTTAAAGATTAAGGGGGAAATTAAAGGCTTTTCATGAGAGAGAAGGGGAGCTAATGTGGCAGATTTTGATTGGGTTATGCATAGTTATTGACCACAAGGTTATTGACCGGATCCGCTCCCTCACCTATGCCCTAATGGTGTATTGGGTTTGAGAATAAAATATACTTTCATAAAAATGAAGGAAATAAATTGGCATTTGGTAAATATTGATATTGAATCCAAATATATGGGATTGGGATTGAGATAGTGAAATTATTTTGGGAGTGAATTGGGATTGATTTTATGATGTAATTCGATATCCGGTATTGGGATACCGATACCGTACCGATCTCCATCCCTAACTGTGATTCTCTTGTTCTTCAATGAGTACTACTATTGTGACTCCGTTCTTCCACCTTGCGGGTGTCCTCGGATCTAGCAAATTGCTAAAGAGATAAATAAAGGGGCAAAACCAAATGCGAACAATGAAGTCATAAAAATTTAACGAAATGATGAAAAATGAAGGAAGAACGTAGCATCAAGTGTCGTTGGTTTATATGACACTTATGTTCTTTTCATGGAGAATAATAAAAAATTTAGTCTTCATATTCAAACTCGATCGAAAAAGAGATAAATAATGCGGCAAAATCAAATACGATAAAAAATGTCAATTGAGGATAGCAAACAAAATGATAAAGGAAAAGAAAATTACTAAATGGTTCTTGTTGGGGGGTGTTACAAAGAGAGGCCCAAGTGAAAGTCCAAGGCGGCCCAATGAGGAGGAGGAGGGTTACTCCATTTCCCCAGCCCACAAATTGGCCCGCGAGGCCAAGCCCAAGTATGATGAGGGAAGCTAGGAGACAAGACTCGGAAGACTCCAAGGGAGTACGGTTTGGGCGCCTTGCATCTGTCAGAAGCCTGACATGTTGGTCGGGGCGCTCAGCCTGACAGAAGTATGGAGCACTAAAAGCGATGCTGACGTGGAGTTAGGTGGAAGAAGCCCAGTCCAGGGTGGTGAGTATAAATAGAGTCGGTTGATAAACCGTTAATTGCACATGTTTTTACCCCTATTCTAGAGCCGTTAGAGGTGTTGATTCTCGTATTTTAGACCGATTTCACGCTAGGTTGTGCTTGTTTGTGATATTTCAGGTCCTAGAAAGAGAATGAAGGTTTGGGAGCGAGTTTGGGGTCGATTGGACGAAGATAGGACGCGAGGCAAGTCGCTGAGGAAGCCACACGGGTACACACAAAACCCACACGGCCGTGCAAGTGACCAATGTGGCCGTGTGGGATTGTGCGAGCCTTCACACGCGCACAAATAAATTCCACACGGGCGTGTGAAGGAGTAATTTGGCCGTGTGGAATTCTGCGAGGCTTCACACGGGCAGGCTGGGTGAGCTACACGGCCGTGTGCCCCTGGCCGTGTAGGAAGCCTGAAACCCACATAATCGGAACGCGGTGTTTTTACCTCACACGGGCAATTGGGTATGCCACACGGCCGTGTGGCCTGCCCGTGTGAGTCTGGAATTTCTGGTTTTTACCCAATTTCGGGCCACAAGTGAGAGAATCGGATTTTCAGAGCAAAAACAGAGCCCTAGAGAGAGAAAGTACGAAGAACACATCCTAGAAGCTATCTTGGAGATGGGTTTCATCAAATCGAGCTTGGGGATCGTCATAGGAGTGGAAATCATCATCCCAGAGCAGATTCTTCCCATTGTTATGAGTATGACTGCTTTGTATTCTGTTTTCCTCTCTCTCTTTATGGAGTAGAACCCTTCTCTCACTTGGGTATGAAGAACCCTAGTTCCATGTGTTAGGGATTTGATTGTAATGACTTGGGATGATTATACTGTTTGGTTTTAATCGAATGATGCATGTTTATTGAATTGATTGAAGTCTGATCAGCTTTTCTTGATTTCTGCTGCAACCTGAGATAGATAGAATCTGATTAGGTTGTTAGAGCCTCATCATTCGGTAGTAGGATATTGGCTATACGAGAGTTAGCCAGTTTACTGCTTTGTACTAGAATCCAATTCCAGTAGTGGAGTTCTGTGCTTATTGCTTCAGCTTTCTATCCCGGTGAAGACTAGTCGTCTGCCGGGTAGTTAGACTGAGAGGGCTTGGTCAGCTTAAGAGATTCCAAGCTACTGTCGGATCTTCCGCAATCTAATCAACAGTAAATCAACCCAGGGTAATTACAATTGAGACCTAACTAAGGAGCTAGGGGGACTCATTCTCGAGTGACTCTTCTTTGCTTGAGAAAACCGAACCAATTCCTGCTTTCTTTCTACTTTTGCTTAAAACAACAATCACTTAACTTAGTTGGCTAGATAATAGATAATCACGGAGTAAGAAGTAGATCTAGACCTCGGGTTGATAATAGAACTTGCCACTTTACTGCATTCCCGGACTGCGATTACACTTGGTCGCAGTTTGGTGTTGTGTTTTGGCGTGTCAAGTTTTTGGCGCCGTTGCCGGGGAGCCCTCTAGGTTATTGGGGAAACGTGAAAATTTGTTACTCTAGCTTTTTCTTTACTGCATTTTATCTCTTCCACCTGTGTGCCTTCACGGGTTGCTTCTGCTGATTGTGTGCAGGTAGTGCATGACCCATAGCCAGTCGGGAGATCTACTACCATTAGACCAGGAGCTTGAACGAACCTGCAGGAATTTCAAGCGGGCTCTAAAGGCGCGACTGGCTAGGGAGGACGCACTAGCACAGCTGCAGATCGCTGAAGAAGAAGAAATGGGGGATCCACAGGACCATGATGTGGTCCTTCCCGTGGAGCAGACAATGGGATCCTACTGGACTGCAAGGGCCGCAGACATGAGGTCACCCATTCAACACCCTCATGTCCCAGCCAACAATTTTGAGGTGAGCACCTCTGTAATCACCATGCTGCGCGGTTCAGTGGTGTTCCGTGGCAAAGAGGGGGAGTGCCCCCGATCACATCTCAGGCTATTCCACGAGCTCATCGATGGAATCAAGATTAATGGGGTCCCAGCAGATGCCATCCAGTTGAGGTACTTTCCATTCACCCTGGAGGGGCAGGCCAAGGAGTGGCTAGACACTCGACCTCCGGGCTCCATCACCACGTTCGCCAACCTGGCGGACAAGTTCCTCACCCGCTACCATCCTCCATCCAAGACGACGGACCTGCAAAAGCAAATTACCCATTTTGCTCAAGACGAGGATGAGACCATCAAGGATGCTTGGGAGAGATACAACAGTCTCTTCCTGAGGTGTCCCAATCATGGCTTCAATGATGCTTTCAAGGTGGGCACCTTCTATCACGCCCTCTTCCCAGAGGACAAGCAGCTGATTGACTCGGTTTGTGGCGGGAACATGCTGACCAAAACACCGCCACAGCTGAATCAACTTTTTGAGGAGATGGCAGAGAACGGGTATGATTGGGGTACTTCTAGGAGGTCGAGGAGAGCACCAAGCCGAGGTGTACATTCTGTGGGAACCCATTCCTCTGATTTGGTGCAGGTGGTATCGAAGCTGGTTTCAGCTATCGATCGTTCCGGGATGGTTCCAGGGACCGGACAACAGCAGGCGATGCTCTGCCATTGGTGCGAGAGCACCCATCACACGGTGAAAGACTGCCAAGCGATGAAGGAGTCGACCACACCCCAGGAGCAGGTGAACTTCATCAATAATGTTAGGCGCAATGACCCCAACAGTAACACTTACAACAAGGGGTGGCGCCAGCATCCCAACTTCTCCTGGGGTGGGGAAAATTCCAGACTACCGGTCCCCCAGGGACCACCTGGCTTCCAGAGGCCACCGTACTAGCCCAAGCATGGGCAATTCCAGCAGCAGCAGTCTCTCTACGAGCCCATGCAGGGGCAGGCTGCTCAATCACAACCGCGACCTTTCCAGCAGCCAAGTGCAGCCCCTGCCACCCAGTGCAAAATGATCCGATGGCTGAACTGCAGGACTTGGTGGGCTCTCTCGCCGGTTCTAGTGCTCAGAAATTCAACACTATCGAGCAGTTCATGGAAAAGGCCTCGTGTAAATTCCTGGCTCTTGAAGCTGGCCAGAGGAACACACAGGCTGTCTTGCAGGATATCCAAACCCAGCTGGGAAGTGTGGCTCAAGCAGTGGCACAAAGGGCTCCTGGTACTCTACCCGGTCAGACCATCCCTCATCCGCAGAACCCGAATGAGCACTGCAATGCCATCATAACCAGGAGTGGCAAGATGACTGCTGATCCACCTGTTCGGGCACAAGAGAGAGAGGCCCCTGCCTCGGCATCTCCAGCGGCTGAAGAAGAAGCAGAGAAGGAGGTTGATGTGCCTGCGCCTAAACCGCAACCAGTAGTGAAGGAGTATATCCCTCAACTCCCCTTCCCTACTCGGTTGCACAAAGACAGGCTGGAGGCAGAGTTCGGGAACTTCATGTCCATGCTTAGGAAGCTGAATGTCCAAGTACCTTTCCTGGAGGCACTATCTCAAATGCCTAAGTATGCGAAGTTCAAAGAAGCAGAAGCTGAGCGAGCTGGCCACTGTGGAGCTCAGCGAGGAGTGCTCGGCTATTCTGCAGAACAAGCTTCCGCAGAAGCAGAAGGACCCAGGTAGTTTTACTATCCCGTGCTCTATAGATAAATTGCATGTAGAGAGGTCCTTGGCGGATTTAGGTGCTAGTATCAATGTTATGTCGTATAAATTGTTCAAGAAACTAGGCCTAGGTGAACCTCGTGCTACTAGGATGAGCCTTCAATTAGCTGACCAATCTGTAGTGCATCCTAGAGGCATAGTGGAAGACCTTCTGGTTAAGGTTGGCAAATTCAATTATCCTGTGGATTTTGTTGTCTTGGACATCAATGAGGACACAGAAGTGCCCCTTATACTGGGAAGGACTTTCCTGGCCACCTCCAAGGCTCTCATAGATGTGCATGATGGGACCTTAGTTTTGAGGGATGGCGAGGAGCGAATAACGTTTCAATTGCTAATACTCTCCCTGTTTCGTCGCCTATTGACTCGACTCTACTGTCACTCCAGGAATTGGCCAAGTGAAACCACTTCCTAAAGCGTAGTATAGCGGATTAGGTTTATATGTCAACCTGGGTCCTAGATCTGATGACTACTCAGTGAATTCTTGTTATCTAGCAATGAAACTGGAATGCAAGTCTAAACTAACAAACTAACAAAGCAAGTAAACGGTTGTATTTAGGTTAAGAGAGGTCACCCGGATATGGTTCCCCTTAGACTGCAGTTAAGCCGGATTGTAATTACCAAGTTCAGTTTCTATGATAGTTACATTGCGGAAGGTTCTTAAACAGCCTGAAGTCTCGACTAAAGGTCTTCAGACCCTCTCAATCTGAATCTCTAGCGGGCGACTAACCTCCACCGGAGCATACAGATTGAGGCCCTAAGAACAAAACCTCCACTACCGGAGTAAATCCGGTACAGAATAGTGAGTTGGTTCCTCGACTAAAGTCACCAACTCCCTACCTTCAATCAAGGATACTCTATCAACTTAGGCAGATATTCTCATTCTAGGTTAAAGCAGAAACAACAAGAATTTGATCAGGATTCAAGTCATTCAATCATTAAAACCTCAATCGAATATAATCAATCACAGAATCAGTACTTGGGTTCATACAATCAAAGCCTAACATACAAATCTAGGGTTCTCCATACCCAGATGAATGGGAGAACTAATCCATAGAGAAGAAAGCAAAAGCAGAATCAGACACGGAATTCATACTGCGAAGGACGGATTCCGGCTCCTGGACGTTGATTGGCACTTCTCCAAGCTCAAGCTGGCCTCCAATGGTGTTGAAGATCAATCTAGGGCACTTGGGAACTCTTGCTCGTCACTTTCTCTCTCTAGGAATCGTTCTCTCTCTCAAAAACTCGAATCCCCTTCTGTTTGGCTGAAAATCTGCTTAAAAAGGCATCAGTGGCCAAAGCACGGTCGAGGGCATGGCCGTGCTTTGCCTCAGCCCGCCCGTGCTTTGGCTAGGGTTAATTACACGGCCATTGTGTTGGTGCAAACACGGCCGTGCTTTGGGAGAACACGCCCGTGCTTTGGTAGAACACGCCCGTGCTTTGGTAGAACACGCCCGTGCTTTGGGAGAACACGGCCGTGCTTTGGTGAAGCACGCACGTGTTCTATCTCAGCCCTGCCCGTGTTTTGGCCAATGTGGTCCAAACTCGAATTAGCTCTCGGCAGTAAAAGCACGGTCACCGAACACGGCCGTGTTCTGTTTTAGGTGTGCCCGTGTTTTGGCTCCAGCTCACCGAAATGACTTCCGAATGCCCCGAAACTCGTGCTTAGCCGTTCCTTTGACGCCTGGGACCTGAAATATGACAAAATAGCACAACCCGGCGTA